ACCATGGTGGCCACACCCTCCGATAGAAAGATCCTCTCTATGGATCCCAATAAAAATTAAATATTGTTTATTGGCCCTTCGGTGCCTCAATACTTGTCATAAAACAACATTGGACTTCATTTTCGTTTAGATACTACTTCTGAATGTCGAATGTTTTTAACAGGATATATCAAATATTAACAGATTACATGCTTGTGTGGAGCAACTGTTAACATGGGTTGAGTCCATGATTCAAACAGAAGGCAAAAATAAAGCAGTGTTTTGTCTGTTAATGCATATGGTTTCGTTGGTTTGTAAGGTTGAGTCGTCAATTATTGTAAAAAGGTCATGAATAGGTATATATAGTGTTGATGGATATGATATGTTAATAATGATATGTATCGATTACCAGCATTGTCTTCAAAGTTCTAAGTCACAACAATTAATAATGTTGAAGGGCGGAGAGCAGTCTTGGATCCAGTATAAGGTGAGATGCTTCTTTCTTGTTCTTACATTCATTACACGTTTCTTATCGAATTGTTGATAGCACTGATCATCATAATACAAATATAGTATCTTGCCTTTTTGTCCATGATTAGTATGATTGTGAAGTTTGTTCTTTTGCTTTGTTTTTCTTTTTGGCTTGGCTTTGTCGGTGGATGATTGTTTTTTAGCTTGTGTGGTCCTTCTTGTTTTGCGAGGTTTGTTCTTTGGCTTGTATTCTTTTTCTTGTTTTGATGGAGTTGGTTGATTCAATGTTGATAATGTATTCTCATCTTTCTCAACTGGTGGATCGTTAGTTTTCTCAACTGATGGATTTTCTCTAAAGGTGATTGCGTCACATAGATGATGTTGTAAAGATTGTAACAAGTGATGCGAATGATCTAATGGCTTCCGTGCCTTTTCTTCACAATTTCTGTTCTTTTCATTTCGTATATATTCATTAAGTTTGGCGTTTAATTGTTTGAGGGTAGCTGAAATCTAATTCGCTTGTTGTTCAATTCTTTCCAAACGTCTTTCCAGGCCGTGGAGCATGCAAGAGTCAATTCTGATGTTCATCTTGCGGTATTTTTTAAGGGCTCGATCCCAATAAAAATGCAAGCAGACGATGATTGGAATGATCCTTTATTCCCAGCTTCGCAAGGAGGAGAGGACGAGACCCCAAGCAGAACGCTCATGTACATTGAAGGAAGGAATGGCTTTACTCGAATATTTGCCTCTTCTCCAACCAGGTCGACTGCTCGAGAGCAATCGTCCATTAAAATTCCATCCTTGAGAGCTCAGCTTAATGCACCAATGGATGACGCCGAAAGACCTTCCGAAGAGTTAGCCATTAATCATTCACCTGGACACTTTTCTCTCATTAGAGATCAAAAACAATTGAGTCCTTTTAGTGGTGATTCTTCATCCTCCATCACAAGAAAATCTCGTCGTTCTCTTCCCTATTCTAATCTTTCCTCACCTCGTCCATCCATGAACTCCACTTCTCCAAAAACCAACAACATCAAGGAAGACCTACATTCATCATCCTTTACAACTCTTGAAAAAGGCGCAAAAAATACAACCGCTTCAATTCTTCAGAATCCGCTGTTCTACAACAATCCAAACACAAACGAAATGAAGCTTCGTGGTACACCAACCTCACGAGAGAGCGACCTATTTGTGAAACCATCATCATCATCACCAATAGGGTTATATTTCGGAAATACAAAACTGGTGGAAGATAATGATGCTGATGATTTCAGAATTGATAAGGGTTTAAAGGAGAAAACACTTTCTCCCAGTGGTGCTGTTCTCGTGACTGCCAAAGAGATTGATATATCTCCGAAATCAGAACGAGAAGATTTGATCAAACAAATGCTTGCAGGAGACAGGCCAAAAGAGCAATCTAAACAAAACAGCTATTTCACAGAGGACTTTATCTCCACATCTCACCATACCTCTCCAAAATCAAAGAAAACTTCCATAATATTTAATTCCAGAGAACAGGATGATTCTACAGATATTGAGGATAAAGAAATTGTAAATATTCTATCACAAATCAAAAAATCTAAAAGACAAGCCTTAAATGAACACTTTTTCACAGTCAAGAAGAAAACAGAGATCACACCTCCAGCTAAAGAATCAAGTCAAGAAATAGTTGACGTCAATCTTTTGAAACAAAAAGAGTTTTCAAAAAAAACTTTGATAGACGAAATTCAAAAGAAAAATAAGGAAATACTGGATCTAAGAAACAAAATTATTAAGCTTCATTCTTTAAATACTTCTTTAGAGAGTGATATTAAGTCAATGGAGGAAGCCAATGAGTCCATACAATTTCTAAGCAGAAGCAAAGACACAACTATCAACGAATTAAAGAAGCAAATCGACGAGCTGCAAATCAAGCTCGAGACGAATTCTCAATCACACGTTAATATTGTCGAGGGATTGCAGAAAACAATTGAGAATCTGAATATGACTATTAAAGAAAAAGATCTGCAGATAAAGGATCAAGACAGGCAACATTTGAGACCTATAATAGAGGAGCACAATAGAACTATTAGAGACTTAAAGTCTGATATTGAACGAGAGAGAATGCATTACGAAGAGAAGAAAGCAAGACTACTCGAACTTATTGCTTGCAAAGAGGACGAAATCAGGAAAAACGGAGAGAAAGACAAAGTTATCAACGAGTTAAATGCATCAATAGAGAAAAAAGATCAAGAAATAAGAACTCTCAAGCTTTTCAACGACAACAACATGCTCGAAATTGAAAGACTGAAAAAACACACTCAACATCTACTGGAGGAAAGAAGAGAGTTCACAGAACAGGTAAAGGATGAGATAACAATACAAATCAAAGAAGGCCAAACAAAAGATGAACGAATAATGTTCCTTGAGGGCCTTGTTGAGAAACACAAAATTAAGTTAGCCACTGTGTTGGAGGAACATGAAGACAGAAAACAAGATCTGATAAGAATAATAGAAGAGGAGAGAAGAATATCCAATTCACTTAGAAGCGAGAACTTTAGATTGAAAAATAATGAAAAAGCATTTCACCAAATGGAGTTTATTAGAAGAAATATTCTAATCACCATTAAGGATGTGAATCATCTTCTTTCATTAGTCGAAACGGATGGAATGGATCTATCAAGCCCTAAAGTTCATCAAGGTATGTTAATTTCATTATCGATATTACAATGACTTACAGAGCAAAATTCAGAGCTACAAAATGATGGAGATCTTTTAGCATTATCATCTCAACTTAATCAACGAATTGATATTCTGAAAAATAGATTGACTGAGAAATATGCAGGTCAGCTTGGTGATTGTTTGACACAATAATAGTGATAAATTGAGCTACTAAATAATTTTTGGGGAATATTGGATCCAGATATTAGTTGTGAGGTCTCTCATCAAAAGTTCTGTACATTCTGGCAATTCTTGCAATGTCATTCGAGCAGGATTTCCAGCAAACGATGTAAATGAAGGTATAACAGTATCAGAAGCCACTACAGAATTGTCTTCAACCCTGCAACAATCACGAAGAATACATCTCTCACCCTGAACCATCACAATTAGAACGAACAATGGAAAGAGCATCAACTTACAATCACACAATTATTTCCAATGTACACAAAAGAACCGATTTCAGCGGCTCTTATTTTTGAATCCTTTCCAATAAATACATGATCGCCAATGACTACAGGAAGATGTGTTCCTATTTTTTGTGTGACTTCCAGACCATAGTTGGCGATTGATGGTGGTTCAATAATTGAATTTTCTCCAATAATTGCGAGCTTTCCAATCCTTATCGTTTCTAGATCTCCTCGCATGGTGACTCCTCTGTGAATTAAACTTTTTCCCAGCATATGAATGTTTGCCATTCCCAAAATTTTTACATCGTGATTCACTTTGCTCCCTCCCTATGCAAGAAGTATGTAACAGAAATTAGAATTATGATTCTCAATGATAATTGTCTTCATTCTTTGAATCACCTACTTTTGTATTGATAAAATCTTCGAAAATTGGTAACGGGTCCATCGGGTTTGGTTGTTGATGTAATTTTTTGTATTACAACGTTATGCAATTCTTCTCGAATTGCTCCTCCAAAATAATAATAATTAAATAAATTATTTATAATTTAGGTTGTTCATGTCAAAACCAGGGATCCACCCAAAATGATTCCTTGTAATATTGTGTTACATCAAAAACATATTCCTTGTGCTGCTTCTTTTGATGATGAAATTTTCTGTTATAATTGTTGTTATAACCTCCTCTTCCACCACCTCTCCTTTCTCCTCTCTGGCCATAATTGTAATTTCCATGATGGTGACTGGTTTTCTGAATCTTGTTGGATTTGTCCATTTTTATTGACTGAAATAAATATTAATGATACATTCAACACAGTGCATTGCCATCAATGAGTGAAATGAGAAAGATCAACGCTCTTAAGAATCTTCTCTGTTCTCTCCTTGACATCTTTTTTGTGCATCATCTTATTGATGGGAGAGTTTAATTCGTCAACAATCTTCTTGTGTTCAACTTTCAAATGTTCATCCAAACGCCATTCACGAGGTTGTTTTTCTTTGTCGACTTTCTTTGTCTCGACCGAATGAACATTTTGAGATTTTTCTGCTTTGACTTTTCTCAATGTTTGATTAAGTTGTCCACCAGCTAGTGATTGAGTTTTGTGGCGAGTTAATAATTTCTCAACTCTTGAAACAAATTCTTTGAAATTCTTTTTTGCGGTGGCATTTGCTTTGCGGTCATCATTTTCTTTCTGTAAATCTAAAAGTAACTTCCATAATGTTGCAAAAGCTAAGCACCTCTGCTCAAGTGAATCCAAATCGAAATGCGTACAGTAGGTCCATTCAAATTTTGGCGAATATTCTGAAACCTTTTTTCTTTTAACAACCTTATACAGAAACATGTTGGATGGATCTGCTAAAATTCCAGCTCCACAGTTAGATCCTAATTCCATCAATTTCAAAGGTAAATTGCAAACATTTCTGACAATGATCCAATTTCCACTTTGAAGAATGTGAGACGATGAAAATTCGCCCGAAATGGCACACTCTGTACATAACAAACCCATTCGGTCACTTCTTGTTGGTGTTTTAAAGTTTCTCGTCATTTCAAAATCCAAATCTGACAATAAACCATGAATCCACTGTAGTCGAAGGTTCTCCAAAATGTTAGTATTTGATGAATCATGCAAGCGCTCTTTGTTACAGGAATGTTTAAACTCAATCATGCTTGGTAACAGTTCATTTGGAGAGAGTTCTATATGATTCTCAACGAATTCTTTAAGGAATTGAGACACAATAGATAGCTCCTTCCTGTTCTCAATTTCTCTTCTCTCACTATTGGAGATCAGGAATGGAATGTTGGTTTCATCGAAGAGAGAATAGACCATTTTGTACAACTCAATGACTTGCTTCTTTTCATTTCTTCGGTCCAAACATTCAGAAGGAAGTGATGATGCAGTACAATTCAACGCCGTCGAAGAGTTGTTTTGATGTTTTGAATTTTCCTCCGAATTCTGAACATGGTCCTTGTGGGTATTGATGATTGAATTTTGAGAAACGTTACCAAGTACCTTCTTCTCCTCGCAGTTGCTTTGATCTTCATCACTCCTTCGCAATATTCTGGACGTTAGGATGTTCATCATTCGCATGGCATACTTATCTAATTGCTGAAAGGCATCATCGGAAAGATTTGTGGAGGAGTGATGATGAGGATAATTGGATTTCCATTCATCATGCGATCTCATGTACTGTTCCAATGTTTCCATTGTTTCCATTAATTCATGAGGCGACATTTGTTTCGGAGGTTTGATTTCAGTTTGATAGTGTTTGAGCCAAACCATCAAGCCTTCATCCTCAGACAAGAGATGAGGCAAAATTAGAGGAAAGTAAACACCATTGGCAATTTTCACCAATGAACAAGGAATGAGGTGATTCTGAGAAGAAGATCCCTCCTCTTCAGGGTCCTTTAAAGTTGATTCTTGATCAAGCTTTCTCACAGCAAACCTTGAAACAGTATCTTCGGAGTAGTTGGTTCCTTCTCCCTTTAAAAAAGGTTTGTGATGGTTTGTGTTGTTGTGACGATGCAACATTCTTTTTGGACGACCTGCGGAAGGAGAGAATACAAATCTTTCAAAACCAAAACAGCAGTAGAGGCGCGATAGGGGTTTCTTTAATAATTCATTGTTAGCGACGAGGTCTTTATTTGTCGAGAGACATTCCCAGAAAAATTACTAGTGTGCTGTGAGTGGTGCCTTTGGCAAAGACGAAAATATGAATTATTTTGTCAGGCAAAACTTTTAAAGTTTTTATTCATCCACATAGACAGAACTATCAATGTCGGAGAATTCATTGAAGAAGTGAGTGAACAAATCTACAGTACTCTTAATGTCGACCACACCACATTGTTCTCTAATGGAATGCATGGACAATTGAGGAATTCCAACATCGATGGTGCGAATCGATGTGTTCGATGAGACAATTGGACCAATGGTGCTTCCACAAGCCGAGTCGTTTCTATTTTTCAGTCACGTTAACATTTGGTTCATGTATGAAATGATTAGCATAAATATAAATGAATTTGATTAATCAAACAAAAAAATGTGTTTCTCAATAACATTCAAATACTCACCGAACGACAAAGGATTGAAGAGGAATATTCTTTCTGCGAGCTAATTCTCCGAATAAGAAAGAAGTGTAGCCATTGGTTGTGTATCTCTGATTGGCGTTCGTCTTGAGGACAAGACCTTGATGAATTTGAGGTCTATGTTTGGCTTGATGCTTTTCAGAATAATTGGGGTGAACTAGAGGTGATGAATGTCGCAATGTGATTGAAATAAGCCAAACTGATCAAAATTTGAACCTACCTGCATGAGCCATGTCACAACTGATAATAAAACTCTTGGCAATGCATGCTCCATAGGAGTCAACAGGAGCATTCTTGTCAATGGAGGCATGTGTACATTGAATAACTCTGTTAATAGTATCTGAAATCAATGAAGAGTCAGCTCCATAACTACTTGTTGATCCAACCTCTTCATGATCAAAAAGGCAGATCATTTTACATCTTTTTCAGTTTCCAAGGATGAATCTGAATTGATCAAAGCCTCCAATGCAACAAAACAAGAAGCCAAGTTGTCCAATCTCGGAGCAAAAACAAATTCACCATTCACACCGCCAATGACGCCAGGTTGAGTGTCAACAATTGACAAATCAAAGTCCTTGATATCAGCTACATCACATTTCAACTCTTGAGCTAGTGCTTTCAACAATACAGAATGGTGGTTGGCAATAAATCCCTTTGCGTTGGGATCATCACTCAATTCTCCCAGTTCCGTTCCAATAATTGGTAGTAAATGAGTTTCAGTGTTTGGTTTGAATCCATCTTGGCTTACTTCTCTTTGTAAGTGAATGGCCAATGATGGAATTCTCAAAATAGGTTTATCAATTTCAACCAAATGTTGCTTGAATTTATCTTTTCCATCGGCAACAATAACTCTTCCAGCAACGGTTAAATCTATTGAAGCGTTTGAAACAACGAATTTCAAATAATTATGGAATAGTGATAATTAATCAAAACACAACGAAAATTATACAAAGTTGAAAATCATAAATAATTTGTATGATCATGAGATGCTGCTGTACAAACCTCTATCAAACCATGTGTACCACAAACCTCCTCCATAGGTTTGTACACCAACTTGCAAATAGCCAGAACTCTTTTGTGATGAAATTGGTTTCATGATCAAGTGGGGAGAGTCCGTATGAGCACCGATAATTTTCAATCCTGAAGCTCCAGGCTTAAAGTTTCCACCAACACTGAATGCAACAATAGTTGAGTGATTTCTGGTGAAGAAATACTTGCCACATGGTTTGATCTTCTCGGACCAATTTGCTTCTCTTTCATAGAGTTGTTCGAATCCAAATTCAGCTAATTTTTGCTTGATGGTTCCTACAACATGATAGGGTGATTTCGACTTGTTGATAAAATCAACCATCTTTTGAGCGATAGGCTGAGCATTTCGAATTGCTTCAAGAGTGGACATTTTTTTTTAAAAAAATTTAAAAGTATTCAATAAATATTTAATTTTAATAATGTTATCATGTGATAAAGAGTGTTGGTTTTATGTAACCTTATCTTACAAATGGACTATCTTAATATCTTGCAAAAAATCAATATTCAACGATTTCAAAAGTGTTTCTTTCATTCTTCGAACTGATCTTGTTTCATCCTCATGCTTCCAATACATAACAACTTTGTCAGAACCTGTTATGTACAACGAATGATGTGGTTTAGCCTGCACAGAAAGGGCACAACCCATTGAATTTGATTTTGGTTTGAATGTGAAAATAGTTGAATCATTCACTACAATAAAAAACAAGTAAGGTGCCGCAAAAATTCTGCAACTTGTAATATTCTCTTGGGAGGGCAAGTTAACTTTTTCTTTAGATTCTAACATGTATAGGTTGTGTTTGTCTGGGTTGTTCCATACACGAACAAGCAATTTGTATTGAAATTATAAAAACAATTATGTTCACCCACTTACTTGTTAATAATAAGGTCATGTAATAACCAGAAGCAATATCAATAAAATATTCGTCACTATCCATGTTTTTTGACTTAAATTCTCGAAGAATGGATAAATCTTTTCCACCTTTATCTAAGGTATATCCACAATAGTAAACTCGATGATCTCTTGTCAGAGCAATTATGGTATGATCTCCATTCACTGACCTGACAAAGAAAGGCTTATCCTTCGAATGATTCAAATTTTCAATTCTGCATTCCTTGATTTGACATTGATCCGTTGCATTTCGATAAGATGTGACGGCCTGGCCAGCCTCTCCAAATTGATTCGATCCTGCTGCAAATATTCTTCCCTTACTCGAAATAAAAGTTGCCGTATAAGCAGCACAAGATGTGAAAATGATATTTTCATCCACATCAAGTATTTGTTGAAAATCGAGAATTTCATTCCATTCGCTAACTATGGGATTTACATCGTTTTTTGTGAGTGGATAGACAATTTGTGCATGTTTTTGGACTTGAGCTGCATAATTAAATCCAGAATAAGAATTGAAAAGTTTACCAAAAACTCTCGTTTTCAGGGTGTACTGATCTTGCAATACAATAAGCAACAAAGAATAACCAGCACTAATATTAATAATTTTCTCGTTAGGTTCCAAAAAATCGAGTACTTGTTCCATCATGCCCATCTGTTCGGTAATTTCTAATAAATGACCTGAAACAGTAAGAACATAGCACTATCGAAAGGTGATCGAATTCAATCGTATCGATATTTATCAAAATAATACAATAACACAAGGTTAATGATCATTAATTCCGTCAGAAATTATTTAACGTTCCGTCATCATCTATGCATTCATCAGAGAGAGAGAGAAAACATACCATGCTAGTTCTACAAAGCACAGTTTTAATGCCATGAATTCCACGCTTTATCAACTTGTCTTGCAACAATGGATGAGGAGTATTTTGTTGATTTGTGGTGGTGATCGACAGGTTGGAATCATACGTTCCGGCAGCTATGAGTGTTGATTGGGTAGGATCCAGTGCTGCAAGAATATTCCGAAAGGAGAAGAGATCTTCTTGTTGTTGAGTCATATTTTTGTGTGATGGTTTTTAAAGTTCTCCAAATTCCAATGCTTGAACCATCTCAATCCAGAATAGTTGTTGCACCACTGATGGTGGTCGAGCACTTTGCTCAGCGTGCACGCCGATCATGGAAAACTATTCTTCATGGATTGATGAATTAAAACGAACGCTCGGAGTTGAAGGAGTCTCAACCACAAAAAAATGTTGTTCAACAAATCCAAGTCGTTGTTGTTGTTGTGTGGTATGGTGGTCTTGCTCTGTGGCATGTATGTCGCCGGAGAGAAGTATCACTTGATGTTCAATCCAAATCATAGCGCTGATAAACGAAATGGATTCAGAGATTTAAACGCATACACGATGGTGAAAGAAACGAAAATGACCATCATGGTCGGAGAACCAATGGCTCAAGTTCATTACGAAGAGACTATCAACAAGACTGGCTGGGCTACTTTGAGTTTATCAACAAACTCGGATAGAAGTGATGAGGAACAAGCTTTTGCTGCTGGTTTCGTTGAAGGTAGGTCATTCCATTGAATCATCAAAATATGGTGATTATTATTTGCATGATGAAAAAGGCTATGTGACTGGTGAATTGTTCCAAAATTACTGGATTGGATTTAAGCAATATACGTTTGATACCAGCCAAAACAAGCAATTAGATGCTTTCCTTGATGGAAATTTCAGATTCATGAAGAGAAAAATTGCTGAGGCTAAAAATTCAACAAATCCAGAAGAAAGAACTTATTGGTATCATGTCTCGTTGATTTTAGATCAAGTAGAAGGAATGTATGCTGGATACTTGAAAGTCATGTCTGAAAAGGGAACCTTACCTGTGTTATCATTGGCAGATTTGTTTAAATTCCAACTTGATGGAGACATTGACGACTTGTCCAACATGTGGAGTCCTCCTTCATTTGAGACCATGAGCAAATTCGACTTGGAGAGTTATGCCATTTTCAAAACTAAATGTAGTGCATTCGTGAAATACAGCAAGGACAGAAGAAATTTGTTCTTGACCCATGCAACCTGGGATACATTCCAAAACATGTTGAGGTATGTTTGACATGATGATGTTTGTTTGCTTACAAAACAATGAATACTTGCAGAGTTTACAAGCACTACAGAATTAACTTTAAGAATGTGCCAGCTAAGCTCGTCAGCTTCTCCTCTGCTCCTGGTTGGCTAGTATCTGTGGATGATTTTTATATTACATCTGCTGGTTTAGTCATCACCGAGACATCAAACAATATTTTCAACTTGACCCTTTATCAAAAGACTACTCCAGAAACCTTATTGTACTGGATTAGAAATATTGTTGCAAACAGATTAGCAACATCTGCAAAGGAATGGACTGACATCTTTGCCAAATATAACAGTGGAACTTATAACAACCAATGGATTGTATTGGATACAAAGAGATTTGTTCCTGGTGCAACACGATCTGATCCAGAACTTCTCTACATTTTGGAACAAATTCCTGGTGATTGCAAAGTTGCTAGTGTAAGCCACTTTTTGGACACTTCCTATTGGGCTTCTTACAACATTCCTTATTTCCCATATATTTATAACATTTCAGGTTATCCAAGCCAGTACAAGAAATTTGGAGATTTTTGGAGTTACGAAAATTGCCCAAGAGCCAAGATTTTCAGACGTGATGCTCCCTATGTTGGAGATCTTGAAGGTAGGTCATTATATTGTTCATCATCGTTTTCAATTTATTATTGCTCTTGTGAAACTCACAAATAATATTAATTTAATATTAACAGGGGTCAAGAGATTGATTAGAAAGAATGATTATCAATCAGATCCATTCTCAGATGGTGATGCTTGCCACCAAATTGCTGCTAGATGTGACTTGAATCCTCCAAATAAGAGATCACAAGCATTCGGTGCTATTGATGCTAAGGTCACTGACATTCAGATGGCAAAGACAAATACTGCTGTCGCTCAATCAGGCCCAACCCACGATCAACAACCAGTATTCACGTGGAACTCGCAATGGGATAAAGTTAATATTCACACTGATCAACCAGTTAGCTTTGGCTTTGATTGGGTTGAAATGACTCCACAAGTTTAGATAATTTAATTAAACATATTTATTTGCAAGATTTAATTTCCTTTTTAAAATTTAAATAATCAAAACAAAAATGAAGAAGGCTCTGTCCATTCGAGGAATTAGTTCTTCTTTGAGTAGAAAAAGCACAAATTTCTTAGAGTGCGAAACATCATCATCATTAATCACATCTAGGAACAAGTACAACCTAATTGGAAGCTATGAAAAGAAGCCTCGTTTTCCAATCTCTGTGTTTCATTCCGATGTTGATAAATCATTATTAATTCATTCTCATCATCCAGATGAGGCAAACTATTCCTATAGCGTGAATATTGCCATCGACAATTTTTCTCCAATACATTTATTAACCTATCATCATTTCAATAATTTAATTGCATCAAAATTGAATTCAAAATTTATTTATTCTCCCCAAATTTACCCATCAATATTTTCTACTGACACACACCAACAAATTCAATCCTTTCAATTTACAACAAACAATGAAGAACAACATAAAATATTGATAGATACATTCAACAAGGAACTTTTCTTTCCGTCATGGGACAGTCAATACTTTCAATCTCTTCACGAAAGTGCAATGAATACCTTCATGGTGCTAAACTCTAATGATCCATCAGCACGATTTGGGAGAAGTATCTTAAGCCATCTTTATGGAAATATTCCATCATTTGATGAAATGTTACATTCAGTGAAAAATATGAATTTGGATAACTTGGAAGAACAATACAGAGCAGTTTACTGCCCATCAAATAGTGTTTTTCTATCTGCCGGAGGTGATGTCGAAGAGGTGATTGCATCTCTGGAAACAGTCTCTCCACAAATACATACTCCAAGAAGTAGTTTTATTTCTACATTTCAAAAACCAACCCATCCATCATCAAGAGAGGTTATTGAAGAAGAATTTGTTGTTGATGAATCTCTACCACTTAATAACCAAGGAAAGGCAGCCATCGCTTACAAGTTGAATTGCGAATTTTCTGTAAGTCATCTCGAGTCATCATTATATTTTAGTAACTGGTATTGAAGAATCAAAAAGATTACATTTTGTTAAAGATACTTAGTTATTGCCTTTCGGATACATTTAATCAAGAGTTTGGCTCTTTATCTGTTAGGCCTTTTATCCATAATGGTATTAATGAATCAATGAACGAACTTTGCTTTGTTGTTGGTGTTGAAGGGATTTCATTGCAAGATATGAAACTTGTAAAGAAAAGACTGGAACATGTTATTGAAAATATAAGAGTCCACAATGCACTACCTTATTTAAATAAGCTGCAAATGGAACTCCAAACGTTGGTCAATTATTCCACACATTCTATTCAAGAGGGATCATTTCATTCATGGAAGAGCAGCTCTAATGCTAAACAATTTCTCGAAAAATTTGCAAATTGTATTGACCTTTTACAAACATTATCGAAAGTGAGAAAATTACTAGAAGCGGATGCAATTGCATGTTTTAATTCAATTAAGGAAAAATACTTCCTCTCAAACCGTGAAAAAATAATTCTCATTAACAATGCAACGAAAATGATAGAGCTATCTGAACAAACATCTAACACGCAAAGATCCTTGGTTTTTGCTACCACAATTGCTCCTAGTTTAGACTTTAAACCAAGTGCTGAGGTTGCTTCATCTTTCATCAGTAGTCGAGTTGAATCACGAGCAAACGGTAGATTTTTGTTGAATGTTCAAGAAGCAAATGGAGATCTAGTGGACATTTCACTTACAAAGTATGAACCTATATATGTTTCTGCAAATGAAAATAAGATTTACGATATTCATTATTATCCAATTATTGCAAAGTTGATTAATTGTATGGGAGCAAGAGATGCAACTGATGCCATCATGGAATCCTTTAAACAGAAGTATTTTCCAAGAGGAATCAAAACCACGGTTGAAATATTGCATGACCGTTTTGATTGGGATTCTGTGAAATGTGGAATTGTCATCAGAACTCAAGTTTTGAAAAAACACTTATTCAAAGCTCTAGATATTTTAGAAGCCATGTTGAATGACTCTGAGCTCAAAGAGCTACCACCTCACGCACTCAACGATGACATTGTTCGAGATATTGCAAAAACCCTTTCGGATGAGATTATTTCAAAACATGGTTTGATTGGCTTAGGTTATCTCTCTTCAGAGGCAAAAGTCAATCCTATTACGGTATGTACTTTGATATGATTTTAACATGCTCATCCATCATATGCATTGTATCAATCTACATAGAAATTGAATGACTACGTGGGAGGGTTTTCTCAATTAGCCTTTTTGAAACAATTCTCATCTGGTAATTTAACGGCTTTCAAACAACGTCTTTCTCAATTCTATGGACAGTTAACTGCAAAATCTAACACTAAATTGTTGTTGACAACAAGCTCATCCCAGCTCGAATCTGTTTGCAAAGTGGCTGAAGACTTCCTTGAATCCAATCCTGATACTGTCAACATTTCGGGCCAACACATAAAGTATGGTGCGTTTGTTAAGTCAAGCAGAGATAAGCATAGATTTATTGTCATTGCTGATGGTATAATTCCTGAAGGGCATAGAATTATTTGCAGAAGTGTCAATACAAGCTCTCCAGTTACTGCAGAAAAAGCAGCCCATATTTATCTATTCGCTGAAGCATTAAATAGAAAATTATTTAAGGATTCTTCAATGCCCACCACAGCAAAGCAAACAATGGATGGAACATTTAAACTTACCCTATTGTCACCATCAACCCTCCATGTCAGTATATTAGAGCTTGTTGAAACAATTCAACGATTTATTGATTTTGGGCTGGATGAAATCGAAGAAGAGGAGTTAATGAGCTGCAAGATAGCAGTCATGAGAGAATTAGGAGATTCTGTTGTTTTACCTCCCCATGAAAGAGCAACAAAACAATTCTTGTTTGGAATTACTTTTGAAGATTATTCCTTGCTTAAACAGCACGTCATGAATGCAGCCTTGGAAGATATTAGTGATGCAGCGAAAACACTCTTTGGTGTTCAGTCTACAGGACATGCTTTAGCTGTACTGGGGGCCAAGAAAGATATACCTCAAGATATATTGGTGATGGCACAAGGTAAAGAAGCAACATGGGAAGTCACAGGACAAGAATTGGATATGACCGTGGAGGACTATATGATGGGAGGAGACCAGGAAAACGAACAGAAACAAGAAACAGTGGTGGATGAAGAGGACAAACCTTATAGCAGTTTTTAACACTTCTTGTATCGCTTGGTGCTGTCACCATGCTGGTTTTGTCTGTTCGAATTGCTTTGGCTGCCATAATAAGGAGGTGGTCTTTCACTTTCTCTCCTTCCATGCTCTGAACGGTAATTAAATGTTCGATTGTTTCTTCTCTTTTTTGTATTTTCAGTTTCTAGATCAATGGCATAAGGGTCTTCCATTGAATTATTGTGATTGCTGTTCGTTGAAGATTTTGATTTGCTCACAAGTTGTTTCATAATGATTGTTTTTTCTTTTTCGAAGCGTGTGTGATGAGATGGTGTGCTTGCTGAAGGAGGCGTCTTTGTGGAGTTTGTTTTGTCAGGTGTTGATGTTGGTGTATTGTTTGATGTGGAGGACGAGTGGCCATCTTGTGGCCTTTCCTCAAAAGAGCTTAAAGCCTTCACCTGAAGCATCTCGAGTATTTTGTTGGCCTCTTGAGTTTCTTTCTGAACTAGAATTTGTTGTCTCCTCAGCCACAATGTCTCACGACTTTCAGAAGAGCTACCACCACTACGATTTCCAATGTTGGTGGCAGATCTATTTGCAAGAGTGTCAAGTTGCTGAGTATTCCTTGTACTTTCTTTTTGTTGGCCAACGCTGCTTGTAGAATTGTTCCTTGTATAGGTCCTTTTCGGCATGTACACTGTGTCAAATTCATTCTCACTTTGGGCCAGTATTTTCTCTTCTTCAGTTAAAACATTTTGTGGGTCATCTCTCAAGAGTTGGTCACGAATCTCTGCTCTTTTTATCCAATTCGGATACTTGTTGACAATTCCCAAAATTACTTCATCCGTAATAGAGGCGTCCACAAATTCTGGTGTGTTACTTGCTGCCATCACGCTGTTATCATCAGGAATAATTAATAAATCTTTGGTAGCATATGTGTCAACACTGGTGTTTCCGTCATCTACAATCCAATTGGCAAGATTCTCTTTTTGCAATTGTCTTTTAAGGACCAAATCCTCCATTGTATTTTCACATATAAATCTGTAGATGTATACGGGTTTCTTTTGACCTATTCGGAACACTCTACACACAGCCTCGCTGTCATGAGAAGGATTCCAATTTACATCGACTAGTGCCACTCTATTGGCTCCCATTAAATTAATTCCCTCACATCCTGCAAGTGTGGACACCAACAGCACGTTAATGTTATTACTCATATCATTAACTTTGTCAATGCATGATTGTCTTGTTTCAAATGGAGTGCTACCATCAAAACGCATAAAATTGATCTGTTCTGTGTTCTTTTTGTTGTATCTCTTAAGGGTACCTTCAATAAAATTCAAGGTGTTAATACTTCGACTGAATACTATCAATCGATCACCAACACTTTTGCATTGAAACATTACGCTAAATAAAAGAATCATTTTTCCTCCATTGTTGAGCTCTCCTTTCTTGTAGCCAATAGATTCTGGATTTGAAAATATTTCTTCAAGAATGGATAGATCCATGGTTGCATCGTCTGAAATATCATCGGCCTTTTCCTCTGTGTCGAGATAACTGTCAATTTCATCTTCATTGATTGGTGGATCAAAAAGTTCCCCACAATTAGTCTCCTGCTCAACTGAGTACGAGGATTCTAACACTTCTTTCTTTGATGTCTTTTCCTTATTTTCTTTTTCTTTCTTTTGATTTTCAATCTGGGCTGTCTTCCAATTGAAATAGTTGAGTAGGACATCTGGATGATTGCATAACATGATAATCACATCATATGTCCAAAATATATTGATTTTTGCATTCATATTTTTTAAATATTCTATCAATATTTTGTATATTTTTCGTTGTATGTCGCTATTTGAGATGGTTAACATTATTTCTTCTTTTTGAGGAAGTAACTTCTTCAGTAAAGAGGCATCTCTTCGTAAAATTAATGATTTAACCTTTTCATATAACAGCCAAGCTCTTCTTCTTGCTATTCTTTTTTCATTAATATTGTTCGAAACTTGTCCTCTATGAATTGGCTTAGAATATGTTCGTTTGAATTCAATTTTTTCTCCCAAAAAGTTTGGAGAAACAAAATTGATCATGGTCCAATATTCCAAAAGATTGTTTTGAAAGGGGTATCCAGTTAAAATTATCCTTCTAGTTGTTTGTACAGTATTGAGGGTCTTAGCAATTTTTGAGGAAAAGTGTTTGATTTTGTGGCCCTCATCTAGAATGATAACATCTGGGCCAGGTTTGGTTAGAAATTCATAAAAATCTTTGTCCACACATAATGTTCTGAACATATCATACGAGGTGACCATCACACCTCCATTTTCAAACCATGTTTTCACAGTTTTTTTTCGTTCTTGAGTAGAAATTTTTGAACATAGCGAATAGGTGGTTATTGAAAATGTTGATTCTCCATCCATCCATTTTTTGATTGTTTCAAACTCGCGTACCCAGTGAGTATTTACAGATGCTGGGGAAACAATAAGGACCGTTTTTGCCTTGCCTTGAGATAAAAATAAATGGAGGAATGATGCTGTTTGCAGCGTTTTTCCCATTCCCATAAAGTCAGCTAAAATGCATCCAGTTCCTTTGTTGATGTTGTCCCAAAGAAACTTAACACCTCGTCTTTGATGTGGATACAATTTTTCAAACATAAACTTGGGCACAAATTCTCCGATTTCTTTCAAAGTTGTATTTGCTAATTCTGAATCCTTTTCTGTATCTAGGGCTTCTTCACCTTGTGAAAAGTCCATCTGCAAAATTTTTGGCTCCACAAATTCTTCGTCACTCGAAATAAATTCTTCATAATCCATGTCATCTCTGTAGCTCGTGGATGCCTTGCTTTTGTTGGTATTTGATTGAGAGACCACAACTTCGTCAAATATTTGAATTGCAGATGAATTAGCATCTAATTCAACCTCGCAGCATTCTTCTACGTGTGGAGGATCTAAATCATACATCACAATTTCTCTAGAGGTAACATGCTCCATGGCAGTTGTAGGTGTTTCAATTAATACTGTATCAGTGATCGCATCCTCTGTAGGTTCAGTAATTTGAGGTGCTTCATCCTTAGAGTTCTTTTTAGTTTTAGTCTTCTTCCTAGATTTTGATCCTTTTTCCTTTTCTAATTGCTTGGTAAGATCCGCAACTTTGTTCTCCAACGAACTATCAACAAATTTTGATCATGAGAATTCTACCAATTGTACTTACTTTACCCTAGAAACCAATTGTTTAACCATGTCCAACAACTCCGATGTGGATGCGTTGCTGTCCACCAAATCAACCTTCACATCCTCAAAATTACAAGTTAGATCGGATTTACTACTGTTCGTCTTTAAAGATTTTTTGCTCATTAATTCCGATGCTGTACAAAACTTATATTCGTTGCATCCAAAAATTGTTTTGATTTAGCACAATTATGAATTGATGAAAGTTACTTGTGGGCACAAGGAGGTGAAGAAGCAACGGTTTTTTCAGTATTTTTTTCAAAATAAAAAATGAAAATTCAAGTGATTGCTTCTTCTTTTTCAAAAGAGAGAAATTCTCTCGATCCGAACAACAACAACAAACAAGATTCCACCATGGTGGAGATGAGTAGCATCATGATGAAAGATTTGTTGAAAATTCTGATCATTTTTGAAAAAAGTAGATGCAACTTGTCAAATTTACTTTTTGAAGGATTGAATGAGGCTGATGATGACTATTACCGTTTTTTTAAGAACCAAACGATTGAAATTGGAAATCATACTCAAAGTATTTATGATGTACTGAAAGATCATCTTTCTAAACAATATTCGAATCTTGTAAAAAAGGTGACACAATCGTTAAAGCAGAGTGACATGATCGATGTTAGAAATTCTCAATTTGTGAGAATGTTCATTCAATGTACAGAGCTTCCAAGTATCATTTTGTTTCTTTATTCGATCATTCAGGGAAAAGAAAAAATTATTCCATTAGATATCCTTGCCTTATTGGATCAATGTGGCTTCCTTTGGGGACAATCACAATCTTACATTGATTACAGTTTGTTCATTATCAGACAATTAAGATTATTACTGAAATCGGAATTTATTTACAGACAAATATATTCCAAAGACAAAGACAGATCCATAATTCCTTGTGAACACTTTTTAGAACATGGTATTCAACAAAAGCTCTCCAATTATTTTGGAATACATCATTGTGTGTGGGTGACAGGTATCTACTCAAGCACTTCTCTTCCATTATCTAGTGGAGGAGTTAGCATTTCCATTGAAAATTTTGGAGTTTTTATCCAATTACACAGTCTCTTAAAACACAAACCAAAGTATTATTCTCTAAATAGAGAAGAACTCATTTTGCATGAACTGATTCATGCCTGTAGAGAAAATCTTCACTCCACACGATTTGAAGAAGAATTTGCCTACTCACTCTCACCGAATATTCTTCGAAGATTACTTGCTCCAATCACCAGAGGAACTACAGAATCTCTTTTATTTTACCTCTTCTCCATTCTGAGTGTCACTTCAGATTTACCAAAATTTCCAAGATGGTTCTCTTTGTCCTCTAAACTTCCCTTTCTATGGATCATTCTCTTTGGAATGATTCGATTAATGAAAACGAAACAAATCCTCACTCATGCTCGAACATTGATGACCAGAGTGCTGATGCTGCTACATCCAACACTCACTACACATCAGTTGGACTCGATCGTTTCAAGTTTATTGTTTCGTCTCACCGATGAAGAAATTGAATACTTGTCTCAATGGTATAATGACCAGAACCGAATGAAGAAGGAAAACAACAACAAGTTCCATGAAATGATTCAACACTACATTTCTGATGAAAGTAACTTGTCTCGTTGCATTCGATGGAAAATCATTCAACACAGATTCATTTCCAATCATCCTTTTGACTTTAGGACATCAAAGATGTAAATGTCAACTACTACAACCGTGCACACAAACGACTTCAAATGGACACCCTTGTGATGCCATCACAAGATTATTAGCCAAATAGAGAGACAATGAAAGTAATCACGACATCTCTTGCATGATCAATGTACCAATGATGTACATCAATGCTGTCCTGAATAACGACATTGACGCGAGAGACTTCGTACATTATAACTTATTGAGGATGTACCAAACAGGATGTGCACCTTTGTATGTTATTACTTGACGACTAGTATTGGTCATCATCATTTGGAAATAATTATTGATCCTACAAAACAATGTCATCAACAATTGTTGATCTCAATCCAAGAGATGACACTTCAGACGCCACAACCAATAATGAAGGGTCTGAAACAGGAGTTGTATCTAATGTCAACACGGTGTCCTCTATCTTGAGTCAATCTGTTCATCAAAGACTCGCCAACAACTTGGTTTCATTCTTATTTTATATGCAAGACAATTCTGTTACAAGGAGAGGAAAGATTTCCTATTTGATCGTTCTTGGAATGGTTTTGTATATGATCTATGTTGGAATATTCATGTCTACTCTCACGTCATCATCTTTTGGGGAATGAGGACGTTGGATATTTCTAGTGTTGAATTGGCCTTTAACATTTTCATTTGAGAGATTACCATATTTGGGATCTGTGATTGTTGCTTTTGTTAGTGTGGTTGTGGTTTGGTCCTTTCAAATATTCCTTTTGGTAGTTTTTTACCTCTTCTCAATCACCTCCAAGTATCTCTTATTCATCAAATCTAGTTTTCATTCATTGTCCAAATTATATATACTGTTCTCTCTTCCCGTGATGTATGTCATGTTGAATACAGTTCAATGCAATCTAGAGACGAATACATTGAATACTTTTTCAGAATTTAGCTCTCAACACATTGAATGTTCAGGTGCACTCAATGATGCCCTCATGGCTGTGTTTATTGTGAGTTCATTGATGATTATCGTCATGAATGCATTCTGTTTAATCATCATCACGAACATGAATGCCTCACTACAATGGGCACCATTCCTTACGGACACTCCTCTTGTATTTATGGTTTTACAATTAGCCAGAATGTGATTCAATTATTTGTACACATGCTCATACCAGGTCCTTATTCCTATGCAAGAAGTGCATTTCATTGTGTCGTTTCGATCCTTCTTGTGATGATCCTCTTTCGACTAGTACCCTTTTTGAAACGAGTGGGGAACTCGATGGTTGCCTTTGGATTTGGAACTCGATTCGGAGGATCTCTCGGTACTCTCATTTCTCAAACGATCGTTCAATCCATTGCAATTCCTTTGAATGCATCCTCTCCTGGTGAGCAAGAAAATCCTCCCTTATTGGGTCTCTCCTTAATGATCCTTGCTCTTGCCATTCTGTTTGGTTTGATGTGTGCCATTGGGATGGAAATTTATACACGTTACAGTTTGCACATGATTCGAAGTGCATTGGTTGAATTCATATCCAACATGCCTGCCTCACAACCATTCACAACAACAACAACAACAGAAACAACAACAACCCATCATTCAGAACGTACCACGTGCAAGGAGGATGCCAGTGATGACAGAGATTCAGCCATACAAGCACAAGATCCAACTCTCTATACCAAAAGGTTGGAAATGAGTGCCATTTACTTTTATCAAACCATTGAAGAAGAACATTTGAAGAAAGCATTACACATGTTTGTTCGATTCTCACTCATGTCCAACTCGTAAGTTCATTCACCCGATCATTCGGTGTATGTTTCGGATATGGATGCATGTGTGGCTTTTATCAAAGGTATTTCTAGTCATACTTCTTTTTCAGATGTCAATCTCTTAATCATGTTTTCATCCATCATTTCTCAAGTGAATTCTTTGGACCTTAATGCTCAAATGTTTGCTCAAAGTTTGTTAAAGAAAGCAAAGAGGAAGAAACCCAATCTCTTTTACAAGTACTTGATCACCATTAAAAAGAAAGAGATTTTAATGAATGAGAATGCACATTCTTTTGAGCTTCAAAATTCAATGGATGAATTGGAGGCAAAGCAAGATCTATTACGAGCATTACATAAGGATGTTTGGAAAGAATTAACAAATGAGGTGATTATCATGTACTCGAAGCAACCATGGTTAGAATTGGAGATCTCTCCAAACCGAAAGCGAAACCAAATATAGTAACTTAATGTCCAGTTATTCATCGGATAAGAATATCGTCAAATCGTATGCAAGGTTTTTGGAAAGTTTCATGTTCAATAAGGAAGAAGTCACCGAGTTGTACTCTGAATCCATGAAATTACAAGCTGAAGAATCCACAAAATCTAAAAGAATGGAACGTTCGAGAGAATTTATAAACAAACTAAAATCCAACAACAAGATTGTTCCAACACTCCAAGGATTGAACGTTCGACAAAGCTTTTCCAAAATCATTGAAAAACAGGATCTTGTTGAATGTAGTGATGTTGGATCTGTATTCTCAAGAGAAGCATTTGATGGAATTGAAAACAAGAATGACTCATATCGACAACATTTGCTAATTCCTCACCCAACGACTTTTAGATATTTCATGTTTGGAATATTTGTGACGCTCTCCATCATTTTTCTCATTGTCACATTATCCATTTCAATTTACTTTTCTAATATTGTGACCAATGATGTGAATTTAGTACTTGCTGATTGTGCTCCAGTCACTGTCAATGGTCAAACTGTATTACATGTGAGAAGCTATCAAGCTCATCTCTATTTATTTAGTAATTCTTCGAAAACGTGGCCAACAACCATGACCAAGTTTGGATTTGATTCTTTTGAAGAATACAAACAGTTTCGCGATCAATCTTTAAGAGACAATCTTCAAGTATATTATGATATCAAGAATAATGCAAACAGTGGGAGATTCTCCATTCCTCTCTACTCATCGTATCATGAAAAGTATTATCCACTTTACAAACCACAATTAGTTCAGAATTCTGAAAATGGAACTTTTCACTTTACTGGCCGTTTTATTGCCAATGTCACCATAGCTGATATTACAAACATGGCCATCACTTACACCAATGAAATTTTTTGGATTTTCGGGTGAAGACTACCAACACACGTTTGACAGTCATGCATTTATGTGGTTGTACACCAATAATGCAACCGTCACAGATGCCTTTAATGATTTTTGCAATGTTCACTTTCACTATTCCATTGAAAATGGAAGAATGATTGAGAATATTTTCTATGGAGTCTATTTCTTGTGCTTTTTGATTTACTTGATCTTTTCCATTTCCTTTTTAGTATACGTTTCAAAAGATTTGACTTTTGCCACAGCTCAATTCAAACTCTTCCAGAATACCATTTCTAAAAACTATATTGGGAAATTTTATTACAAGCTTAGCACCACTGTCTCAAGGAATCAACTCGCTGTCAAGACAGAATACAGCAAACTCTTCAATCCTCGTGTAATGGTCATGAGCATGTCTATCTTCATTGTCAGTTTCACCATGATTAGTGCAGGCCTATTCCTTCAAGAAATGTTAAGCAATGGATTATACAGTCGTCAAACGTATGTGACCATGAAGGACTCCAATGATGTTGCTTATCATTTACAAGACGTCATGTTTGCTTCAACGGAAGTTTACATGCACAAAGCATTCAATTCCACCTATTTCAACGATCCTCCACTTCAAACGAGTGCTCATATTTCACTTTTCAACAAGGGCAGATGAAACTCTTGTGCTTGGAAGATATCAAGATGTTGATCAAATCATTAAGGGAGAACCTAATTGTACCACACAACAAGTGATGAAATATGATTTGAATTGTACTTCAAGTTTGGATATGGAAGTTGCTGAGACGATGGACATGGTTTTGAATTTGAATCAACTTTCCATCAAGAAAGATCCTGTTGTCCATGAACAATTCATTAAGTCCATGCTCTATTTGGATCGAGTGTCCTATCGATTGATTCACTTCTCTGAAAAATTGGCCATCTATGCATCAGTTCCTCGTTTTGTGCTTGCTCCCCTTTTTGGAACCTTGTCGTTCGTGATCTTGTTTGGATTTTCATTGGGCATTTTGAGAGTGTTCATGTCCTATTCGAATGCTGTCAATTTCTTGAGAATGATGATTAATTATGTTCCTAAAGAAGTCATTGACTCGTCCGAAGCTTTGAAGAATTATCTCTTTTTTCACACGATTGAAAAGTCCAATAAGAATTTTGTGGAACAACAAATTCACAAACTCACACATGCTAACAAAGAATCAAATTCTCAAATGGATCTCTCCATTGTTCACTCGATTATCAACGCCTCTATTGATGGTGTTGACATGTGTGTGAATAGTACAGATATTGATGCTTTTAATCCTGTGGCTCAATCCATGTTTGGATTTGCAGTTTCAGAAATTGTTGGAAAAAGTGTATTTGAATTATTCGATGAAGAAGTGATTCCAAGAATGCAAAAATCAATTGAAAGTACGGTACTTACCCATAGGAATGATAAATCATTCAATAATCATTGAGAAATATTCGAAACAGAATGTATTCGTAAAAACAAAACACGTTTTCCAGCAAAAATTAGTATTTATTTGGTGACACATGGCAACAAGGAAATTGTGGTTTGTTTCATTAATGATCAAACTTCAGAAAAGAAAAGAAATGCTCTCTTACAAGAGGAAAAGAAACATTATGAAGAATTACTGTTAAACATTTTACCTTACTCTGTGGCCAATCAACTCAAGAATTCATCGGGTGACAAACTCATTGCTGAAGAGTAAGTATTGAGTGTCTCAATAGTTAATTGATCGACTATTATTATCTTGAACATTTTAGGCTCAATGATGTGACTGTGTTTTTCAGTGATATGGTCGGCTTCACATCCATGAGTAGTACCATGAACCCAACTGAGCTTGTAACTCTCTTGAATGAAATTGTTGTGGGATTTGATCTTTTAACAGAAAAATATAATTCAGAAAAGATTAAAACCATTGGAGATGCATACTTTTGTGTTGGAGGGTAAGTCACAATATTATCAACAACGCACTGTGTGTGAAACAAACACTTTTATTGTTTGACATGAATATTGTCAACACTTTTATTGTTTGACCTTTTATTATTCACATGAATATATTCCTTAGTTTACATGATGCTCAAACGGATCATCCAGAACGAATGTGTAAATTTGCATGTGAAACCTTTGGCATATTGCGAGCTTACAATCAGAAACGTTTCGGTCAATACATTCAAAAGAAATCCTCACTCTCTGCCATAATGAGTAATAGTCTTCCAATGAAACCACCTCTCATGCGAACCTCTCCTTCTTCTTCTTCATTCTTACCAGAAAGACCATCACTGAAAACCGGTTCTGCTTCTCATGCTTCACTTCAATGGTCTTCTAATGTCATGGAAGAAGTGAACGGCAATCGTAACAGTGGTAATATTGGAGGTAATATGAGTGGTTCTACTACTCGATTCAGTCTTGATAAAACCTTAGAAAGCAGTACATCAAATCTTTTCGTAGGCATGGAAAAACTTTCTCCTCCCATTCAAATTAATATTCGAGTTGGAATTAATAATGGAAAATGTGTGGCAGGTGTCATTGGCTGACACGCTTGTGCGTCGATTTGAGACAACAACAAATGAGGATTCCGACGACAATCTCTTGACAGACATCTGACACGGTCAATGACGAGGCAGAAGCTGTAGTTGAAAAACTGTAAATGATTCGAGTTTGTTTTTAGATTTCATACTAAAATAATGCCGAGAGTTTAAATGAAGTAAAATCGATTTCATGGATTCATGGATGAATTTTAGTTTTTGCATTTTCATGAGACATGCCTTCAATGAAATTTCCAAAACAAGCAAAGTGGCATTTTGTGATGAATAGTGAGGACCTCCTTGAATCGCTCATGAAACTCTTGTCTTTTGAGGAGAATTTTACTGAATTCATCATCATAAATGCGTTCAATTAGGCAATAATTTTTATTTACAATTATGATCATATTATTGTGCGGAGGATGGCAATTCTGAGAGATGAAGACTCTCGAAAGCCACTCACATTCTATTGCACCAATGTGAGTTACACCATTCACAGCTTTTATATATTTACAAGGATTTGTGTGCTGGTGTGCTGATGTGTGTGTGCAATGCAACAATAGGATCCTGCGTTCATCTTTTATCATCACATCAGAAGAAGACGATGACTCCAACAACCTCCTCCTCCTCCTAGATTCAAAACACTTAATGGTTCAACATCAATATAGGTCTCAACCATTGTTGAAGAATATATATTCAAGGATGATGAGTGATGCGATGATGCGCACAATGAGGTGGAATCGAGCAGACCAATTGAAAAGAAGAAGAACTTTCGGAATTTGTTCGTCCTAGGGTGTTGTTGTTGTTGTGGTTTCTTTCTTCTTTGGTCTCTTCTTCTTCGAATACTAAACGACGGCATACGGAATGACTTTTTGTAGAGGAAGAGGAGGGTATTATCATTGAATGATGATGATGATTCCAGTTTGAGAAATTTGCTTCTTCTCGATACGAAGATAAAAGTCTTTCATTGTGAGCATCTCTTCGTTGAGTTTCTTTTGCTTGTTTATAGATTAGGAATTGGTCAGGAGGACATGTGTTGTTTGTTCTTCGTTTGGGAGTGGTCATGATAAGGTTGGAAGAGCTTGTTTCAATGTTGGAAGATCTTGACAAGTGGCACTTCATAGAATCCTAGTAAGTTGAGTGGCAATGATGGTTTGTTAAAAACAGTGAGAGTGAATGGAATCGTTTGTGTGTGAATTGATGTCAATGACTATACAAGGAAGGATGTGAAAAAAAGGTTGGAAATATCAAGATGACCAAATTAGAGGAAGCAAGCTGTACGTGAGTGTGGCTTTGTGTGGGCCCGCAAAATCTGGCTGCTGACACGGAATGTCTTTGGCAAATGTTTTTGTTTTTTTTAGATTTTGTTTCTTCGAGAGGATCGACGACGAGTTTCACACACACGTAGTCGTCTTCTTCTTCGTCGCAATCAAAAAGTCAGGCACAGACAATTTTTCGTGTGTGTCGAATCCTTTTGCTGGATTCCTTCGTCACTGAAATTGGAACAGGTCCGGTTATGAACGTTGAACGAGCGCGCGCGCACTCGTGAAGAAGGATCAATTGCGGGAAATTTTTTTGGCGCCGACAAGATTATAGTCAACAGTTGACTGCCTGTGAACATACGTATATTGAGAGAGGCGTCTAAACACGTTGAGTTGCAACAAAGTTTTCTCAAATTATTAATTGATAATTCAGAAACACACTTTCCAAAATGCAATCATTTTCTTCTTGTTTGAGGATGGTGCCTCTATTTGGATGTTCGCTTTTTGAAACATTTCTGGAAAGTGTCAATCTTATGGAGTGACAAATACCCATTCCAATACAATGACACATCAAAACTGACCCCCCTGCTCCGTACCTCCGCACCGTCATTTTATCGCTGAAGAATCTTTTGAACGAATATTTTATTGCATATATTTATTGACGGCGGAGTGCTATTTATTGCAAAGTATTGTGGTGTCCTTGTATTGTCCCTTCAAAAAACAACAGGTTACAACCATGTATAGAAATGATCGTCTGCATCATTTCAGGATGTAAAACCCTCTCTGTTGAATATTCGCAAACGTGAGGAGAACAATCAAAGCAGTTTTTTATGTTAACCTGGTGAATCACTGGCATGCAACAACATTTACAACTTTACAAGCCACAAGAATTACTCAACAATATTGCACCACTTTCCTACAGCATTAATTTCTTATTGGTGTTTCGAAACTATTAGCTTACAAGTAAATGGGAATGAGACATCTCGCATGCGAGTTGGTTACTTGGTAAATGGCTGCTTTTGTTGAAGTCACTAATCGTTGAAAAAAGAATGCAGCAGAATAATTTCGAAAATGTTGTTCCACTTCAAATTTTCTAAGAAATTTGTTAAATTTATTAAAGAATTGTAATTGAGTGAAAAAGAACAAGAATATTATCATGAACTAATTCAATACAAATTATCACAAAACTCAGAAGAGGAAATATGTAAAGAACCTCAAAACAGGCTGGATGAGTTAAGATTTGAATATTTATGAGATTTGACAGATAAATGTCAAGAATCTGATCAACGAAAATTTCGAATAGGAACATATTGTACACGAGGTATGGAAATTAGTCTTTGAATCACACAACAACCACTACAACAACAACTATATTCCATAGTCGATCAAAAAGCATGGATTTTAGAACTTGATTGTGCATGGGTAGATGAATCGAGTTTTCACAAGGACGTTTCATGGGCAACATTTAATGATGAAGGAATTATTGTTCAATCTCAACTTGAAAATGGTTGGAAACCATCCATTAAAAAGTCATTTCGAGTTCGACATTTTGACAAACTTGCAGGTCATGGCTATAGTGCCTTCTTGAATGCATTTGGACACACATGCCTGTTGAAATTCTTCCAAAATTAGTTCGAATGTATAATGAATTGTCAAAAGATGTTCCATTAATTTGGCCTAAAAACCCAGTTTCTGTGAAATATTATCTCGTGATGAAAGAATTAGGACACGTCATTGATGGAAACAGAACACTTGTGACCACTGAACTTAATACAGTAATAAGAGCAAACAAACTTTATCATGCATACGATGAAAACTTTCCTCACAAGAACATTTTGGAATATCTCAATTTAAATAAGAAACCCACAGAAGGAATGGCAATATTATTTCCACACGCCCTCAAACGATCCACATCGATCATCAACAGCAAAATTATTACACTCATTGATCGAAAGGCCAATTCGAGAAATGTGAAAAATCATGAAAAGATTTTACAACGATTGAAAAAGACCTTTCCTCAACACCATGTACGAGAATTTGTCATTCAACCTTTCGAACCTTCTCTTTATCTACAACAAGTAGCAAAAGTATGAAAGTGATGATCTCTCCTCATGGAGCATCTTGATCAAACATTATATTTTCAAGACCTGGAATTAATGTTTGATCAAGATGGAATTATTGAAAGTGTGTGTGTGTGAATAGAGATTTGAATGTGTCGTTTGCTGAGAAATGGTGATTCCATTGTTGTGAAATGGTGGAAATGATGAAATGGTGATTTCATGATCTTGCAAATGCATCATTTCAATAACGAATCGTGTGAATAATAATGATAACCTGCGAGTTGTAATTTTGGTATTTCATATTCTGAAGTGAAACTCAATTCCAAAGTTGAAACTTTGAAGTTCACACAAATTGAGATCAAAAAGATGTTGTCAACAAATCCAACAACAAAAAATTGAAACATTGTTGAAATATCCACAAAACGAACAACACAGAACCACAACCGTCATCGATCACAGTTATAATAATATCATCATGTCCTCTTCTCCAACTTTCCAACCACAAAAGTATCCCAGAACTCCGCATCTTCCATTCAGTCCTGAGCATTCCGATGATGATGTCATTCTCTCGGATCAACATTGCACTCAATTCATTGCACCTACTGAAGTTGTCATTACTGAAAAGATGGATGGAGGAAATTGTCAATTATTTCAAGGAAAAATCTATGCTAGGACTACCTCTAAAGAAGCTTCTCATCCAAGTTTTGGACCTATCAAGCAATTATATTCTCAATTTAAATATTTAATTCCAGATCACTTGATACTGTATGGAGAAAATTTGTATGGAATTCACTCCATTGAATATACCAATTTAAAGTCTTTCTTTTATTTATTTGCCATTTTGGATTTGAATGAAAGTCGGTGGTATGGATGGTAGGTTGAGTGTTCATTAATGTTTAATAATTGATTGTTTGAACACGCGAAATGATTTTCAACTATAATTAAATTGTCAATTCACGAATATCTATTGATGCGACAGGGATGAAATGGTAAATTTTGTTCAGGAAAATGATCTGACGAACTATATTCAAATAGTACCAGTTCTTTTTAGAGGTATGTTGTACGGTATGCATATTAATTGTGACACAAAGTTTTCATTGTCAACTTGTGTTTTCAGGTACATTTCGTTCCTTGTCAGAAATCAAGCAATGGATGGATGAGCAAATTAAAAACAAGTCCAACAGCATAGCCGGTGGAAGAGAAGGTCTTGAAGGTTTTGTTCTCAAAACCACACAACCATTTTCAACTAAAGACTTTGAAAGAAATGTTGCCAAGTATGTGAGAAAAGGACACATTCAAACTGATGAAAATTGGGGGAAAACATGGCGCCAAGCCAAGCTCAATAAATGAATGACAATGCACTGAAGCGACGTTTTAAAATTTGCTATTCTTCAATGAAATTTTGAATTATTTAAATTAATTTTATGTATATTTTTGAATGAGAGTTAAAACTAATTTAGTTTTGTGGGCTCAAAGCTGGGAAGTCCTTATCCTTGTTAATGACTGGACGAGGCTTCTTTGGGCCGGTAGCACTCTTGTCCTTGTTACCTCCTTGCTTTGGTCCCTTCTTGTTGTTGTTTCCAGGTCTTCCGCCAGTTGGTCTGGATCCTTGTGTGCGAGGTCTTTGTTGCTTTGGTCCTTCCAATAATTCTCTATCTCTTCTTTCCTTGATCTTTTCAAGTGAAGCAGAGTCCAAGAATTCAGAGACGTCAATTGCCTTTGGCTTCTTTTCAGTCTTCTTTTCGGTCTTTTCTTCCTTTTCTACCTTCTTCTTTTCCTTTTGGAAGAGTTCTTCGGATGCTCTAGAGAATTCTTCACCAGTGAGTTTAACGTTCTTACCAGTAACAAGTTGTTCACCAGCTTCCTTCTTCAATGTAATTTTAGCAGTCTTCTTTTGGTTGAGGTATTCTTCCAAAGTCAAATTAGTGTCGACTGGTTGTTGAGGTTCGGTAGCTTGTGTCGTTTCTTCCTTCTTTTCCTCAGTTGGTTGTTGTTCTCCAGCAGATTCAGAAGCAACTTCGACAGGCTTTTCTTCCTTTTCATCAGTTGGTTTACCCCAGTTGGCTTTTCCACCACCACCCTTCTTTACTTCACCTTTCTTTACTCCAGTACCAGAGACATGACGATCAAAAGCTCTGCCCTTCTTTGGAGCTTGATGATGTTGTGGTCTGCCTCCACGTCCCTTTGAACGGGTTCCTTGGAATCCCTCTTCAGTTGAAGCCACTTCGGATGGAGCAGATGTTGGCTTTGGCTTTCTTTGTTGGGTTGGTTTCTTTTCCTCAACAAATTTTGGCTTATCTTGTTTGACTTCCTTTGTCTTGGCAGCGATTTCTTGTGGATCGCTGTTGGAAGCAGCCTCTAAAAGAGCAAAACTATTCGACATGATGATGAGATTTGGAGATGATTTCTTCAGCGAGCGGGCGCAAATGAAGTATCTCGATTTTTTTTAACAAATTTTTGGGAAACACGGTCAACTCCCATTACAATGAACATTTATGTGTCTGGATCTTATGCGGGAATTGGCAACGTGAGTCAAGCATTAAATTGAACTTATTGGATAATTCACAACCTGGATCATTCCCCATTTCCCACAATAGACTTGGGATGATACATAAATTCTTGATGACGTAGCATTAAACGAATCATTACATGATTTGCGCTTTGATTTGGATCAAACAAAGAATTGTATGATCTAATTCGGCATTCACACAAAGATCAAAGCATTGTTCATGATTAATAATTAAATAGAAGAATAGGGAAAGGTTTATTGGACAAAAACAAGGGAAAGTAAATAAATTACAATTCGTCTTTCTTCTCAGAGAAAACTGCACCAACAGCGTTTGTCTTTAAGAAGTTCTTCAAGTCATCCTTAGTTCTATCTCCTTCGTATGGAATTGGAGATTGCTTACCACCCTTAGGGAAGAAATAAATAGTTGGGAATCCTTCAATATTAATTGGGGTATCATTTTCAGTGGCATCAATCTTAGCAATAGTCAATCCTTTGACATCCTTCAATTCTTCAGCCAATTGATTGTAAGTTGGTTCCAATGATTTACAGTGTCCACACCATGGTGCATAGAATTCCAACAAGACATCGTTATCATTGTTGATAACCATATCGTCAAATGACTTTCCGACCACAATCTTGACTGGTTCATTGTTTTCAGTTGGAATTTCTTGTGATCTGACAAACTTTGAAACCTTTCCAGTCAAAACATCACCAACAAAGGTGGCAATATCTTCCTTTGTGACAGTTTCTTTCTTGAGTGGATAGTTGGCTCTATTAATAACGTCCATAATAGCAAAACCTGGGATAATATTCTTGTTTCCTCCCATAATAGATAATTGTTCACCATAGATTGAAGCATCGGAATAACCCAAGACAACTTTGCCCTTGTATTGTTGAGCAATTTCAGTCAACTCTTCAATGTGCTTCTTTTTGGCACTCTCATCAGAAAAGTCAATAAAGAGAACACCAATTGGCAATTCCTTTTCAACAAGTCTTTGGAATGTGGCACCAGAAACTTCGTCGACCAATGGATAACCATTTTCCTTGACAAAGTCCACAATAGCTTGAACATCAAAGCTGGTTGAGACAGCTGGAGTTGAGTCGAAATCTCTGATCACTACAATAGAGTCTTGAGTGATTTGGTTCTTAGCATTCAAATCAGCATTACCAACAACAACAGCAACAATAAAATCTTCCAAATCACTGTTGTCGGCAGCCTCGAGAAGATTCTTGTAATTGTCAGAGTCCTTGGATGAAACAAATCCAACAACAAGAACCTTTGAAGATGACTTCAAATCTTGCAAGGCAGCTTCACTGTCGATTGGAACAGCAACTGGACCAGTCTTCTTGTTCAACCATTGAGTGATGGCTTCAGCGGTACGATCACCATCGTAATCTCTGAAGAATTTACCATTCTTGAAAAGCTTGAGTGTTGGGAATCCTTGGATTTGGAATTTGGTCATCAAATCAGATTCATCATCACCATTGACTTTGAAGATCGAGACTTTTTCATTGTTGGCAAACCTTTCTGCCAAGGTAGCATATTCAGGAGCTAATTTCTTGCAATGGCCACACCATGGAGCAAAGAATTCAACCAAGGCAAATTCTTTCGAGGCCACCTTTTCATCAAAGTTCTTTGTTGTGAGATCTTCTTGTGCCAATACGGATGAAGCAACGAAGAGGAGAGCTAGCAGTCCAAACAGAATGATTGGTTTCATTTTTTTGTATCAGTTCTTGTGCCTGATGTGTTGGCTTAACAGATGGTTCTTTTGTAATGATGAAAAGACGAACACGTGTGCAGAAGAGGCCGCTTTGAGCTCGAGGTGATGTCCTTTTGCGATGGAGAAACAGAATTTGGTGATTTATCTCTCATCCTGCATCATGCCTTGTTGGATCATCACGTGGTCCGTGAGGACACCTGCCAATGATTCTTGTTTGGGTTGAAGACTCAATGAAATAGGAATATGTGGTTTCTGGGAATGAAGTTGACAATCAAATGTGTAGATGTGCTTTTTTTGTTCTTTGATTTTGGTGCAGCGGTATTGATTGATAAGTCATTCTTAACAGCACCAATTTGATTATTGTTGTGGGATGTTTTATTGTTTTGATGATGGAAATAATAATTAAAATACTTGTTGTTTATTATCTAGTAAAATATTTCGCTTTCGCTTCCCTCGGATTTGCAATAATAAAGTAACGGGATGATATTGTAGTTTTGTTGTTGCTGAGAGCATTTATTCTTCTTCTTGCTCTTTCAACCATCCATTTTCTCTGTAGATTGGTTCAATATCCTTGAATTGTCTCTATTCAAACCATAAATGATTATTAATGATGATGATTTCGATTGATATTAATATTAGATAAATGTTATGTTGATTAAATTATTTGTACCCATGTAAACATATTTGCCCGTTTTGCAAACAAAATATTTATCATCACGGAGAGAATTTCAATCGGCATCAACTTACTCCCTTGTTGTAACTATCCCAGAAGGCATCAACACCTCTATCAACAACTCGTTCAAAGGCGAGTGCTCCCAAACCGACAAACAAAGCGGTGGTTGATGTTCTCTTCCAGATGAGATTGTAGAAGACAGATTGAGCAGTCTTTCCGAACATTTTTTTGTCGATAACCCTTTTGCAAGCAGCAACGCTGAAATAATGATAACTTGAATATGAACAATTATTTAAGATTTGTATTAGAGGTTAAATAAGAACACTCGAGGCAGAGGATGAAGACGAAGGAGGAGGAGAGTTTTCGTCAATTCCATCGAAAGGTGAGAACGACTTGATTGCAGGTGTTCCCACTGTTGTGATTGGTGAAAGGTCACAATTCAAATAACTGCTTGTATGTAGTTGTTTGTATTTGCTTATAGGCCCGTACACTGTGTCCGAGTGAGCAACGGTTTTAAGAAGATCAATCAAATTTTTCAATTCACAATCAAGTTTTTGCTCCCTAGCAATTGACATGGTATCGAAACCAAAGGAGCTAATAGCCACACCGTCTAAGATTAAATTGAATCATGTTTGAGTCGCCCGTCGAGCCTTAATCTCGACCATTCCAATGAAAGCGAAGAGTTACTTACTGTTTGGCTGTAGTTGAAAATTATATTCATCGTCATCGATAATCATTATTTGATCCATGCTCACGTTAAATATCGATAGATCTTTGATGCCTTTCGAAAGTGATTCTCTGAAGAGACATCCTTTAAATCTCGATTTACTATTCAGAAGTTGCTCACAAACAGGTTGGGCATATGACTTATCCGAAGCAGTGAATATCCAAACATCAAATAAACTACACGCAACCTCAAGAAATTCGTCAAGATAGGGTCGTTTGAAAACAGCAATTTTAAGCGTGTCATGGAACTTCTCTCTTGCTACAGTAACGACTAAATCACACACTTCCAAGAGTTGTTGTTTGGATGTTGAAAAAGAGGCCACTAAAGTATTATCTAAATCTAACACAAGCGTTTTTCTCATGATGACCAAAAAATTCTTCTCTTGGATATTGTCTTTTTGATTCAATCGGAGGTATTGATCTGTATGAGAAATAAATATAATAACAATGAAAATAATAATATTACAATATTTTTGCCGTGAAGGATTGAATGATGATGGATGCTGTATAGAGCTAAACAAATTAGGTCGATACAATCGAGTTATTGGATTCCGATAAGTAATTCCAGTAATATTATTTATATTTGCCCAAGAGAATGAATCCGACAAAGAAAGTTGATCAAACGCAAGTTATTGAAGGGATCAATCACGAGTTTCGTGATGGAATTCAATTGATGTTGATCAGCAAGTATTGTAGTTGCTGATGAATGACGTTGATGATATGGACAGCACTGTCCAAACAATGAACCAAGAAACTATGTATTTTTTTATTGTAACTTTTAGCTCAGGCGTTGTTGTCAGCCATTTCCTGAATCGATTGAACTGACAAAAATCATGGTCTCTTGGCAACATATGCATTCATCGAGATTTGTTTTGAGATCTGTGGTGAAGACGGTACCTTCCGTTCATATTCAAAAGAGAGTACTTGCCGTGCCATAAATGCACACATTTCAACCTTGACTTTAAATGCAAACATGTTGACAAAGCGTTTCCTTTTTAACCAAAAGATCAAATTACTCCTAAAAACACTCAAGTAATCCAAAGTCTGGCAAATGATCAGGATTATCTTTGATCTTCCTGTTGACAACAAAAAGTCGATGAGGCCCCATTTGTGCACCCGAACAAATTTGACTTCGCAGCCGTTTTAAAAAAATTCTGAAGCTCGCTCACATAAGAATCTCGCTTGGCTCACCATTGTAGACGCGTTCTTGGGCTTTCTTCCATTCGCTGTGTCGTTATTTTTCGTCATCATCACAAAATGTTTCATTCATCACAAAAGAAGACCAAAACCAAGTTGCAAGACGAGTTTGAGGATTTAGAAATGGCTGGCTCTCGTCCTGAGTACATCGCCACGAACAATTCAAATGGGGTTTCTATGGGTAACACCACTCCACTTTCAAGCTCCGCATCAGTTAATTCCTTCTCTCAAATGCTTGTCAATGTACAAACATCAGAGGAAGACTTTGAGCAGACCCAAACTTCTTCATCCAACCAAAGAAGAGCTACCACAAATCCGAGCTCAAATACAAATCATCCTGCTTCTTCAATGAAAGGAGGGGGCGACCCTAAATATAATGGAGGCACATCTGTTGAAATTGAGATGGAGCCATCATCCTCTTCAACCATGAACGGAAGTACACCAAACTCACAAACCATAGAAAATCTTAACCAACGTTTGCAATTCTACGAGAAGGCTATCCTTGCTTTAATGTCAAACTCAAAGAAGGGCTCTCGGTTGAGAAGAATTGAAGACGAATTGTTGGGCAAGGATACAGAGGAAGAAAACCCTATTGAAGCTATCCTTTCTGCAGCTGAACAGAAAAAACAAGAAAAGAAGCAAAAAGCAGAAATGGAAAAGATGAAAATTTTGGAACAACAAAAGCAAGACCAAGAAGAAGAGAGACAATATCGATGCAATCCTCATTTACGTCAAAAAGTCATGACTCATACAGGCGTTAAAAAAGCCTCAAAAACTCTTGACCAATTAATTTTACTGTCTTTGCTTGGAGGTATTTTCATTGGATTTGGATCGGTCTCTGCTTTAAAGACGGGAGGTAACATGCCAGGTTTAGAGAAGGAAAATCCTGGTTTGACCAAGTTAATTTTCTCTGGAGTTTTTACAGTGGGTTTGACGTTGGTGATAATTACAGGTACGTTGAAATAGTGAAATAGACAGTGACATCAGTTTAAACTTGGTTTTGAAAAGGGGCTGAGTTGTTCACTGGAAACACAATGACCATGACAGCAGCTTTATTGAGAGGAAAGGTAAATCCGTGGGATCTTCTCAGAAGTTGGATCGTGTCACTTGTTTTTAACTTGATCGGTGCATGGGCCGTAGCCTACTTTTTAATGTTCTTACCAACTCCCCTGCATGATATCGAGGAAGAGACACAAGCAGGCTATGTCACTTATGCCATTCATCTTGGCGAGAAAAAAAGCATTTCGAAATTTTTGGGGAAATTTTGTTTTAGCGATTGGATGCAATTGGTTGGTTTGTCTTGCTGTCTATACCACCTACGGAACGAGCAGGATTATGGAGAAGATAATGGGATTGTTTTTACCAATCCTTGCCTTTGTTTCTGCAGGATTTGAGCACAGTATCGCCAATGGATTCTTTATTCCTCTTGCCATGATGTATGGCTCACCAATCACCTTGTACGATTTCTTGATTGGAAACATGTTTCCCGTAGTGCTTGGAAATACTGTCGGTGGAGGAGTGTTTGTTGGTATGATTTTCTGGTGGGTGCATGGTAAAAGGCAAGAACGAAAACATATTCTGGATGAATGGTTCCTTGACAAAGTTAAGGCAAAGATTACCTCACCATTTGTACATGTCTATGAAAAGTTCCAAGAAAAGTGGAATGAATATCTTGATGTCAGAAGAATCAACAAATTGATAAAATTGCAGGAACGTGAGGCAAGAGAAGCGAGAATGAGGGTCATCTCTGAATACGATGATGCAGAAGACATGATTGCTTAAATAATATATTGAGAGTTGCGTCCGCAGAAAATTGGTTGATGTGGGTTGGTTTTTCCAAGTATTTGGTATGAAGTGCCAAACAGCAATGATCCACCACATCATGAACAATTTGCTCACTGTCTTTCCAATTTGGGTTCCAATAAATCCATCAAAAAAATGGGTTTCGGTGCTTGGTTTATGAACAAGGCTTACACCTTTGGTAATGCCTTCTATGATTTGGTCATGACACGACAATCGGATCGTGTTGTGCACAAGTATGAAAAGATGAATAAGAATTTGCCTCCATATGTAGCCATGAAAACAAGTGTTACTTCTCATTCCGTTGATGAAAAAGAAAACAAAATTATCATCAAGTACGTTTTCAGTTATGAGCCGATGTTTTTTTGTTGAAATTATCACAATTTCAGTTTAGAGAATAACTTCCGTGTAGTTCTTCAATGTATCGATGGCAATGTATGGAAGTTGTCGTTCATTCCTCCAGAAACGGTTGAATTGTAAGTGTTGTATATTCATCTCTGCATTCATTTTCTGATTTACATTGATTTAAAGCCCATCTTTGATTGTGAATATTGATGGAAAAGTGAACCATGTTGCTGTAGTACTTGATGAAGAAAACGAAGATTTTGTTTCTTTTAAACCAGCTACCTCAGAGTCAACCAAAGTCAAAATTATCAAAAAAGATTTTTCTATCGATATCCTATCCAAATTTAATGAAAATACTTTTGTTCCATCATTCGGAGGCATCAAGTTCGCAACAAGACCAAATCATCAACAGCCAACCAATGTATCATTTGGATATAGCCAATGTGACGAGGTTAAATGCCTTTCAAACGAATGGTTTGGGCTTGGTGAAAAATCTAATAGTGTCAAAAAGAATGGAAGAAAGTACTTGTTCTGGAATTTTGATTCATTTGGCTATGTCAGCGATTCTGACCCTCTTTATCAAAGCATACCTTTTGGAATTATTTCTTCTAAATTTGAAATCGCTCCTGGAAAGACTGAAAGAAGATTTAATGGTATTTATATTGACAATTATGGATTGCAACAATGGGATCTTACCACTGATGAAAGATTTTCGGCCAACATGGAGAGTTTACCTTGTAACATTTATTTCATGGCAAATAGTGCTAAAAATGCTTTTGAAATTTCAAAATGTTATGAAATGTTGACTGGTACGAACCCAATGGTACCTTTGTGGGTGTTGGGATATCATCAATGTAGATGGTCCTATTATCCAGATACACAGGTTAAGCAAATCTCTCAAGAATTTCGTGATCGTGACATTCCTTGTGATGTTATTTATCTCGATATTGATTATATGGAAGGATATAGAGACTTTACATGGAGTAAGACGGATTTTCCAAATCCTAGAGAATTATTGAAGTGGCTCCACGATAGAAAATTTAAAGTTGTTGTCATTCTTGACCCTGGCGTTAAGGTCGATCCAAATTACGACGTTTACACATCAGGTGTTAAGGGAAACTACTTCCTTGCTCATCCTAATGGAAAACTCTACGAAGGTGTTGTTTGGCCTGGAGCCACACACATGCCTTGTTTCACTTCTGCTCCAGTTAGAAAATGGTGGGGTGATTGGTATAAGGGCTTAATTGAAGATGGAGTTGACGGTTTTTGGAATGATATGAACAGCCCAGATGTTAAGGTGACTCCAATCGAAGCAGGAACTATGGATGATGATCTCATTCATGTTATGGACGAGCCTTATCCAAGTCCTCAGTTCCACAAGGATGTTCACAATATTTATGGTAGTGCTATGGCTGTTGCCAGCAGAGAAGGTATTGAGAAATTCCAAAGACCTCTCAACAAACGTTCATTCTTATTTGCTCGTGCTTGTTTTGCTGGAATTCAAAGAGTGGCTGGTACATGGAGTGGTGACAATCAATCCACATGGGAACATTTAGCTATATCTTTGAGATTATTGATGGGACAAAGCATTTGTGGCCAATTGATGGTTGGAGCTGATATTGGCGGTTTTAGATGGAACTGTACTCCTGAGCTTTATGCTCGTTGGATTGCATTTGGCTCAGTATTTTATCCATACTGCCGTACTCACACTGATAAATTCACAATTCAACAAGAACCATGGTCATTTGGACAAGAGGTTGAACAAATTTCAAAGAAGTTTATTCGATTGAGATATCAATTAATGCCATACCTTTACACATTGGCTGCTTTATCAAGCAAGAGATCCATTCCAATGATTAGACCTCTCTTTTATGATTTCCCTAACGATGAGGAAGTTTATAATGTAGAACATTTAGATACTCAAGGAATGCTTGGCTCATGCCTTTTGGTTGCTCCAATTCTCAAAGAAAAACAAAATTCAAGAACAGTTTATTTGCCAAAACTTGAAGAAGGCAAATGGTATGACTTCTTTAATCCAGAACAATCCTATGAAGGAGGACAAGTCATCACTGTTCAAGCACCAATCGATCATTTACCATTATTTGCACGTGGTGGCTCAATCATTCCAATGAGAGAGAAGTCAACTACAGCTGTGTATGACTTGCATCTTGAAAAGATGATCTTTAAATCGTTTGGATCAAAAGTATCTTCTCTTACTAATTATCTTTACCTCGACGATGGTGCTACTTTGGACTATGAGAAGGGTAATTATGGACTCTATGAAATTGAGAACTCTGATGGACAGTTGAAGTTATTGGAAGGAAATGGTTATCCAAGCCAATTACAGATTGGAAAAGACTTTGAAACCATTGAGGAATTCAACGCCAAATTCTATTGAAAGAATTTGTCACACCCAGATTGTGTACAAAATTTGATAATATTAAAAACAACAACTTCCAAAACAAAATTGAGTGATTGAATGGTTTGTTATTAATATTCTTATATATGTCTTTTCTAAATTAAAATGTGAATCAGGACGTTATGCATGGAGTGCGACTTTAAAGATGAAAATCCCAAAAAAAATGTTCAAACCAAAACAGCAGGAAAGTCATTCCGACGCTTTTGTTGCTCCTATGAAGATGAACTTGAAATATGAGGCTAGTTCATCCAAACCAAGTTCATTTTGGAAATATCAGGAGGAGTATGAGGCTATATTTCCATTCTCCAAAGATCAAGTCATGCAACATGTCCAAAAAACGATTCATGACATTAATCAGGATGAGACAAAACCTGAGAGGGTTTTTTATTCGGCTGTTCGAGGAATATATCTGTATGGATCAAGAACATTTAAAACTAATATGAATGATTCAGACTTTGATTTTGTCTTTTTGGCCGATGATTTAACGTCGGAAAACTCCAGCGAGGGTGGATTTTCAAGAAATTCACAATACATGTTACATACTACCATTCGAGTACAACATGAGAATGGAGAAACTGAGTATGAATTAGAAATTATGATGATGAACACTTTTGTATTTCTCGAAATGGCATTTGCGGAAATTCCAGTAATTTTACTTTCTGTTCAACAACCAAATGAAAAATTTGTCTTGTTTGAAGATGATAAGATGAAAATCTGGAGAGAGAATTGGAATAAGTGGTTTTTAAGATTACCAAGAAGCAGGAATGCTATTCTACATGAACTAAACTTTAGCTACAACAAGGCATATAGATTTTGGTTGGCTCTACAAAATGGTGTGCACACAACGGAAAAAGCACAAAAAGATTATTTGAAGAAAGTCAAGAAAAACTTAGCCCATGGAATAAGGTGAGTCATTTCATGATACAAGCTATGATATAAGTCTTCAATTACAGATTCTGTAAATATGGCTATCAAATTGTTTTTGGTGGATGCATCTATGATTATTTAGAAACAAATACATTGTATGACGAATTGGTATTTAGAACTGATCATTTCACAACCTGGCAACAATTTGAATCTTCTGTTAAGCACCTATATGATAAATGGATGGTTGAATACAAACAAGATGTGAAAGCATTGATGAGAGAAGCAAGGAAAAACTGTTTGAATATGAGGAGAGAACATCCATTGCTTGTTATTGACTTTTTAAATACGTTCTGCAAAAAGTTTGTCAAGAAGTCCACCTTTATGATCGGCTCAAATGTTGAAGACGTACAGTACATGTTTGGACCTTTTACGCTCTCCAGACTCTTTGCAATTTCAGTCTCGCCAGTGCTTCGATCAAGTGATGAAATTAATAATCCAAGCATTTCAACATTGTTTAAGCTCGATTTGGATGCTACTTATCAGAACAATGAAAACGCAGTGAGTTTCCGTGATATGGAGCTGTTTTTGGAATGCAATGGTCTAGTGGTTGAGGTAAAACCTTTATCAAATAATGATGACACAACAGAAGTGTCGTATAGACCAGTCTGTGTTCCAAGATTTTATTATGAAAATTATCAAGATTTAGATGCTAGATATGGAGAAAATTATTGTAACACCATTGATTTATCTCGATACACAATTTTTGAAAATCCAACTGGCATTCAGTGCCAATTATATTATTACAATGGAGAATGGAGGATATCATCGAGTGACCAATACTCAAAGTGGTACTTGTGGGTAATGAAAAAAGACGATGAATTCAAGCATTGCACAGAGAGTCGTTTCAAAGAATTATGGAATGAACTTGGAATGCAATATCCCAGCATGGAGGATGCATTCTTTAATTTCTTTTTTGTTTTTCAAGAGAAATCCAGAAGAATTATTTTCAAAGGATATAGAAGTCTGGACACATTCAAAGAATGCAAAAATTGGAAAGAGTTTGGTAACAAGTATCATTGGAAAGATCAAGTTAACACGCTCAACTACACCAGTATGGAAAGCCTTATTGCTGCGGTGAATGATTTCAACATGTATTCGCCATCAGAGTTTGAAGGAGTTGAGTGTATTGATTTTGAAAATTGTGAGCATGGATTTCAGCTACGTAGCTCCCTTAGGTTCCGTGTTCCATTTTTAAGATTGACGAATATCAATTATATTACGTCCATCATTGACCAAGATATTGTCGCAAACCCGCCAATGGATTTAGTGACCTCAAAGTATAATCTTGACCTCTTGGTGTCAATACTTCTTCAAAGCACTTTATCAGCAGTAGATAAGTCAGACGAATTAGCTATTGAAGAATTGAATAGAATATTTCTGCCTCTCTATAGAAAACTGAAAAATTCATACCTTACATTATGCAAATTGATTGATGATTTCTACAATAATTCCTTACTGAACATAGAAAACGATTATGAGCAGTTCAATGAAAAATGCAAAGATTTTCTTGAAGGAAAGGTGAGAAAAAGTTCAATATTGTTTGCCAATCTTAGAAAGTTCAGAAATAAGATGAATTCTTCTCTCATGGACATAGCTTACTATTGGAAAACAATTTCAAGGACCAAAAAAGAAACAGCCTCTGAGGTGAGATTCATTACAGCTTTACTTAAAATGATGTCTTCATCAACCACACAACATGAATCAACAGAAAACAATCATCTATTGCAAATAATCGAAGAGTGAGACATTGTGAGCTTTGGGTGGATCTTTTGTGTCCAAGTCGTACTGAAGCTCTGCCTCTTCTTTGAGATGCTGTTCCTTTGTAATAAAGCACCTATCTCCTGTCGCTGATAATAACTTGTCCAGTCTTGACAATTTCTTGTTAAGCTCTGAGTAATTTTCATAAATCACAGAGGCAAATGCAGTTCCTTTAAAGTTGTGAGACTCTACAGCTTGATATCGTTTCTCTATCCTTGATGAGGCATCTTCAGAACGCTTTTTCAGTATTTGAGTACATAGACCTGAGATGGATTCTTTGTTTTTAAGGACCTCAGCTTTTTCCTTTTCAATTTGTTTTAACTCTTCTTTGATACTTCCTTTAATCCACTGTATATCTCTTTGGGCTTCTTTGACATTTCTCTCTTTGATCTCCTTATTAGTTTTCAGTCTTTCCTTGACTTTGTCAACTTCGTCTAAACTATCTGGATGCCACACTTTTTGGAACTTTTTTACATTATTTAGCAGTTTTTGAGGATCAGAGAGAGAACCGAAAAATACAGGCTTTGAAAATCCGTCCTTGTTGATAAGCCTAACCTTGTTCTTTCCCATTTCTGGAGAGGTATAATTTAACGAAAACTCTGGTGGAGGCTTTCCTAAAGCCCTCATCATTAAAGGTGACATTGAAAAAGTACCCCAATATTTTTCTTTCAAAATATCTGAATGTGATAGATGCTTAACATAATCTAGGTTCCGCATGCGTGGGCTTAGTTGTTTTTGTTTTTTACCTGTCTCTTGATTGATGGTCGTTTTGTTGGCCATTTTCGTCCTTTTTTTCATGGCTTCAATCTCCTCATATTCTTGCTCCAATACTTCTTTGGGTAGACTGTGATAATTTTCATCGAGCCCCAACTTTTGTATTGGATCTGATACAGTTTCTTGTCGTGTCGATGCATTTTCAATTTCCTCCATTTCATCTGGAATTTCTTCTTCTTCTTCGCTTGACGAATAGAAATCGCCTTCTGGAGGCGAATCAGGACGTAGTGAAGCGGCTCTCGAGATGCTAGCAAAATCTTCTTTTTTCTTTGCTTTTGCTCCGGCACTTGAGTCCATTTTGTTCTTTTTTGTTTGTTGCTTTCTGATGAGCTTCTCTAGAAAGGTATCTTCGCTCTTTTTAGGGAAGTATTTCATTCTTTGCTTTTGAAGAAATTCTCTTTTGTACCGAATTCCTAAGAAAACCTCACAAATAAGTTCATAAACTCTTACTTTGAAGTTTGATGTAAATTCTTTCTTACTTCCTGAAAAATGTTTTCTAAATGCTTTTAAAATACAATATGATACAGCTAAATGATAAACCTCAAAGAATGCATCTCGATTATGTCGCCCAAGAGTCAAAGAAAATCGTGCAACATCTTTTGCAAGAACACTGATAAACCTCTCACATACTTCAGAATTATCCTGAAAGAACACTGAAAAGACAAACCAGAAAGAATTTTCAATGATCCTTCGGTTCAGCTCATTATTGGGATCGAATTGTTTTTCAAACATTGCTTTGGTCTCAGCATCAGAAAAGTGAATGTTCTTGTTCAAATTATTTACCAAAGCAGTGAATTTAAGCTCAAAGGGCAACTTGTTGTCCATAGTGATTTCAACTTCCTTAACAGTCCAACCAACAATCTTTTTAGTTTTTCTCAACTTTTTCTTCATCGCTATTGCTGATGCCACTTCCGTCAAATGAAAGGTATGAGCCGAATTCGACCTGTCTGAATTATTTTCCTCATCGTCATCATCAGACAACGATCCACGCAAATTCAATGAGCTTCCGAGCAGCATGACTCCACTCCGAAGTCGAGATAAACTTCGAACTTGAGGTGTTCCTCCTCCACCGGAATTTGTTCTTGATGAAGACATCATCATATTACTCGTACTCTCCTTCTTAATGAAAGGAAGTTTCGTCGAGTTATTGGTTTTTGGTGAGGCTGTTGACGGCGATGAAGGAGGTTCCATTGTTGTTGTTGTTGCTGTAGCTGGAGTGGCGGGTGGAATCTTTCCATTCATTTTTCAGAGTCAAGTAATGACCTCCAATAACGGTTGTAACGTAACAACAACACGTACAAGTATATTATTGGAGAGAGAGATGTCTTGTATGAATGGTGAGTGGTTCAGTATCACCACACAATGTGAACATAGAATTGATATCTCCCAATCAGTCAGCTGTTCATGACTCTCAAATTGAATACCACTGTTACATATCGTTTTTAAAGAAAAGGAAACCCTATCAATAAATAGAAAAGGAAATCAATTATTTGTTGCAATTTCTTGATTCAAAACATTTCAAACCAGCAGCAGCTCTTTCTGTAATATTTAGAGATGGGAACACACGATTGAGACCTTTGAAACCGATTAAACTCAATCCAGCAAGAGACATGTATGAATGCAACACATCTGGATATGCGTCTTTCACTTTGCTAATTCCACCATAATCTGTTTGGCATGACAAGGTGAAGAGAGTAGTTTGACTTTCATCAATATATTGCAAACAATCAAGAGTTTTGAGAGTTCCTCCAACCCAAAATGAATAACATGTGTCAGCATCCTTTTGTGGTCGACCATGAAAACCAGAAATTTGTCTTTTCAATAACCATTCCTTCATTTCTTCTTGATGATCGAGCCGATCAATCATTCCCATTAAATGCAAAGCTGCAATAGCACAATAAGTACTTCCTCCATGGGATTCTAGTCCTGGACCATGAGAAAAGCAGTAATCATAGCCACGACTGCTTAAAATGTATTGAAAAGCTAACTCTGTATCAACTCCACTCCAATCTTCAAGAAAAGAAGAAATTGCACATGCACAAAAAGTGAATCTAATATCTGTTTCACTTCCAAAACATGTAGCCTTGAAGCATCCATTCTTATCTTGCAGATATTTCAAGCCACCAACAATGGCCTTCTTGTTGACTCGGGAATAATCATCTCCGAGTATTCTTAAAATTGCTAAAGCTGTGTATGTCATGGCAATATGGCCAACATCGTATCGGGTTTGATTTTCATTCAACGGATGCTCATGACAACACTGATAGCAATTTATTGGCAGTCCGAGAAAATTACCTCCTCTAAATCCACATCTCTCTAAATTTGAGTCATTTTGATCGGGCACTATTTGCATTGAATATATCCAATCAATAATTTCCTTCTTCTTCTCATCGTTCAAGACTTGATCGAGTTTTCCGAGAACGTCCAGAGAGCCAACAATAAAGTACAAGATGGTCATTCTATTGGTATCTTGAGATCCATAAAAGTGAGGTAATACATTCAAGTGCCCCATAAAGTACTTGATGTGTTTATCGACCTGAAGCATATTTTCATATTCAGTCTCTGATGATGAAATATCCGAAGTGATGACGGTTTGTTGGTCCATTTTTTATTTCGATGAACACAACAAGTCTATCATTATTTCATAGGAGATACTTTTCAGTTCATGTCTCGTTCATTCAACCAAACCTTATCATGATTACAGACCTTGGTGAAAGAATTTTCTTGTTATCTTTGGTTTTAAAACTGAAGAAGCCTTCACCATTCTCTTATGCATTCGCAACGCAGAGTTTTTGGGTGACGCAAACCAGTTTCTCCAGAACCCTTCGCTGGACTAATTCTAGTCCATTGTCCAAGCGAATCTCAACTCACTCCAGCGAAAAATCTCGTTGCGCACACAGAAGACCTCTGTGTTGCCTTTGAAATGTTTTAAAAAATGTCCCAACAGCCGTTTCCATCACGCCCGTTGTATGAGCAAGTTCATCATAATGCCAACCAACATCCGCAAGGCCAATTTAATTCGGTGAACGGATACGAGGGTGAGCAGTTCAGAGCACACACGAATCCAAATCACTCAATTCCGACTCAACATGATTATCAGGATTCAACGATGAAGTACGGAAATAATAATAACAACTACAATGGTGGACTTATGCCAAATCAACAACATCATGGAAATGATGAAACAACCAAAATGATGATAAATTATGATTCAATGATGAACTACGGAGCTTCAATCGGCGGATCTGTTATTTCTCAGCCATCACCCTTTGGATTTCAATTTCCATATAATGGATACTTTGGAATTCCAAATTTCCCAAATTCGGGAGTGCATGCGTATTTTGGCTATTACAATAATTATCATCCCAATAATAATTATTATCAATTGTCACAGCCACCTGCTACATCAGCGAAAGACATTGAGAATGCATTGAAATCATTACTCTTGGGAGAGAAAAAAGTCAGAAAGTGAGAACATCGTCATAACATCTTCAGAAACTTCTTTGCAAGCTCCATTGTTGAACCATGTTGCATCAACAACGAACGACGACTCTAAAGAGCCAAACAAGGAAAAGACAGAAGTGATAAATTCCTCAACAGAGCCAGTAACGAAAAATCAGAAAAAAAAACAAAAGCATCCAACATTTAATTTTGGACCTCACAGGGATAACTTAACTTCTGAAATGAAGATTCTCCCAGAGAAACTCAAATCAATGGATAACTTTCTCGATACTACGTATACTCAATCTATCTTGAAGCTCTATAATTCTGAACTTCTCCCAACTCAAAAGGAATTGGAGAAAAAGGAGGAATTTTTCAAAACATTTGAAAAAGCGATCACTAAAAAATGGAGTGATGCTAAACTTTTCACGTTTGGATCCTTTGCAAACGGTCTCTCATTAAGGGGTAATAGTGACATTGACTTTTGCTTTATTTTGACGCTCACTCCAGAAAGGATGAGAAAAAATTTCAAAGAAATTGAAAAAGAAAGGAAACTCATTGAAGAACAAAAGAAAGAAGAAAAAGGAAGTTCTAACAAATTCATGAAATTACTCTCAGAGGAGCAATATCATAAGAAAAATTATGTTTCTCAGTTGGCACAATTTTTGGAAGCCAAACTCCACTATTCAGATGTACAAGGAATCTTTAACGCAAGAGTACCCATTGTCAAATTCACTGAACCAATATTGAAATTGCATTGTGATGTGGGTGTCAACAACATTTTAGCTGTATACAACACAAAACTTGTAGGATTATATTGCGATATAGATGTTAGATGTAAGCAACTGATATTTTTCTTAAAGTTTTGGATAAAACAACGATGTATCAATGATCCCTATAGAGGAACTCTAAGTTCTTACTCTCTAGTCATAATGATCATTCACTTTCTTCAGCACAACAAGGTGCTTCCTTTTTTACAAGACAAAACAATTTTTACAAATATGCCTTTACGAAATATTGACGGCATGGACGGAAATATGTACGATTGTTCATTCGAAGAGTCGAAGGAAGAAATTTATTCCAAGTTTGAAAAGACAAATACTGATTCTGTTGGATTGCTGCTTTTCAAATTCTTTAAATATTATGCATTTGAATATAGATTCAAAACTAACGTGATCAGCATTCGTCAGTCAGCCCAACCTCTCATACCCATAGAAGAAAAAAACTTCCCTCATCCCTTTCGAGTGGAAGACCCATTTGAGATTGACTACAACACTGCCAAAAGTGTGAATAAGAACGGGTTAAAAGCAGTTAGGTATGAATGTATTAGAGCATTTTACCTTATCCAAAAACAATCCAATTTCAAGGATGTTGTGTGTGCTAGATTAAGCAATTAATAAACAACAGTTGCTTAAGAAAACGATGCCATGGTCCTACTTTGTTAATGTTTTACTCGTCCTTTGGTGCATTTAATGTCAATCTTTCAGAGTAAAGTTTTAACAGCACCTCTCTCAAATATCTGATAATTTCATAAGACTTGGAAGTGCTTTGTTTTGAAATATTGTGGAATGTACTTCTCTGGGAATCTGGAATAAATTGGAATATTTTCTCAATTTCATCTTTTGAGAGTTCCTTTCTGGCCAAATCAAAGTTAATCATTTGGTTTGGATAACTTCTTCCAATAGCAATCAACTGATTGTAGTATGTCGTTAAAACTACTCCCCTATAAAGATCTCCATTGGGAGTGCTAGTTATTTTCTTTCCAGCCTCCCCATATCTTGATTGGAAATAATCTTTTGGATGAGAGTACACGTCAGGAGCCTTAATAATTGCTAAAACGCAGTTTGGTTTTTGTTTGATGCTCTCGGGAAGCTTGGAATATTCCTTGGATGAGACAAAATCCTGAATTAAATGGAATATGTCAAAATGAGAACTTCTTGTTCGAGAACAGAATTTTAACATACCTTGGTGTTAATCTTCTCAAGCCAGACAATTTCCTCATTCTCTCTCATTCCCATTTTCAAACTTTTTTCAAGCATGTTCAAATCATTCAAATTTAACAAATCTTCTCTAGTTGCGATTGTGGATTTTTGTTCAGAATTTCTTGAAGCCAAATATTCATCTTTGCTCATCATTACCCAAACTAAATCGACCATATGTCCATAATCATCAAAAACTTCAAACTTTCCTCCAACATTTTGTAAATCTTCTTTGATCAACAATCCTGGTTTTACAAACAAATTAGCCAAAACATCATTTGGATCCTGACTATTTGATACATCAAAGGAAAGCAAAGGATTTCTGTAACACAAGGTCTCCTCTATTTCTGGTTGATCACTCTTTAATTCAACATAATTTCTATATGGTCCATACATATTTCTTAATAATTTGTCTAGGATCGAGTCAGAAGGATTGTTGTTGTATTGACGAAGTGCAAGAATGATTGTAATTGATGAAAATCCTAAAGCAAGCAGAAATGATTGGATCAATAATTTCTTAAATGAATAACTTGGCTTTTGTTGGTATTCCTGTTGTTGTTTTTGTTCGTCTTCTTGTTGCTTTTGCTCATTATCGGATTGTTTGACGAAAAAGCTTGAATGAAAATTCCTTATTTTCTTCATTCGATCCATTTGATTAAAATCAAGCCATGATGATGATGATGATGAACGAGCAGAGGGAATGGTTGTACCCAAAGAAGCACCACCACTCGCACCACACCAACCATTCATGATCGGAAATGAACGAAATCTCGATGCGGTAATCACAGAAAGTCTTTTCATTTTTTTTTCAATCAAAGTCCTTTTTTGGTGTAAATACCTCTGATTGTTTTCGATGAAAAACATAAGGATTATTCAAAACGAATAGATATTTCCTTAAATCGAGTGGTTGAGTGGTTGAGTGGTTAGATAATTAACTAAACAAAATGGTGTATGCTTTGTGAAAAGCCACTTTAAAAAATGCAATGTGATGAACATGTCAAGTCATCAAAATCAGTTATCAAAAACGAACAAGCATTTCTTCAAGCGTTTATGTGACTATTATCTACTCGTCCTTGAGAATGACATGCCGAATCTCTTCACTTGATTTTTCATAAAACTCATTAAAAAAAATGTCCAACACCACTGTTGAAGCCCCTGCTAACGATTGTCTCATTCCAGAAGATGTTTTAAAAGCCTACAAGAAGGTCCGTCTCAGTAACAGCAAGCACATGATGGTCATGATTCTTAAAATTAATAAGGAAGACAATTCCATTGCGATTGAAGAACAATTTGATGAGACTACTTTTGAAGATTTGCAATCTTATTTGGATGATGTCAATTTGCAGCCACGATATTTGGTCTTGTCCTATGCTTGGCAACGAGGAGATAGACTTCAATATCCATTGATGTTTATTTTCTATACTCCCAAGCATGCCAATCCTTATGATCAAAGTATGTAGTTGTTGTTCACTTATTGGATGCGAATTAGATCATCATCATCATGATTCAAAAATTCATAAAATGATGATGGCATTAAAATTTTGAATATGGAATCCATCATCATAACAATAATAATAATATACACTTCTGATTCGAACCAATAGTGATGTATTCGAGAATGAAGCTTCCATTAGTGAGGTAAGTGATCATTATCGGAGTGAGCAAGAATGAAGAACTCAATGGATGTGACTATTTTGAATGACATGGATGACAAACTACTCACAAAATATCTTTCACAATGTCTATTTATTAGAAAATTGGACGTACCAAGAAGCTATGAAATCCGTGACTATGAAGATCTTACTGAAGAATGGTTATTGGAACAATTGAACAAGAAGTAAAGTAGTATTCCTTTCAATGAACTCTTTGAAGAAAAATCAAAGTACTTTTGTGTAAAATGCAATAATAATATATTATTAAAATTAAATTATTCTTCTTCACATGAATGTGAGAGCTATTTCACTGTTTTTTGAAATAGCTTCGAATATCTTTCGTTTTGCACGGCGACGCTGAAATGTTTTTCATTTCATTCTCTGAATGTAACGTCATCGTGTCACAATCATTCGATGAATCCATATGAATGGCTGAATGATTGGCATAGAGTTGAGATGCTGACTTTTTCATCTTGTCCAATGTTTGTTCTGAATGGTGTTACAGTGTGAACAACACGTCATTTGAGGCGAATTCAAACTTACCATAAAAGGATGTTTGTCTCTGCGTTTTAGACTTGAACCCAGAAATTGCTGAGGCTGTCGATGAGGACGTTTCTGCGTTCAAAGTGGAATGATTGTGAACCATCTCCGATAATGATGGATTGATCGTTGGAAATGAAGAATCACCACTCAACAACAAGAAGGGATTGCTCCTCCTAATTCTCGGAAATGAAAAATTACAAGATACAGGTGTCGGAAAGGAAGATGGAAAAGAATCGATTTGTTGTTGATGGTGATGATGGTGTGGTCGTGGAAGGTCCGATGAAGAAGAAGGATGGTAGTGATGATGAGCAGGCAACGATAACGTCGTCGTTGGTGAGTGCTGTGAATGGAAGAAGCCATCGGATTGATTGGTATTTAATAGAGAGTGAGAGAAGGATGCATTTCCGTTTGGAAAGGATGTTGAGAACAACGAGTGGTGATAATTTTCGAAGAGAAGAAGACTGCTTTGGGCGTTCGGTTGAGTCATCGTTGACACTTTTTTTTCTTTTAAAACTGCCATCCGTCAGCAAGGCGGGAGTACTGTTGATTATGACTGGTGTCTGCTGCTTCACCTTGTTCATTCATGAACGCAAGCGATTTATTTTCTTTCTTCAAAAAGCAATATAAAGAGGATTTGAAATGACATTCAACAGCATTGAAAGTCTCTTTTGCCCCTCGCAACCACTCTAATAATGAAACCATCCGTTACACTAATTTTCAAAAATCTAACCGTTACTAAAACAAATTTTAAAAAAATCATCTCAAAAAAATTCAAAACTTGTAATTAAACACTCGGGTGCCACCCACACTCTCTCTTTTCCCATACATTCCCTATTACCATCCACCAACAACAATTAACGAAACACACACACCTATCAACATTCATCATCATGAAGGAAACAGTTGCTGTCGATGTCCACCGAGTGGTTACCAAACTTCGAACTCTTTCCATGGATCGAGACAATCAACCTGTGATTGTTCGTCGTGGAGTTACCACCTCATTGGTTTCATTTCTCTCCCAACCCCATTACCACGTGAATGTTAAAGTCATTGCTTGTGAGACTCTCAAGATGTTATCCTCCCATCCCGATAATCCAGAACTGATGGCAAAAGAGCCTTCTCTCGTGGAATCTCTCATCTCCATGTACAAATCTGAAGTGGATAAGACGAATGCTCTGTGTGTTTTGATTCAAGATATTATCAATAATTTGTATGGAAATCTCTCTCGGGAACAATTGGAAATGTTACCCAGTGATTTACTCTCCTCTCAAGCTCCAGTGAATGGCTCCATTGCTTCATCAGTGGCTGCTCTTGCAAACTCTTCCAATAATGGCAGTGCCTCTTCGGTGGATGCCAAGAAAAAGAAGAAGAGAAAGAAGAGAAATGTTGTTTTGCAAGTTGATCAATTGGTCAATGAAAAGCAACGACAACGATTAGAAGAGTTGATTTTGCAATTGAAAGGAACCATCTCTTATACCTTCAATGTCCCAAAGAAGCAAGTAACCATCTACACCAGAACTTCCACAGAGAAGATTTTGGAAGAGCTCGCCAAGAACTCTTACATGACCTCTGTCATCTCGGACAGTATTTGTGAGACTGAATACAATCATCACTATTCGTATGATAAGGAAAATTACACACCTCAATACTTGTCTTCAGAAAAGTCAAGTAGTAGCACCAACAACAACAACAACAACACTCAAAAGAGTAGCTACATGCAAAGCTTGGTTGCTTGTGAAGATAATAGTTTGCAAGCAAGGAGGAAGAAGAAGGCTGGAACCTCCTCTCAGCAACAACAATCCAAAGAGGAACAAGGCAATGGAGTTTCTGGTTTCATTAGTAAGATTACAAGCGTTTTCTGGTAATAATTTCAAAATGGAAACAAACACTCATCTCCATGTGGTGAATTTTACTACTCAATCATGAAGGTCATCATGTAAATGTAAAGTCATTTTCATGTTTTTTACCTTCATGGCAATCATTGGTTTTGCAATAAACACAATTCCGAACTTTTGAAAACCATCATCAAGAGAACTCAAAAAATGTTCGCACGAATCAATAATTATTGGAGAAGTGGATTGTTTTTGCGAAGGTCTTGCCACCCGGCGCCTCTCCATCAAAAGCTTTGCTTAAAATCATCATCGTTATCATCATTGTGTGAATTAATGAATCAACATGGTTGCAACTCGGCACCTTCTAGAAGGTGGATGCATAGTCATAATAGACATGTCTTTGCTTTGCATTACAATGAACTGAATGAATTAATTTCAGGTTCGGAACCGAATGAAGTAGTGGGAATTGCCGACTCGGCCTTACTCAAGAGAATGACTACAATATTACGATTCAAACCTGGAGATCAATTTGTATTGTTTGATTTGAATTCAACCTATCAATTATTTAAAGTTGTTCAAATTGACAAGAGAATGATAAAAGCAATTAAGTTGCAACATGATCAGGATGAAGAATTACTGACTCTTTTAAATCAACGAAAGAAATTCACAATTACTGCTTCTATTTGCATGACCAAATCAAAAGATACATTTGAAGAAATGATCTATCAATGCAGGTTAGTATGATGAATGCAAGCAAATCTTTCTATAGTCAAGTCCTTCATAGTTCAATGGGAGTTAATCGTATTGTTCCAATCATCACAGAAGAAAAAAAACAACAGCAACATGCAGAGTATTTCGAAAACAAGAAAGAACGTCTCAATAATATTATGATTGCAGCTATTGAACAATCGAAACAATTCTATGGAACGCCTTTCATTGAGACTCCAATTTCATTATCTGACTATGTGACTAAGATTTCACGTAACCAAAGTTACGACACGGAAAGAAGAATCTTCTTGGATGTGGACGGAGAGCTTTCTTGGATGAATTTATTAAGGGACATCGAACAAAACAAAAACCAGTCACGTACCACAAGTATTAACGTTTTGGTTGGACCCGAAAGAGATTTATTTGATCACGAGAGAAAATACTTGAAAGACATGGGTTTTACATCAATATCTCTGTCTAAGAAAATCGTATACAAAAGTGAAACAGCATTTACAATTGCAATGGGTAGTATTATGAGCGTGATTTGGAACAAATAGATCCAAAAATAGTTTACTACTCGATTGTCTTTTGGGATATAACATTGATGACTTCTTTACGCTTGTCACTCTCTTGGAATAATGCTTTTACAAGCTTAATAAGATCGCTTGGAGGAAGTCCAGCCAATTTTCTGTTGGACGAGCATAGATTGACATCATCCAGAATTTCTAATAGTGACATTGCCATGACAGATTTCACAGCTCTGAACATCATCCATGAGGGAATAAATTTCGAAATTTCGCCGTTTTCAAAAGAAAGGTTTTCAGAAATCCACTGTATCAGGAATGACATTAATGTTGAAATATCTTGAGATTCATTTTCTCCAATATCCGCTATGCCTACGATATGGAAGGCCATGGTCTTTAAAATAGGTTCCAAAATTTCGCCAAAAGATGATAAAATTATTCCATTTGAGCTATCAACCACTTGACACCACAATCGCTTCAACGTGTCAAGTTGATTAATAATTTTTTCCATTGCTTTCTTATTTTGTTTCATATTACTGTATAGATCTTTAAACTTTTTACATTCTGATAGGTATGAGTGAAGGATGGTTGATTGTCTCTTGATCAAAGCTTGTCTTTCCTTCTCAGCAAAAACTCTAAGTGTTGCTGCGGCATCAGAGAGCAAATTTTCTGTGGAATTAGAATAGTATTTTATAGAGATGATGTCTAATTCATGAGCTATACGATAACAATCGTTGTATAAAATCATATTAAATTGTGGAAATTGGATTAACGATTCTCCATATTTGATAGGAATTAATAATTTAAATAATATCACTAGTTGTCTAATGTATTTTGCATTTTGTGGAGTAAATCCAGAATCCAACGATTTTTCAATATATGAGTTAATCTTCTCAATGATTTGCATGGTTCCCTCCGAGAGCGTACATGGTGGAAAGTAAAACAAGGAATCGGTGCGTCCTTTTCTTTTCATGACTTTCATTTCTACCACATGATAAAAGAAAGCCTTCTTTTCATCCGACTCTATTAATTTACGGCACCAATCTAAAAGAACTTCTCCGCTCTGGGAGTCTTTTCTTTTGGCTTCTGATCCCGAAGAAGCACTGTCGAGAGTGGACATTTTTTGATGGTTGTGTTCCTATTCACCACACCAAATGATGAATAAAAAAGAAATCCATAAAATTCAATATGTCCTTCAATAAATACAGAGCAAGAGTTTTGATGACCTACTTGATACTCGCGAATGAAAACAAACCCATGAGTGGAATTTTGCATTCAATCAATTTTGATTTGTGGGATAAAATCCAACAAAAAAATGCTCAACAACAACAACAACGCTGTGACCTCTTTACCATCTTCAGGCCTCTCTCACCATCTCTCAAAAATTTTCGATTGCAAAGGATTCCGAAGTTTAAAGAATTCTGGAAAATGTTCCATGATTGGAGGAGGTCTTATCAAACTCGGAATGGTTACCGTTTCGTCCATCAGTACTTCATCATCACCATCACGTTCATCGAGCATGGATTCAACCCATCATTATTCCAATAGTGTGAGCATAAACACTGATCCTTTTAGCATCGTCGTGAGAAGATATGCCTCATTGTTTGGAAGCAGAAGTTATTCTTCGAGCAACATTAAGAATACAAACCATCCTTCGAAAAACATTGATGAAAGCCTTAGACAAAAACAAACGGAAAGCGATTTTCTGTTGACATCTATTCATGAGATTGACAAATACATTCAAGGCCATAAGAATGAACTGACAAAGGAGGAGTCTGTTCATGAGTTTTTCAAAATGATGAAGTTTTGTTTGGCTTATTGCCAATTACATAACGGAAGAGCTTCTAAAAAGTTTATTGCCTTGATCTATTCAGTATCCAAAGGAGTGTTAAAAGCAGTGCAAAATAACTCTCAATTTTTAAGAGACATTTACCACCTACTTTGCATGTTGCATTTTACAAACTTTCCTGCTCTTCATGTGCCATGCATTCAACTCGCATTTGGATTTAGGGAGACCAAAGATTCAGAAATGTGCGTTTCTCTATTTGAAAATCATATATTGCCAATCCTGGAAGAAGTTCATAGATCGAGAACTGATTTTTATTGCGACTACTTGCTATCGGCATATATCCTGTTACCTGAGTTTGCGGTCACCAGAGAAGACTTTGTTGAAAAGATATTGGAATTGAGTTCAAAATTTATTCCTAGTGATGCATATGGCGTACCTCTTCACAAGATCACTGATAAGAATTATTGTACTCAATTATTACCATCAGAATCTAGCAACGGATTGAAACAATCCTTAAGATATTTTTCCAAATATCTTTTTGAATATATATTAAGCGTTGAAACAAAAACGAAGAAAAATGGTTTATTTGATGGAAACATACTACTAGAAACCTTTAGAAAGATTCAACGATTTCATAATCAGCTTGAGATACAAAAGTACAACTATGCTCTCGAAATTTTAGGAAGAAATGATAGCCCTCAAACAATGGAATTTTTCGATGAGATTCTAAAACTAAGCTATACTAAGCCAGATGAATCCACCTACGGTACTCTTGTGAAGTACCTTTCAAACAATGTGAAAAAAGGACAGGAAGGACATGATGTTGTTATAAAGTGTTATAACGACATGATGCAATCAGGACGTGTAAATCAAAAATCTCTCACAACATTTTTAACGGTCACTAGACATCATTCCATGGATTTCCAAGATCTTCGAGAAAAGATTGCTAATCAAATATACGAATGGAAGAATGAAAAATTAGATCAATTCTCGGTGACGGAGGCAATTCTCCATACTTTACAAAAACATGGAATTGAAGCAGCATATGAAAAATTGACCGACCTTAGAAGAGATGAAAAAGCAGAAATGTCTCCTAGCGTCTACAATGTTATTTTGAATGCAGTTTCAAGTGATATTCAACAGGTAACTCTTGCATTTAACGTTTTGAACTATATGATTGAAGACAAGATCAATCCAAACGATCACATATTGGTTAGTCTACTTAGTATTGAAACCAAGTTGCACAATTTATTATACAAACCAGGAAGAGTCGATCCAGTAATTGTGGACAGACTAGAACGATATAAGGTCACTATTGATTCATTATTGAAGGACTTAATTGAAGATGTTTGTGAGGGCAAGGCGCACAACTATGTTGTAATTTCTGCTGCGATGAAACGATTTAAGGAAACTCAAGAATATGACAAGGTCATTAAAATTTGGGAGAAGATTAGAGATAAAATGACGACCGAAGCAAAGCAAGATGGGTCTATTTATTTGATTGTAATGAGAGCATGTGAAGCAAACAAGAATGTGCAAGCTCTTTATGAGTGCGTCGAACATTTATTGAATCAAGGGCTACCAGTTTTACCATGGCAACTTTATCATCGTATTGTATTGTTGGCTGCAAGAATGGATTTTGGAAATCCAGAACTCAACGATCGTTTAGTAGAACTAATATATACTAGATACACCCCACATTATGCGGATCTAACGAATATCAAAAGACAAACCAATCCACAATGCCTTTCAAGAAAGACATGGAAGGTACCTCCACCAAGTTTAACAACAGGCGAAATCGAATTCATCCAAAAAAGCAAAACAAGTTTTGGCGAAGAATACTGAGAAACTTGACGAAGAACAAAAAGTAAGCGAATAAACGCAATTCGCCCTAAATGCCAAACAACGTCTTTTTATAACTTTGTTGAACCAAAATCCCCAATCTAATATTGAATGATAAGAAGTTTCGTTTTCTACTCTACCAGCGGCCTCCTAGCTCAGTTGGCAGTAGCGCTGTCCTAGTAAGACAGAGGTCTTGGGTTCGATTCCCAAGGGGGCCAACAACATTTTTATTAAAGAAATGGTTCTTTCTTGAAACTTTCTACAACTTGGAAGCTCTCATTGGGGTTGAACTGTTTGCTGTCTTCCAGTTTGAAGGAATGAAACACGAGACACATTCTGGATTTTTCAACGAACTTCTTTCTGAAGGTTGTACCTTGTCCTGATTCACCAACTTTTTTACAAACTTCTCCATCTTCTTTCCATTTGTGTTAATAGGAATTCCACTGGTTTGAACAATGACGCTTGGTTTGTGTCGTGCAGATAAGTGTGTTCTGACGGTGTTGTTGATCTTGTCGCAAATCTTTTCATCCAATTCTAACTCTGGTTGTAATTGAACAAACAAAACCACTCGTTCATTTCCATCGACTTGTCTTTGACCCACCACAATAGAATCTACCACTTCCTCGACATGCTGTAACACGTCATAATAACATCCTGTTCCTAATCGAACACCTCCAGGATTTAAGGTGGCATCACTTCGTCCAATGATATAAAATCCAAATCGTTTCGTTTGTTCACTCAAATCTCCTTGTGCCCAAACACCATTAAATTGTGCAAAATAACTGTCATGATAACGCTGAGGTGTTTGATCGCCCCAAAAAAAGAGCGGTGCAGATGGAAAGGGATTCAAACACACCAGTTCACCATTCTTTCCAAATATTCTTTGACCTTCTTCATTCCACACTTGAACATTGAGACCAAGGCCAGCAGTTTGTAACTCTCCTGTTCAATATGTTGTTGTTTCAATTATGGTTCAAAATGTTGTTTTATCCATTCATGATGAATTGTTTTCAGAATCATTCAAAATAATAGTAATCATTAAGAATGAATATCAGAGAAGGATAGATCCCAATATTTTCATTGAACTTACCTGGATAGACGGGCAAGAATGGAGAACCCAACACAAAACATCCATTCAAATCTGTTCCTCCTGATATCGAACTGAGTTGAACATTGGGTATCATATGAGAATACAAATAAATTGCCATACTTGGTGCCAATGGTGATCCAGTAGTATTCACAAGCCTCAAATGGGACAAATTGAGAGGTGTTTTTTTCAATAAATCCACTTTATGAGTGGCCATAAGTGATAAATATCTTGAACTAGTTCCAAAGACAGTAATCTTTTCTTGTTCGATCAATTTCCACATACTGAGAACATTTGGATACATTGGACTTCCATCATACAAAATGATTTTACATCCAGTATATAAACAAGAGACAAGCCAGTTCCACATCATCCAACCACAAGTCGAGTACACAAAAACTGTATCTTTTTCAGTAATATCACAATGCAAATGGGTCTCTTTGATGTGATTAATCAAAACACCAAATCCTTGAGAAATGCATTTAGGTGCTCCTGTGCTACCACTTGTGTAGACAATATGAATGGGATGATCGACACTCACTTGCTCGAATTCGAGATGTGGAGTTGGTCGACAATAATTGTCATGCTGTTGTGACATTTCGTAAGGTCTCATAATTTCCTTCTTGTAGTCGACGGTTCGCACTGGTTGACGATGTTGTTTCTCTTCGTCTGTGATCATCTCTGAAGACATGTGACCAACACCACACTTGATAATCTCCAAATTCTTTTCATTGGTGGTGAATTCCAAAAATTTGACCTTGACCACAGTTTTCAAACTTGGTAAATTCTTCACTAAAAATTCACTACTTTCGGAGGTGGAAAAAACTTTCCCATTAAATGTGTAATGATCACATGTGAACATGAGAACTGGCTCTATATGTTTAAATCTTTCATAAACAATTCGTTTTCCATTGTCTGGGCTCACACTTGACCATATAGCTCCCAAACTAGTCACAGCCAACAAGGCAACAATTGCCTCAATCGAATTTGGAAGGAGAGCCACACAACGATCCATCTTTTTCACACCCAACTCTGTTTTCAAATAATGAGCAAGAATTGAAACTTGATTCCATAATTGTCCATATGTGATTTCTCTCCTTTCAACTTTCACTCCCTTGACACCTTGTTCTCCAAGAGAGACCAAAGCCACTGAGTTTTCAAAGTTTGGATCTAAACATTTGCATAATAAATTTTGTGCATAATTGGTTTTGGCACCCACAAAGAATTTACATCCTAAAAAGGGATGTTTGGAAAAGATTGATTCTTCGTGAACTGGATTGGAGGAAGTGGACAAGTCATGATTGGAAGTGGAATGAAATGAAATCTTACCCAATGGTTCTTTGTTGTCAACATCCTTTGAATCGAGAGTGAACTGGACCGCGCCATTCACTCCATTCGAACATGATCCCTTCTTTTCATGAATGGAATGAGAGTTCTTTTCTTCACTTTCATAGGCCATGGAAGGTCTCACCAAGACGTGTGAAAATTCCTTCGAAGCCTTAATATTCAAAAAACGCCATAACAAACCCCAAAAACGATCATCACTGATGGACCACTGATGAAACAAGTAATTGAATAGAACAGGGTCATGTTCCATTCGAACTTGCATAAACGCTGGCAGTGGTAATTGTTGGTCGAGAAAGAGAGTCCGATATTGTTTCATAATGTATTTTGCAAAGGCATACATGACCGAGTTTTGCATCGAGTTCAGAGAAGGTCTCCACAACATGGTGTCCAATTCGGAATGATGATTGGAAGGAGAAGCATCTTGTTGTTGAGAAGAAGCATCTTCAGAAGAACTTTTGCAAGGGTGAAATTGCAAGAAACTGTTTTGAGTTGTTGTTGTTGGAGAAGAGGAAGAAGAACACTGACGATGAAACATTTTCTTGTGGAGTGGATGAGGTCTTTGAATGGTGCGTAGTAGAAGGAGAGCAGTTGTTGTTGTTGTCTTCTGTGAAGGAACACTGAGAGGTTTCAAATGTGCGAGTTTTGTTTCTCGTTGGAATTTGGTGAATTTTCACTTTTTGAAATTTCGCGAGATTGCAAGGTTCCAATTCCATAAAAATGCTGAAGGTTTATAGCACGAAGAGAGAAAACAGCGTTTGGAACCAAGGTTGAGTCCAGAAGGCAATCTTTCTGCTTGTCGAACCATCAATTAATCCTTGATAAAAATAAAATTTGATGGCCCCCTTGGGAATCGAACCCAAGACCTCTGTCTTACTAGGACAGCGCTACTGCCAACTGAGCTAGGAGGCCTTGTCGTGAAGGTAAAATATATATTATTTATCTAGATAGTTTCTATAATAAATGGTTTACACAAATAATCGAAGCACATCCTTTAAGGAGATAATTACGAAAACTTTTTGGTCCATGCTTTTCTGTGTGACATTTCAACCTTCTCTTTTCAAAATCATGATTTTTGCACTCAATCAAAATCCCATCAATCATTTTTATTGGTTCCTGAAATAGATTTGTGCTTTAAAATTGTCCCAACATCAATAGATCATTTCTCCACATTCGCAATTCTTTGCATGTTTATTGAAGTTATTAATAAGTGAATGAAAGTCTCAACCAAAAAATGAGTCGATTCTACGAAGACATCAAAGCATGCCAAAAAGTAAGTGTTGAGATTTTTCATTATTCCAGGAATCATATCACACTTGAATGGACGACTAATCGGAATTTATTCTTTTTTATTCGTCATACATGTATTGTTATGATAGGGTACGAGTTTTTATTCGTCATTTATTGTTATGATACGAGTTGATGAACTTTGAAACTTTTTAAATCGTATGATGATTCAAAAATGATGATTTGGAAATTGAAATCGGATCATTATTTCAATTGCATGATGATGATTGGATAATTTCACTTTCACATAATGCCTCACTTCTCAAACATTTTCACTGCATGTCATATTATTTAGACATGTTATCGATATTGACTGGCAAGCGTGTGAATAAATTATTACAACATATTAAAGAACAAAATAAGAATGGATGTAAAATGGTAACAAGAGGATTGGATCTACGTGTTTGTGATTCTGTAGAAGATGCTGGCATGATGGGTATGTGGGAATGTCATTTCGTGAGGAAAGGATAACAAAAATTACAAAATTTTTAAAATGTCACTACGATTGTTTAATGACGATGAATGAAAATAGGATATTATTCTGCATCGGCCAATCAAGTAGTAGTGTGTTGCAATCGACATGTACGTGTTGATGAAATGTTGTCAATATTTATGTTTTTCACATGTGAATGTTTATCATTAATGGAATTAATTTTTTTGAATTTCTTATTCATGGTCCATCATTGAATACCATGATACATATTTAGAGAGAGCCTGAAGAACTTGAAAATACAGTTGTTCATGAATTAATCCATGCCTATGATTTTTGTAGATTTCGTCAATTATTTTATTGTAAAGTAAGAGCTTGTTCAGAGGTGAGAGCTTATTCACTAAGTGGTTCATGTTCCAGTCCAGATGAATTATCAGGGTTTACAAGTAAGGAACAATGTTTAAAGGCAAGAGCTATTGCAAGTACGATCATGGCTTGCAAGAAATCAGCTGTTTCTGTAGGTAGTGCAATTTGTGAATTTTGAAATTTGTTAAATATCTTTTTAGGATGTTCATGACATTTTCAATACGTGTATCAATGATGAGCATCCTTTCAAGAGTTCGCCTGATCATCATGTGTTAAAACCTCATGAGCTCCCAGAAGCAGATAAAGTAGTCACCAATTAAGAGATGAATAATATAAAATTCTAAAATTTATTATTCTTGATTGCATTCATTTAATGAGTCTAATATGATTGCCCTACATTGCTTAAATTGAAGGGCGTTTGAAAACATGTTGGGAAATGTATTCCAAACAAAATCTTCAAAATTAAAGTGATCACTTTTCAAGACCTGATCTCATCGATGCTCATCCTGTTGTTTCACATAGTTAATTTCAAGATCATACATGTCCCTTACTGGTTTATATCCAATGTTCATATAAATTGAATTCGAAGTTGGATTAGTCAGGTCTGTAAATAAAAATAAAGCTTCATACGCATCACCATGATTCTTGAGAACATCTATTGCCATGGAATACATGAGAAAAGAAGCTACTCCTTTTCCTCTTTGACTCTTCGAGGTATACACAGAGGAGACTCTGTCAACGTCGAATGAAGAAACACTTTTTGACAGATAAGCAAGGAACTGATGCTACATACCTTCCTGCTTTGGGAATACCTGTCACCAACGCAATACAAATTGGAGTCTTCTCTTGATCATCACCCTTTTCATAACACAAAGTTGCAAAACCATTTTTCAAAACTCCTTTGATTATATTTTCCAAGTAATCTTCTTTCGACTTTTTCTTTTGATTTGGAAATATTTCAGTCATAAATTGGTCCAAAAATTGAATATAAATTTCCAATTGTTTTGCATTGTTTAAATCCAAATAGGAAAAAACATATCTTTCTTGTTGTTTTTCTAAATCTCTACATGGCCGAATGTCATTTGCTTTCAATGAATAAACTCTCAATTTGAAAATTTCAATGTTGGGTTCATTACCAAAATTTTCAACAACATTCTTCAATTTTTCACCATATTCCTTAGCAAACCATTCGGCTTCCAAATTATCGGTCATGACTCCATTCACTGCTCTTCCATATTTCTTCATCAAGTGCTCAATTTCCTCACAGCTTTCTCTGCAGTATAATTTCATCTTCTCCTGAGCATTGCCAATATTCAAAAACAGATCCATCCAAGCGCTCAATATGAAATGTCGTTCTTGCAGGGTTTGATCCAACGAAGGAGCACTCAATAAGAGTCGATACGGCAAGGTCCATATCATGACCATGGCAATCGGTCCTGTATCTGTACTAATGCTGCAAGAGGGTACTCGTTTCATTGTTTGGTCCATTCCATTTCTCAACTCCTCGGAAGAATGATGATCACTCCTCATCTGTTCCAATTCTTCTTCTTGCCTCCGAATGATCATTAGAAATCGTTCGGGATATCTTTGAGGAGTGAGCACACAGGAACGAGAGACTCCCAATAGGGCATTGTTTTCTGCCAATTTCTGAGTGAGAAAGGGAATGGCATGTTCATAATAAAGCTCTGCATTCGTGTAGAAGGTTATCGAGTAGTAGGAACAACAGTTTCTTTCTCTCGCGAGAGGAATTGAGAAAGACATTTTTTTGAAGGGAGACACGAACTGTTGTGAATGCATTTCAGAGATGCCACATGTTCATAGATTTTCAAAAAGTGCAAATTTGCAATTGAATGAAACGTCATGGCTGACTGTTACTATAATTGAAATGTTTTTTTAGGGGGGTGGTTGAAAATTGGATTTGACTTTTCATTTCAATCAAAATTATTTCAACAAAAAAAATGAGCGATTTTGAAGAGGACCGTGAAGACCTTCAGAGTGCTTTCATTGCGTATCACCGATGTTTTTCTTATGTGGATAATTTACTTGAACGATTGTACAAGAATAATGAGGAGATAAAATCCGAGGCTCAAGATCATGCAAAAACAATGGTTCTTGCATGTACTATAGAAGGGTTATTTGATGATTCAATCGGACCATTTAAGACTAAATGTGTGGATCCTATCAAAGAGCCTGAACGACAGAATACTTTAACCAACTCTTCTTTTTTGTTGGATAATCCGAATCAAATTACGAGACTTTCCGAAGAAGAATTGTTTGAAAAAGGATCCAGACTAAAAAATTGTATCAATTCTGACACGGGTTTCAAAAAAGCAATCGTGATGGCAGATAGGAGGTACTTTTATTGGAAAGAACCTGGTAGTGCCAAGTTCTTTTTTCCTCAAGTCGTTCAAAATTTTACTCAAGACCGAAATAAGTTTAGAAGTTATGAATTAAAGGGTGGAGAAGATTTAGATGATTTGAGATACAAAGTGGATTATCTTTCTGAGAGATTTGCTAGAAAGGAACTTAATAATTATTTTGCTTGCATACTTTCAAATTCTCCATCTCTGAATCCTCAATTTGACATGATGGATATGAAAAAGAATTGCCTTCCAGAAAGATTAAGCTATCATTTATTGGTTAACTCTGTGTTCTGTAGAAAGAATATCGAGAGATGTCTTCGAAATAGGGATGCATACATGCTCTCTCAAGATTCATCTTACAACTACAAAATGCCAATGCAAGATCGTTCATTGTCTGAATTTGAGGAGTGTTTGTTTAACTCTGAATTTTCACATTCATGCATTTCTATTGTGGATGATTTTGTTGGCAAAAAAGGAAGTGAAGGACACGCTGCTCGTGCGTGGGAGGAAAAGCTCAGAGAGATGGATAAAATCTAAATGTTGTTGTTGTTTATTTGCGCACTATAATAATTATTTCATGTCATCGATTCAATTCGTGTATGAGAAGGTTGATTGAATCACCAAATTTCTGATCCATCTCTGATGTTGGCTGTTTCCCTACAGGTATTGAGTTCGAAGGTGGAATCTGACTTTCAAATTTTGCCAACAAAGAGTTCAAAGAGCTAGAGGCATAAATGGGTGAAGAAGAAAATTGTTTGACTCTCATTGAAAGCATATCCATTAAAGGTTTGCACATACGGTCAATCAACTCCTTATTCTTGGTTCTTACAATTTCTAGTGCTCTCAAATCAACTTCAATTAACTGGTAACATGTGCAAAGTTCGTCCGTACTTGTAATTAATCTTTTTCCTTGCTCAATGTCTGCAAGAATTTTCAAGTGAAGAGAGGCAGCTTCAAACATGGCTCCCAACGTTAGTGGTTGAACCAAGTGAAAGGGTCCAACAAGTGTGGATAAGGAAAATAGTTTAGCCTCATTCTCCAAACGTTCATCTGTAATGTTGGCCTCTTTCATCATTTGTAATTTGCATCCATGATAATACAAGTTGTGAAGACAGTTCATGATGCTTTTTGTTGTTTCGGAAACTTGTCTTTCAGTTTCATGGATACGCAGGAAATTGGCAGAAAATTCAAGCATCATTAAAAACAAATTGAGATTTTCCTCAGTAATCTTTTGGGCCATAATGGCCATGATGGTATTCGGAATTTTTCCAATGGCATAGAGGCAACCATCACTGATTAGCTTGCCAACATAGGTCCCAAAAGTAAATCCTGGAAAGTTAGCACAATCGTTTAAGAAAAATTCGCCAGACTTATCAACACTAATGGCAGCTAGCACTCGATACTTGAGTAAAAACATTTCATCCAAAGTTAGACCTGTAAAAATAGAATAATTCGCTCCGCTCTTTGCCTCTTCTTCAATAGAATAGTTTAAATGTCTTCTAGTTCTATAATTTACGCTCTTTTTCTTGAAGAATAAATCCACATACTGCAAATAAAATTTAGCCTTGCCTTTGTCTCCAATTCCGCTACAATAACGAGCAAAAAAGCAATACGTTCCAGCAATAAAAAGATTGTCTGCATTGTCAAAGCAATCAGATAACAGCGTTCTTGCTTTTAAATAAGCTAAATTAGCTTCATCATGCACACCAAGAGCTTGACATGTAACAGAGTGTATTGAGTAGAGAAGTGATAATACGTCATTGGTATAAATACCTCTCATAGACTCTTCGTTGAAAAACGCTATTTCCAAGGTAGAGGTTGATAATATTGGATAGCCCATCGATATCACTTCTTCATAGAGCTGAACTGTCCGCTTTTTGTAGGCATTCATATTTAAACGATTTGCTATTGATGAGTCTTGCAATAGTGTGGATGCAATGTGTTGAGCAATAATCTCTTGTTGCTGTTGGGTCATGGTAAATAGAGGTCCGTTTTGATTATCCTTGATTCCAAGACAGTTTAATATTTCTTCAATGGATTCCTTAGATAGGTGTAAAAATGCATTGGATTGGTTAGTGTTTACAACGTTAGTTCCCACCAATTTCGTTTGGTTCTTTTGATCTTCGTTATCTTGATGTTGTGTTTTATGGTTGGATCTGACAGTTGGACCTTGATCACCGAATAAATTAATATTTTGTTGTGATTTATACTGAACCATAGGTTGAGAGTTGATATCGGACGTTAATAAAGATGAAAAGCTTTGTGTTGATTGGTTATTGAAATGTGGCATGTTTGTCGCTTGTTGATTATGTGGGGCTAAGGAAAAATTGTTTTGCAAGTTGTTGAAGGCAGAATCCTGTGGTATCGTCAACAATTTTGATTCGCATGCTTGGTCATGTGTTACGACGCTCTCACTGATTGAAGAATTGATATTTGAAGAAGTTTTGCTTCGTCCATTATTGTTTGTTGGAGGAAGATACAATAAACTAGAATATGGTTGGAACTTTTGATCTTTTCTTCCTTTCATTTTTGGTGATCTATAGGTACATTCCACACCTCGTTTCACGCAATTCAAGCATGAAGGTAACTGTGAAATATTATTTTGTTTTTACAAATTAAAATGAATATTATTTGAAAAGAAATACCTACAGTTCGGTCGCATTTCTGAAATTCAAATGTGTGTAATTTTATCATTTAAAGGAAATTTAAAAAACCTACCTTATGTCTAGACCTACATTGCACACATGCAATCGGGTGACCAGTTTCTAATGGAGAGGCTTCCGGATTTGCCTGAAAAACGCTTTGGAAAGCTTCCTCTGGATGCTCCAGTTTTTCGACATGCCGTTTCTTTTTCTTCTTCGCAACTTGGGGCGAGCCTGAATTAGAAGGTGAACTTTCACTAAGAGAAGAAATGACATAGTGCTGTTGCTGTTGAACGAGTGGAATGGAATTGATTTGTGGGTTTGCCTCGAAATTGAGCATACTAGATGGTGAATGTTGATAGTTCATCGATGGTGGTGAAGAATAAGAAGAGGATGATGACGACGGGCTGATTGATGGCGTGATTGCTTGATGATGGATTATTGGAGAAGAACTTGACAGATGAGAGGAAGGATAGGGTGTTGTGGTTGGTAGTGGATAAGTGTGCTGCATTTCTGGTGATGTTCTAGTATTCATCACTGGCCTATATTTATCACTACTAGAGGCTGGATCACCAAAAAAGTATGGGTTGTTGTTGTTTTGGCTGTTAGGATAATTTCCGTTCATCATCATGTGATTTTAAAAAGATTTTTGTCGGTTTAATTGGTGATCATGCAAGAAAAAGGAATTAGGTTGGTATAACTCAAAGACGCTGAGCACAATCAGACCGATCCAAAATTTCTTGCTGATGATGGTTTGAAGGGTGTCTCTCAAAGGAGGGATCAATGCGAATAATTCTCCACGTGAAGAGGACTCGGGTGTATGGCGCTTCGGTATTTTTTTAAAAGTGAAATTAAGCGCACTTGAGTTCCGACCGAAGGGAATTGCGAATGGGTATGGTCATTATTCCTTGGACCGTGGATGGTCTTTCTTGGAAACACTGATATTGTCCATGATGATCAATGAGGGTCGTCATCGGTTGGCTCTTTTTCATCAAATTGTTATTTTCGGATCATCTTTTTTGTTCTCATTGTTTAGATTCTCTTGGAGAATTTACTCTGTATTCTTTTTGTTTTAACAAAACAATTAAAGAATCGATGAAGAAAGTCTGATGAAGAATCGATGTAACACATTCAAACAAACAATTTTAATTTTGAGATCAACCCCAAGTGGGATCGGTCATCCATTACGTTTTGTTGTCAAATAATCTTGATAGTGTGAGATTTTCCAACCATCAATGTTAGTGCAATTTGAATCTCAATCCTTCTTTTGTATTACTTGACATTCATTTCAAATTAGTTCTCCCTGTGTGATTAAGGAAAAAGTGTGTTGTTTAACTAATAATTGTTATGACTGCCTTCTTCTTTAAAACACATCTTATACCTTAAATTTGTTTCTAAAGAAGTCCCTAAATGGGAGGGTTTTCGGGCTGTAATAAATGAAGTGTTCTAAATCAACATCCATGCCATGATGATCACAATAGTCAAATAATTTAAGCAACATCCTTCCACAACAAAAATCTTTCTCATTACTTCGAACAACACCCACTGATGAGACTTCGAAATGGGCATCCTCAAGTCCTCCTCCTCTTCTTCGTTGTTGTTCAGGAATTCCAATTCTTCTTCCTTGACAAGGAGAATTGTGGTCAAAAAATTCGAATCTGCGAAGATGAAATATTTTGTGGATCTTGAAGAGAGTGACACTACTCTTGAACATGTGCTGTTGAAGGTCAACCAGTTGCTGCAACACAAGTCCTTGGAATTAAATGTTGTACATGTAGAACGTGTTTCCTTAATGGAGGAGAGTGATCAGATCATCATTACATCACATACTCAACTCTATGAGAAGCGTGTTTATGTAGCATTGACAAGAGATCAATTTATTGGCCTTGAACAATAAATGGGCCAATAAAATTTTTATATTTTCAGAAATAAAGCAGTTCATGGAATTGTTGGATTTTGGCATTCCTTGATTTTTTTTAATAATACAGTGTAACAGAGAGCTGGTTCGCTGCGGCTGATGTTTGATGAGGCTCTTGTGTGACATAATGACAAGCGTATTTGAAAATGATAAATTTCAATAAATAATTATTTATTGAAAGAAATTACAATACGATGATCCATAGGGCACTGATTTTCCTCCTCGCCTACCTGACTATTAATTTGCGTTTTCATTTTCTTGCTTGGAACTTCATGATTGGTATTTGCATATCTCTGGACGGTCATTGGATTTGGAATGCTTTTCAATGGTGTTCGAGTTAAAATGTTGCGAGTCCATAATGGTTTCACCTTTTCCAATTGGTCTTTAATTTTCTTCAGAACTGGTCTCTCTTCTTCTCCTGTTGCCAACATGTATTTAAGCAACGACACAAGATGCTCAATTTCATCTCCATACATGTGTTTGTAACTGGTTTGAAAATCATTCAAAAAGCCCAACATTTGAATCTTGTACTCCATACAAGATTGGAATGAATCATCACTATTCAAGGTGTGCCTGTGTTGAAAGTAATGTAGATAATTAACAATAACCACCGCCATTGAATAAATATCTGCTTCATCGGTGTCTAAACTTGGTGCTGAATATGGATACTTGAAAACAAGATCAACGTTTTGATTTGGAATAATTTTTCTATATACCACATTACTCTCGTTCGTCGTCGTAGTTTCTTGTTCTTTCAGCAACATTGAGGAGTTGAAATCAATGATGACAAGCTTAAAGCTTGCAAGTTTCTCCTCATCACTTGAAGCACTATCTCAATGATCCTGATCCAATCGAATCATTAAATTTCCAAAAGAGATGTCCGAATGGAGAATGTTAGATTGGTCTAATTGGAACAATATTTCGAAACATTGTCTCACAAGGTTCATGAAAAATTTGATTCTACACTTGTTCAACCAACGACGAACCGACGGCATATTCATAAAATCGTCCAAAGAGATTATAGTCTCTCTTGAATAGTGATACTCACGAGGTCTGTGGAGTTAACGAGTTTTCTCAGTTCAGGAAAACACTTGTCGTTGTGTTGTTTCATCAAATTGAAAACAACACTGATCAACCTGGAGTTTGAATTAATCGCACGATATTCAAAAACTCGAACAATGTTTGAAAAAGTTGATCTGGTTTGAGAGAGCGTGACAAGGTGTTTCATAACGGATTCATTTTCCGTTCTGAATACAGTGCCCTTGACAAACACTGGTCCATAGAGTTGAGAAAATGCAGAACCATAAAAACTGGTGCATGATGTGTCGCATCTCATAGAGCTTGGTAAGAACTGGAAATTTTTCAAGGCCAACAGTTCCTCTAAAACAATAGCGCACTCTATTTCATTCATTGGGTCAGGAATAAACTTGAAGGGTGGTTCAAAAGAGGTACCTCTCGATTGTTGATTGTGTCCATGATGGAAATTTCTACTTGATTCATCATGTTCATGTTCACTGCGACTTCTTGAATCATCACTTCGATGTTCATCAAGAATTTTCATCCATAGTTGTTCTTGATTTTTCTTAATAGAGAGAGAAAATAGATAAGATTTCAGATCAAATACCGTTTCAGCCCAATAAAATATTCCAACGAATGAGGTGATGTTGAATGATCTGACGCACTGAAACTTTGATACTAGTAAACCGTAAACTTTGATCTTTTGTGCATTTTTATAAGAATGTGCTTTTTTTTTGAAAAGGATGGACATACAGTCTTTAAGCATGCCTTTCATTTCAATATATATTTTAAAATGGTCTTTGTGTCCATGTTTCAGCTCTCTGTCCTCCACATTTAAAGAACACGAAAGGTTGGTCTTCAAAAATATGAATCTGAGCAAACGCGTCTGGAATAAGCCTTGCCTTGTTCTTGAGTGATGTACCTTTAACAGCATATGAGTCAACATATTGGACTGCTTCTTGACTTGTTTTGATAGATGAATGTTAAAAGAGCAAAATACACAGTTAGTATCAACATACGTTCCGAAAATAATGATTTTCCTAAATTTAAATTGGTGATTAAGAATATTAACAATCATTCCCATCAAAGTGGATTCCCAAACATTATCAGGAAGAGACTTTTGTGATTGTAGAAATTCATTATACACAGTCATTATTCTTTGAGATGGAATATCCTTCAATTGAGCAAATATTTCTTCATTAATCATTGATCTTGAATCTTCTTGACTTGTGAGAATCTTATTTAGTTTGCTGATAAAGGAATAATAGTCCATCCAAGAGGAGCTCTGTTCAGTGGCCACGTTTAATTGTTCATGAAAAATGTTTGAAATTTCCTCATACAATGGATTTGTTGTAATGTCAATATTTTCGTTCTACGTGTTTTGATGACGGACACAGGTTGCAATTATTCATTGAAAAGCTTACCTCAATAGAAATCAGGGAGTGGAACAGCCTATCTTCTTCATTTGTTGCAAATTTGAATGGACTTGCATCATCATGCTGAGAAATCTTGTCCAACAATTTCTTCACCTCTTCAGACTCCTCCAAACTGCTCTTCTTAATCTTCTTCATTTCTCGGCTTCTAGATATCAGAGATGATGATTCGGATTTTGTTGGTGTGCTTCTTTTCTTGCTGAGCTTTTTTTTGGACGTTTTGCGTTTAGGCTATTTAAATTTTGAACCTAATGGTTTGGGTTTGTTCCCTTATTACTTCAGGCCCCTAGTCAAACACAACCCCTTCAAAAACTTTGGGTGGAGAGATGAATCCAGATAAATTTAATGTTTTTGGGAAGATGGGCCCTGGAAAATTCTAGAATCAGGTCATCTCAAATGTCGAGATCTCTTCTTCACCTGATTTTGTGGCAATTGTCAGAATGATTGTTCAGGTGAAGGGTAGAGAAAATATATATTTGTCTACAAATATTTAGAAATTATTTTGAGGCATAATATTTTCTTTTCCTTCGAACAGCTGAAGAAACCAAGATTCATTCAAGCACAGCATTGTTTTGCATATGATCAGAAGTACTCTTTTAAGAATTCATTTGTTGTCTAACTAATTTCAGCTTGTTCAATTTGCACAACATGCAAAAAGTCACGATAAAGACCAAAGGCATTCAAAGGTGTAAACTATGGAGGATGTGTAGGGGTGTGTGAAATAATTGGATAAACAATAAGGAAATAATTCAATGAGACGACTCTCAGCCAATAGTTGAACCCATAAAAAGAAACCTATTGGATACATGGCAATGATGAAAACATGCCAAAATCGAAAATGCAAGTTTGAGAGCAGAAACTCCGTGACAGCAAAAATACCAACAACATGAACAGCGTAATTGGTGGCAAGCGATCAAACACAAGCACATGCTCTAAATATCAATAACGCTGTGGAGTACTGAACAGGGTGAGAGGAGGAATTTGTACTTTTTGGAGAAAGAAGACTGGATTCAAATAGAAAGTGTGAAGGTGTTTGAATGTTGGAAGGCCTAGTTGTGTTAGGTTTTGAATTATTTTGTTGGTGAGCAGATGGATCGGAATCCACAATTGCTGGGTCATGATTTTCCTTTTCTTCATCACTCGGCGAAGAAGCAACAGGCGACACGAAGGAAGAATTCTTTTTTCGTTAGTTGTGAGAAAGAGGGAGATGATGGTCTTGCATTCAAACAAAAAATGTCTTCCAATAAACTATCCTTTCGAGTCCATGCTACAGAAAAGAACAGTGATCATCAGGATGAAAAAGCAATCTTTGAAGATCATCAAAAAGAGCCATCCGCAGAAGAGAGAAAATCCGATTTGAAAAGAAAGCACGATGACATCATTCCATGCAAAGGAAATTATTTTCAAGCCAAACACGCAAAACGAGAGGAGGACGAGAAACTCTTGCGAGACAAGGAAGAATTCGTTCCGAAAAAGCCAGTTTCGGGATTCGGTGCTGCCATGCTGAAAGGAATGGGATGGCAAGAAGGAAAACCATTCGGAAGAACTAACAAGATTGTAGAACCAATAGAAGCACAACCGAGGCCACACCTTGCAGGGCTTGGAAGTAATTTGCATCGACAGTTAGAATTAGATCCCAAGAATAAGCAACTAAAGGACAAGCTGGAAAAACAGGATACAAATGTCAAAAAGCAAGCAGTAGAAACCACCACAAGATCCATTTCATCAAGCAAATCACTCTCGATTGGAGAAATGAAAAATCAAGCAGCATCACAATTATCACATGCGCAACAACCAAAGAAACCGATCACATGGCTACTTCCAAATCTGTACGTGAGATATATCCACGAAGGAAAATATTATTTGCAGAAAGGTGTCATCATGGACATACCAACAGAATATGAATGTACGTTAAGGCTTGACTCGGGTGTCATATTGGAACATGTGTATGAGACGTCACTTGAGACTGTAATTCCCAAAAATAAGGGAACTCTTTGTATGGTGGTACAGGGGAAAAACAAAGGATTTATTGGTGAAATGATCAGCAAGGATCGCGAAAAAGAGACTTGTCAGCTCAAAAGTCAAGACGACGACATTATTCAGGTTTCATTCGATCATTGTTGCGAGTATCGAGAGTTTTAGTTGTTGGTTGCCATGTGTTAATTGTCATCTGATTCTGCCAGTTTGTATTACATGAAAAGAACAACTTACGGAGAGGACATTACACACACATCATTAATGCTTCATTCCAAATCTTTGAAGAAAGGTAAACTCAAAGCCTGAACGACTCAATGGTCATTTTGATCCCACTAGGTTGCCCATTTACCTCAGCAATATGGATGGAAAATTCAAACTGCTGGTCTTCTCCGAGAGATGCCACACTAATGAAACGCGTCAGAATTTACCCAAATTGTTGAAGAATGAACTATCCTGTGCGAGTAGCTGGTTATTGGTTCGTTTTCCATTCGAAAGGAATGATTGAGAGCTTCACAAATAATGAATCAACTGGGTGTAGTTGACATCATTTCGGAGTGTTAAATGTTGAGAAAGATCCATTTGTGGTAAATCCACACCTGGTCTTAAATACAATGAGAATCAGCTGAGATAATTGTGATGTCGGAATTTGTGTTCCGTTGTAATTGAAATTGGCGGGACCGAACTCCAAAAAAATTTCATGAAGCAAATCGTACGTAGTAGAACCGTGTTTCCTGTGTTGGATGATCATAAACCTTCTCTCTCTGTACAATGAACTCATAATTCCTATTCAACGCCATTAGGGGCTTATACCTTCGGGAGCACAACTTTGGTACAAAAGAATCATAACGGTAACCCATGGTCGTCTGATATATTGTTCAACAATTGCAATCTATGTATACAACTTGAATGACTTCAGATTAGAAAGAATTCTTACAGGTCATTCTATGGCCATTACTGGAGTTGTTGCTTCACCTCACACTCCTTATTTAATAGCAACCTCCAGTTTAGACCAAACTCTAAGAGTTTGGGACATTACAGATGGAAAAACTGTCAAAGTTGTTGATCTTAAATCTATTCAATTCAAACCTTATTGTATTGAATGGAGCCATACGGACAAATATCAGCTTATTATCGGAAGTAAGAAAGGAGCACTCAAAGTTTGGGATTTCAACGACGATTCCAATTTTGCAGTTTCTGTATTCAACGGAGATGATGTGAGAATGATTGGATTGAATGCAAGAAATCCTGGAATGTTATTTGTAAACTGTGGAGCTGAATTCTTTCTTGTGGATGTCATCAAACGAAAAACAGTGCACAGATTCAGATTATCTGATTACAAAATTGTAGATTTTCAATGGGATCCCCTCTCGACCAATTACCTGATTTGTTGTTACGAAAATGGACAATCAGTGCTTTATGATACAGAGGCCAAAGAAGCAGAGGACATGAAGATTAAAACATTCGATAAATCAGGCGCAGGCATTTGTTCCGTTTCTTGGGTTAGGAATGAGCCAGGAAATTTCATTACATCCGACGTCAGGACAGGAGTGATCAGATATTGGAATGTTTCTCAAACGTCAGCTTTAAAAGTACAACAGGTACGAAAAAATAGTGGATTCCAAGATTTGGTCATGTTATCAGGAAGCCAAAAGATGGCTTGTGCATTTAAGGATGGCGCTGTTGGTTTGTATGACCTTTCAAAAAAGCAATTTGATTTTATCACTCCAGGATCTCATACCGAAACAATATTTGACTGCGATTATTGCCCTGCTAATACTGATATTTTCGCAACTTCAGGATTTGACCACAGCATTCGCCTTTGGGATACTCATAGATTGAAAGTGGTCGAAAACTTGACTCACGAATCTGGAGTTATTTATGGATTGGCATGGCATCCAACAAAAAGAGAAATTGCAGGAGCGTTTAATACGGGCTTGGTCATTATTTGGGATGCTCAAAAGAGAATTCCAAAGCTTCAAACAGAAATTCATAAGGATTGCATTTATAGAATCAGTTGGAATCCAATAGATCATTCTCTCCTAGCTACATCCTCAAAGGACACTTATTGGTATGTATTTCGAGTTAATGACAACAAATCTTATCATGGAAAATATAATTTAGCAATGTATTTAGTGATGAAGGAAAAATAGTCAAAAAGTATAAGCACCCATCTCCAGTTTTTGGTGTTTGCTGGCATCCAAAAAACAAGAATATCATTGCTACTGGTTGTCATGATTTCATTGTTAGGGTTTTTAACATTAATAACTCTGGTGAACAACCAGTATCAGTTCTCAAAGGTCACACCGCAGAAGTTTTTAACATTGTTTGGCACCCAACCATTGCTAACATACTTGCTTCAGGATCTAATGACAAGACTATTAGAGTATGGGATAATGATAACGGATCTAGCAAAGTCTTGAGAGGGCATACACACTATGTGAGAGCCTTGGCTTGGAACCATGAGCTGTCAAATGTGATATTAAGTGGCTCATGGGATGGAACGATAAGAGTTTGGGATGCAAGCAAAGAAAAACAGTTAGCAATTTCGAATGATCATCATGCAGATGTATATGGTATTAGCTCACACCCAGAAAGACCATTTATTTTTGGATCTACCTCAAGAGATACAACCATTAGATTCTGGGATCTTGAACCACTTTTAAGAAAATACTACGTGAGGGCTATTCAAGATCAAAGTCTTTCAAACATTATTGGGGCTCCATCAAGCCCTTTCGATGACAATGCTCCAGACATGTTACTTTCAGGACATGGCTCAAAAATTGTGAATGCAAACATGGTTCAAGCAAAAACAGATGTGGAGAAATATACTATCCTCTCCGAGTTCTTTAACTTTCCGTACACAACTCGGAATTTGTGGGAACTGGCAAACAGTTTTTCGCAAGGAAAAAAATACAAGTCCTCGTTGAAGTCTGATGTTTTGTTTTGCAACACCATAACTGAAACCGTATATAGCAAGGCAAAGGAGTTAGAATCGAGCAGGTACAAAAATAAGAGCTCAAATGCCTCACAAAGGGCTGCTGAGCAACTACGAGAGTCTGCAAAACAATACCTAAAAATTGGTAAGATCAAGAATTATTGCGAGATTATGTGTGAAATTGGCGAGTGGGAGAAAGCAATTGCCGTTGCTCCCGCTGTGTCGTTGGAATATTGGAGAGATTTAAGTGCGAGATATGCTAAAACTTTATCTGACAATGAAAGTGAAGACGTAATGCCATATTACATTGCTACAGGGGAGATTGAAAAGCTATTAAACTTCTGCATCAGAAAGAATCAGCTTACGGATGCATCAATCGTTGCCAGAAGAGATTCTGAGGAAGGATACCCAAAACCTTCAAAATTTTCATCTCCCTCAAAACAAGACAGTACGAAAGAGGATGAAAATCATGACAATGTTCCAATAACTATTGAGATGAGAAGGATTGCAGAGTTACAAGCTAAGAACTTTATGAAGGAAGCTAAACCAATCATGGCAGCTGCTTCTTTTTTATCAATACGAGATATCGATAAGTGTCTGCATTTTCTTGTGAAAGGGTGTGAAGGTATTTTGGCTTATTCTCTGTATAGATCTTTGTTGATGAGGAATCCCAATGATGCTGTATATTTGTCATTTGCAAACTCATGTACTCAATGTGGGCAATGGGATATTGCTGCGGAGGTATTGTCAAAGGTGAAAAACAGAGCCGAAGCAGCAAAGATAATCTCGAAAATGGATCCTTTCCATCCACAACGTGAGAATTTATTTATCAAAGCTGGATTCCAACCTCCTACTTTTTATTCTACACAGGCACCTGCAGTGGAGCACAAAAACCCTGCAGACTGTATTCGATTTTATTCATTTGCTTCAGAGCATCAAAACGCTGCACTGGTTGCCATAGTTCAATACGAAGAATTATTCACCATGGAGGACTGGAATTGGCCTCTCATTACTGAAATTCATTCTGCTGTACAATGCATTGACGCAACCAAACTTGAGTCTCTTATGCGAACCAAAATTATGATGTACACAAACTTGATTGGAGCTCAGTTAGCATTGTGGAAAGAATATTACAATATTGCTCCCAAACTTGCACAAAATGCCAGAGACTCCATGAAAAAACTCACAGACTTCTTTACTCCAAAACAATATATTGAATATTTGTACTGCCTTTGTATGGCTTATGGAGATCCTGAAGAAGGAATTAGTATTTTAGCTCAAACTCTTTCTCGGGAGATGGATGTGTTGGATGAAAAATATGCAAAACCCTTAATTTTGATCAAGAAGCGACTTGAAGATCGTTCATTATTAGGAGATGTACCTTTGTCTAACTTGGTTGTTCCATCAGGATCAAATTTACCTGTTCGTTCGCTAGATGGAAAGAAAGTTGTTAGCATGATATCAAAGAAAGAAGCACAGCCACCTGTAATGCTAGAAGATCATTCAGTAATCAGTTTGGCTGAGTCTGAAATGTGGAGAGAAGTGAATACGTTCTCTCCTACAATGACAGGAGTGAGAATTTAATCAGTGCTGTCACAGTGTCCTTTTCAGTGCAAACAATATTCCTTTATTTTAACTAAATTTATAGAACAACACAAAATCGATAAACATTTTAAGGCCATTCTTTTCGTATCTCAGCTCTCCCATTGTGTAACTGGATTGATTAATGACAATTTCAAAAGGTATTTCCTCAATGGTTTTTGCAAGAATCATCTGTGAGTTGGTGATACAAACATCAGATGGAACAATAGAACATTGAATGCATCAGAATGAACTTACCTTATTGCTCGATCGTTCAACAATATTCCAATTTGAATGGTTGTGATTCAATAAAGTAGCGACCACTTCTTTCCATTCATCGACATCAACGTTATTAATCACTCTGATTTTGTCAATAACACACGAATTGTCGAATAGTTTCATAGTGCATGGGTAACTGAAATAAACATGTTAAATTATTTTCAAATATATATCCGAGGGTCACTTGATTAAACCTCAAATGATCCGAACGTTGATGATTGATACCTACAAAATATTATTGTTCCAACAGCCACTCATTGAATGCACCTTGTCCAATGTTCTTGGAGCACTCGGTGACATATTCGAAAAATTGGGGCTGAGAGGAGAATTAGAATCAAGAGAAGGAGGGCGTTGATGGGGATACATGGTGATAAAGATGGAGGGTGATGACGGTTGTGTGTGCGAGTGTGAATGATTCGGTGTGTGTTTGTTTTTAAAGAGTACTCAAGCAATAAAGAGTTCCAACTCTTTGGTTGGTTGCTTTTTGTTTAAGATCCATAAATGGACATTTGTTAAATTTTTATATTCTTTGAGGTACTTTCCAGTGAGTGGTTGACTGTATGAAAAAGTAGAGAGTGCAGAACGATTATGTCTCGCTTGTATCAACAACGACCTCAGAGACCACATTGTAGAGCTTTTTAGAGACTCTGATCAGCATATTTAGTGCGCCTGTGCTTGGATTGAGAGCAAAAGAATGTAACCGTCTTAAAGTGGGGGATTGGTTATTGTTGTTTTTGTTGTTTGAGTGTCTTGACCAATAACGGTAATTACCAATTTGTATAATTGTAACAGTTTTCGGTCTGCTGTGTAAAAAATTCAAGAGCTACGGCCAATGGAATCCTTCTGTTTTTTGACCACAAAACGAGTCGTTGCTAAGAAAACGAACCATCAAAGTGAATCGTAAGGCAAGTGGTCCTATTCTGCATCACTAGGAGGCGAATTGAGTTCAGAACTGGAGGAAATGAGGTGCCATGAAGCATTCAGCTCTTTTGTTTCATGGACGCTTTCGGAACAAGTTGTAAAAACATGGGTCCAATCCTAATTAGAGACATTCATGAATTATAGAGAGTATATTTGGATCTGGAATTGAGTTGTTATGAATTATTGACACCATCTCCTAGAAATTTTAAAAATTCAAATTTTTGCAGAACTTTTCGAGTGTTGTGTCACAATAAATCATTTTTTAATCAATCTAATCTTGATGACCAGTTATTTCGTGGAGGAGTCGATTCATTTCCTCATGAAGCTCTTCAAAGGTTGGAAATCCAACAATCAAAGTCTGAATCACATACAAGAATGAAATTTTTTCATAATTTCTCAAATTCACGACTTTTGAATGGTGAGCCATTAACTTGTTTTTAAAATTGATCAATTGATAAATACAAGCACCGCCCTCAATCACATGAAGAAACAAGGTGAAATAAAAGACGTATCGGATCCAATGTTGATAATTATGGAGTAAATGAAGAACAGAAATAAATTCAAGGTGTGGATAGAAGGAGATGAATCCGTGAAGAAACATTCCGAGCATGACAAGTAGGGTGAGTATTGGTGGAGAAAAACGAAATTGAAGAGATGGTTTGTTAGATGGTACTGATGTTTGCATTTTTTAATTTGTTGAAATGTCAAAATGTTTGACAAGAGACGTGCGAAAAGAATAGTAGCACTACCAATAAACAGACAGGGATGTGAAAAAATGGTTTTCTGTTGAGATTAAATTCTACCCTTCGATTCTTGCAACATCTATTTCAAGTGGAATGAGTAAATTCTCATGAACCGAAATACTTTTTTTTTCCAAACAAAATCCTCTTTACAAATATGGTTCGGTAGCCATAAAAAAAATGTCTTCACAATTCAAGGCCGTGGCCAATGCCTCTCGTGAAGTGGGTCGTGATCTTTTGCAGCAAGTGGGCTCACAAATTAATTTATTGTCCAACAATATTGCAGGAAGTGGAGTTCCTTTGGATTTCAAAACAACAGATTTGAAAGACCTCGTGGGACCATCCGATGATAATCTCATCCGAATTTCTGAACATGATGAAGAGGATGAGGTCTATGACTCGGAGGATGATGCCATTTTCAAACAAGTGGAACACAATAATAATTTTCTTTCTTTTGAAAACAATGATGATGATGCTGTGGAGGAATCGAATCGAAGAACATCCATAACGACCATGATGGCCGGTCAATGGGAAACTTTGGCACCATTATCGGATACTGAAATGAATACTTCTAATGCTTCCAACACAGCCAACAACGACAACGTAACTTTGACAACCACCACCTCAGCAACAACACCCTCTTCCCGAACAGGTAAAACAAGAAGAACCTATAGAGAGGAAACTATCGACATTGATGAGGAAGGCTCTTCTTCTCAACAACAATTACCTCAATATGTAAGCCTTCGAACACATCAGCCCAATGAAATTGATCCATCAAGCAACACCAACACTGCTACAGTCGATGCACCAATCACAAAAACCTATGAACCATCATTGCCTCCCTCGTCTACTGAAAAGCCTTCTTCAGTGTCGTCGATTAGAAAAGCTTGGCTCATTCCAGTTTCTATCCATGAAGCAATGGCAAAGCATCAAGATGAAGATGATGTGGAGCATCCACCACAAGACCAAAAAGCTCTACTTCTTGACGTGAATGAAGATGGAAGTACAACCAAAAAACGTCGCCGTAAAATTCGTTGGTATCACACAAAATGTTTTATCATTGGAAGTGCTATTTTGTTGACCTTTATTGCTATTCTCACTATCATTTTATCATTCCTTATTTTCTACAAGCACAATCATTTGCTGTTCGTGTGTGGAAGTGTTGAATTTATTGTGGTGAGCTTGTTTGAAGCAACAATTTTAATATGTTGCAGCATTGTTGCTTTTAAATTGAATGAATGGTATCAACAACACCATGGTGAAGCTGCATCTGACGAAGATTTGAAATTGAAATATTCTGATAATCCTGCAAGAGACAAATTGATTCTGAAATTTCAAAACGCTACCGTTTTGGTATCAATTTGTTTATTAATTTTGTTGACTCTAGTTTATGTTGGAGTATTTTCTGGATTAATTTATGCTGGTTATTTAACATTGGCCTCATTTAGCGGAAATGAGACATACACGTCGCTTCGAAGTCGAGTGACAATTGAAAAAGAAAAGGCATCTCAGGTTTTACACATTCATGGAAAAACAGATTATGACGTATTTTTTGCACAGGGTGTTATGACCGCAAAAGCGAGACTATTCCAAATGGAAGTTTTAAGAAGAATGGGACAAGGAACGCTTTCCGCTCTGGTTGGTGAGGATGCTCTAGAAATTGATGTTTGGAGTAGAACGTTAGGTTTATTGAGATCTGCCAAAAAGAATTTAATGTACATGGATGAAAGAACTAACAAGACGTTGCATGCTTTCTTTGATGGTGTGAATAGTTATATCAACAGTAATCCAAAACTTCCTCCCGAGTACAGACTCTTCTATAAGAAAAAAACTATCCATGTATTTGAACCTGTTGATGCATTATTGTTTTGGAAGTTGAATTCTCTCGACTACTCTACAAATGCTTTCATGGAACAAATGAGATTTTCAGCGCTGAGAAGGAATTTTACAGTTCCAGAAGTGATGGAGTTCTTTCCAGTGTATCCTCGAAATTGGCCTTCTCAATTTAAGGCATCTGATTTGAATTTGACTTCGATGTCAGATGAACAAATTGAATACCTCTATGACAGACACAATAACAATGACGGCGCTTATATTCCTAGAACGAACACTAAACCAGTGGAAGATGAAGAGGGTGATAATGAACCCGAAGAAGAAAATGGGCTTAAAAGTCAATACCGAACTTCTGCAAGTGATCTTTTTTCACAAATTCTTTCAAAATTGGAATTGAAACAACCTATGATTTATAAGAGTATTCAAAGCGTTTTCAATAAGAAGCAATATGAATCGTATTTCGCTTCCAACGCCTGGGCAGTAAGTGGAAACAAAACTAAAAGCGGAAAGCCAATGCTAGCTAATGATCCACACATGACATTAACTTCTCCTCTTCCTTTCCTAATGTTCCATTTAGTTTCAGATGAGAGCGGTTTGAACGTAATTGGCTCTGCATATCCACTTGTTCCAGGAGTATTTGTTGGTCGTACCACAAATACCTCATGGGGAATTACTTCATCAGGAAGTGACGTTCAAGATTTATATGTCATGCATGAAACATCTGAAAGCACATACATAGTGAATGGAACTGAAATGAGATATGATATTTTCCAAGAGGAAATTCACTTAGATAATACTCAAAGAGTCACACTCTTTGTAAAGGAGGGTATTTACGGCCCAGTAGTGAATCCACTGTACAAACTTGAAAGCGCAGAACCATTAGCGATGAAATGGGTTGGCCTTGCGAAAGATGATACCACTCTCAATGCAGTAATTGGAGCTATGTATCAAAACTCTTGGTGGGGATTCTACAATACTATGAGCAGTTTTGTTTCACCACCAATGAATTATATTTACGCTGATAAGGAGAACAATATTTGTAGTCAAGTTGTTGGAAGAATTCCTATACGTAAATATGGTCACAGTGGGCAGTTCCCTGTATCTGGTAATGGAACCTATGACTACTTGGGTTATATTCCTTACCAAGATTTACCTTTCGTTTGCAATCCGAAAGATAGACACTATGTTATTGCTGCCAATGCAATGAATGAACCTCCTGGATATCCTTATTATTTGGGTGGAGATGTAGCTACAAAGTATAGGTTTGAACGCATTGAAGAATTACTGAGAGCCAAAACAAATTCCTCTGTCATGAACACCACCGATATGTCTGACATTCAATTAGACACCTTCTCCAAGCTGTTCGTTGATTTTAAGCCATTCATATCAGCAATGAAAAATCACAGCCGCATATTATCTTTTGATCAGGAAGTTTGGAGAAAGAAGTTAGAACAATGGAATGGATATCTCACAGTTGGATCTAAAGAGGCCAGTTTATTTGAAATGTTCTACACAAAATTGTGGGATCTCACCAAAGCAGATCTTGACGTAGAAAACTCTAATGCTATTTACATCCTTAATGCTCTCAAAAAGAGTGGTAATTGCACAAAATCACAAAATCAAACATGTCTTGCGTTTGCTACAGAAGCATTCAAGCAAACAGTGATCGATTTAAAGATATTCTCTAGAAGTGATGTTATACCTTCGTGGGGTGTTGGTATTCACTCGACCACATATTTCCATCCAATTTTCCATAATCAATTTGTTGGATGCTTTTGTGACAAACGACACTATGTTTCTGGTGGTACCGATAGCATCAATTTCTCAAGAGTGACTGATAGGGCTGGTTTGGATTCTTCACATGGCGTCGGATACAGACAAATCATTTCCATGAGCGATGCAGATGGCGATAGATTCATTACTCCCTTGGGTCAAAGTGGAAACTGGCTCGATAGCACTTACAGCAACAATCTCCAAATTTTCGCAGAGGGAAGATATCATCGTCTGAACAGAAAAGGCTACAAGGTCGATACGACATTGGTACTAAGTTCCGTTTAAAAATATACAAACAATTTTGGTAACCTTAGTATTTCAATTTACATATTCATGGGACTTGATTATCCTTTTTTATTTGCTTCTAAGGAACAATCCACGTTCCTTCTGGAGAATAAGTGTGCAAGGAAATTTTTGTCAAGTTCTCAACACTTGTCACGACAGCAGGTTTCTTTGTTCTTGTTACAAACTGCACGCATGCCTCCATTTTAGGAACCATAGACCCTTCTTCAAATATTCCTTCTTTAATTCTCTCAAGTGCTGATTTTGTATCCATCTTGTCAATTTTTCTCTGTTTTTCTGTTTTGTAATCCAAGAACACACCATCTTCTTGAGTAAGAATAATCAACAAATCAGCATCAATAGACTCCGCAATTAAGGCACTTGTCTTGTCCTTATCAATAACTGCCTCAATTCCAGTTAGTTTTCCATTTCGATCTCTCACCACAGGAATTCCTCCACCTCCTCCCGTGATGACAATATTTCCTTGATCCACGAGCGTCTTGATCATATTTTCCTCAACAATTCGAACAGGATCAGGAGATGGAACCACCTGATTTAACATTCGAACAGTTTCACACACATTACGATTGATCCATAACTCATAACTCATTCAACCTTTTTGATGAACTTACCATTCGATAACCTTCCTTATATTTTTTCATATGGGCAATTCTTGGCTGTTGTGAAGAAGATTGAAATGTCTTTTCATATTCTTCCTTAGAATAATATCTTCCAATTGGTTTCGTGGGGTTATTGAATGCTGCATCATTTTCATTCACTTCGATCTGTGTAATAATTGAGACAATTCGATTCTTCCAATGCTCTTCCTTCAAATTATTCTGAAGAGATTGTTGGAAAAGATAACCAATTTCTGCTTGACTCAATGCGTCACAAACATCCAGTGGCATGTAGGTATCGTTATCTCCTACAGAACCACATGAACCACTACCAGTAGTGTCATTACTTGACATTTGACTTGTACTACTTGGACCGTTCATGCATTTGTGAATATAACCTACTTGAGGACCATTTCCGTGAGTGATGCAAATATTATGCGGTCTTTGGCTCTCTATGAAATGGGCGAGTTCCATACATGTCTTTTCGATATTATCCTTTAGATCTTGATAGGAGAAATCTTGAGAAGTATTTGTTTGAAGAGCATGACCACCCAGACTAATGACAATTTTGTCAAATGGTCTTCCTTTGGCATCTTTCATATGTTTAGTGGCTGGTGATGTCTTTTCTTTGAATTTTCGATGCATCATATTCAAGTGACGAGGTGCCATTTGAAAATATTTCTCCTCGCTCAACAACTCTGCTTCTTTTTCGTTTTCATAAAACACTTTGGCACCAAACAAAATGTATAACAAGAGAGCTTGCTGAGCGTATTGACGATTCCATGCTTGGTGATAAACAAAGCTATGTGTGGAATCTATGACTTCATCGGTCACTTCTTGACCTCTCTTTGCTGGTAAACAATGCATGAAAACAACATCCTTTTTAGCTTGTTTTAGAACTTTCATGTCCACTTGATAAGGTTGAAGTACTTTTACACGCTCTTGCTCTTCACTGGCTGGAATGTGATAGGACATCCACGAATCCGTGTACACGACGTCACAATTTCTAGAACCTTCGTTTGGATTAGTAACCCATTCTACTGCCTGGTCATTAATTCGATTCACTTCATCCCAAACCTCTGTCTCTGGCATGAAGCGCGGATCATCTGGACCACACAACACTAGTTTGAAATTGAGTAAGGCTGCAGCTCTCATCAAGTCATATGTCACATTATTTCTGCAATCTCCATAGTAGGCCATTCGAAACTTGTTAAATTTCAAATGATCTTCATGTACTGGCTTTGGTGTTAATTTTAATTCAGCAATGGTTAGCAAATCTGCAAGAATTTGACAAGGATGTGCCCAATCATCTAAGGCGTTGATGACTGGAACTTGAGAATATTTGACAAATTCTAACAAACTTTCTCTTGACATTAATCGCAACACAAAGACATCAACGAATTGAGAGGCACACATGGCAGTATCTTTGACATTTTCTTTTTTTCCAAATGGGCCTTCTTCATTGCTGTAGTAGATGGCATTACCTCCAAATTGAGCCATTGCTGTTTCGAATGAAATTCTTGTTCTCAGAGATGGTTTTTCAAAAAGCATAAGAAGATGCTATATTATTTATATTATATATATTATAATTTTCACATAACCACAAATAACGTCAATCGATCATTTTATGCTTACCTTGTCTTTCATTCGATGAGCATAGACGGCAGGATTTGACTTGACTCGGGTGGCCTTTACAAGAAGCTTTCGAATGGTGCATTCATCATAGTCCGTAATTTTAGTAAAGTGATGTAGTGATTTGTGCATGATTGTTAAAGTTTTTTACATTGTGCTGCAATGAACGCTTTGTATTAAGGTTTTCTCTTCCAAAAGAGTCACTCTCTGCCCTTCGAAACTTCGAAAGGAAAACCTCAGTTTTTGTAATCACAATGCCAGTGACTTTTTCAAACATTTTCCATTTTGGTAAATTTTAAACACATCAGAAAAGCACCACATGAGACATGACTGAAATATGGGTTTATTGTTGTACAACAAGAACGATCGTACTCGTTTATCATGGTTATTAATGGATTTGCTGGAAAAAGTACTAATGGGTTGAGTGTTGGTCATTATAGCTCACTCATCTTCAAATTTCGAGTAACCATCCCCTTGGCCTTTTTCATGACTACTACTTCCAGAAGTTTTGGCTCTCATTTCTTGTAGCTCTGATTCAGAAATGTCAACATTTCCAGTCTTGACCACATCTTCCAAGTCAGCAATTTCCACAGGTGGCACCTCCGCGTAATTGGTATTTCCGTTCACTCGTCCATACATGACCGCTAAAATATTATGGAAATATTCAGTCTCAAGCAAACAAATCAATAAACACATGACAATGATTAATTCAGGAATGACCCAACAAATATACTTGAAGAAAATATTCCACACGACTTGAGCTGGAGATCCATCTCTCAAAAACTTGTATCCCACATTGTCCAATGCCATCACCACTCCACGGGTAATAAAAGCAACTCCCAAAACCACAGCAGAATACTTGTTATAAGTGGCATGTCTAAAGAGTTGGAATGACAATTCATTATTTGGTCTCACTTTTGTTTGCATCTTGTCAGCATGATAAATAAAGACAGCACCCATAATGAAAATATTAATGGCACAAAAATAGTAAACCACATGAACCCATGTGTAATTCTTGAATTCAAAAAAGTATTGCATAATGACACAGAAAATTCCAATGAAGAATAAAATTGAATTCATTCCAAGCACAAGTGCCAAATTACTCTTTGTGTCACCATTCAAGAGAGATCTCCATTTATAGACCAATGTGGAAATACTGGCATACAAGGCACAGGTTCCTAAAAAAGAGAGTAATTCCCACGTGACAAGATATACTTCAGCTTGTCTTTCCATTTCTTGATTTGCTAAATTATTATTTGACCTTGATTTGATGAGGTCTGGTAAGAAACCTAATCTCAAATATAAGAGAAATGCAATGACTCCAATTCTCACTGAATTTGTTGGAATGTGGTATTATATGGTCGTGACAATGGAAAATGTCACATTGTATTTGAAAAATCAGAAGATTATTTGAAACAATCATTGAATCATTGGACAAGTTGACGTTTCGATCATGAGAGAGACAAAAACAACAACAATATCCAAGTCAACCCATCACGCAACATTTAAAAATATATTTCAAACATGTCATATGTTGTCATATCATTTGATCAATCACCATCATCCGAATCATCATCAAACATTTTCATCAACAAATTTTCATTCCATTGACACATATTTCATCATCAAACTTACGTAAAATAAAAAAGAAAATTGTAAAAATTGAAAATTCAAAGAGCGAACAAGTCATTCTCTTCTCGTCCGAGATCTTTTTGATTAAAGTACCGAGGGTGATCAAGCCTAGAACGAGGTAGACGAGTTCCATCACAATGTACTCGTAGTCGCCTGTCCCAATGCCGTTTGTCATTTTTTTTGTTTGCTGGTGGTGTGTCACTTGTCATTCCAAATAACAGTGAACGCAGAAAAAGAAAACATCTAAACTTTGGTTCTACTACGAAAGACGAAATCTGGAATGACCAATTCATTGACAAAGAAATTCAGAGCATTCACAACAACATTGAATTTGAACGTCCAACCGATTTTCGAACTACAAAATAAAATTTAAAATTTAATTTAATTTACAAAAAAAAAATTTTATTGAAAGTGTGATTGACCCCAAGTCAGGGATCGGTCATGCCTATTTACAAAAAAAAAAGCCTTCCGATCAAAGCCAGCACTCCAACCAGACAACCTCGAACAAGCCATGAAGCGTGCTCAAATGCTCGTTCTTTCCGATGCCATGACTTCCGAAAATATTCTCTTTTTTGATGTATTTATGAGTACGATGAAACAATACTTTGGTGATGTAGCCTTTTATGTGGAGGAACATGATGATTATCAAGTGATGAATGAAGATGTACCATCTGTTGAGTATTTTGAGACTTTGGTACAGAATTATATTACTACTAATGAAGCGGAGGCCATCTTGAAGGATAAAGAATTGAAACGATTGGCCAAACATGTCATCAATTCGAAAATTAAGAGAAAGGCAGATTTTGAGTTGAAAGCGATGGATGGTGGAGTTTGGAGTGAAAAAGATGAAAAAGATGGTATATCATGGGCTAGAGATACAAATAATTATGATGATCAAAGAACGTAAAAAACTAAGTAAGCAAATGAGAGATGTTGAAGATGAAGAGGATGATGAAATGTTATTGAGATTTAGAACAAAAGGAGGACATATTCACAGAATTAAAATTGGTTCATAGTCACCTTCAGTGAATTAAGATGGACAGTTTAGATTGAAAGTAAACCCTTTGACAAAGGCATTATATTACAAGTTTTTCACCTATGTACCAAGATGGGACTTTGAAGATGTGACTTATGAATCTAATGTATTACAAGCTATAGAATCAGTTCCAGCATTTATGAGACATGTGACTCGAGAATTGGACCGATTTAAAGTTAGCCATATGCTCATCATGGAAATTCCATTTGAAAATATTGCTGCTCTTCATGTGCAACACATTCTGTTTAACAGCAAACTTGAAAAAAGACCAAGAGGACTATTAGTGTTGGATTTAAAAAAGAAACCTGTATTTAAATCAAGAAGAATTTCGTGTGATGCTCGAAATATGAGTCAGGAAAAAATAAGAACTGATTTTACTAAAGATAAACAAGCATCACAATATAGTCGTCAGACTTTCGTGAAATTGAAAGATTTGTTGCTATCATGGCTGAGAGTGAAAAAAGTTTAGTCACATTGTTTAACACAGGCATGAAAGATGTTTCTTTCCAAACAAAACCATCTTGGAACCTTGACACAAAAAGTTACGGAAATGCATCATCATCTGTACCCAAGTTCCAAAAAGTAGAAAAACCACTCACACGAAAGATGCTTGGTGTGTTGAAGAAAAACGGCTTGGCAGAAAAACAAAAATATCCTGAACAGGAATTAGAACCCAACACAGTTCTCATGGATGGTCATATTATTAAGAACTGTCACCCATGTTTTTTAGATGTCATTCGATCATGGGATTCTAAGAAAATGGAACATTTACTCTCCCAACCAGTGAATGCCTCAAACTATATCGTTCCCATTGAAGACAATTGCACCGTTGCTGAATTTTTGAAAAATCAGCAAAACTACTGTGGAAGAAGAAAATTTACTTTTCCATGTGTTATGGACATCTTTGTGACGCTACCCATGACTCACACTTTTCAAAGTGTGGACAATGTGTCGACTGGCATTATTGGCATTGTTATAATTGCAATCGATGCTCTTATGGACAAACCATTCCACGATGTGAACACTGTGGATTTTCTGTGAGATCTTCAGAGAAGCCTCTTGCCCAACCATTTGGTGTGCTTGATAGTGGATTTACTGACCCTGAAGACGAAAAAGAAGAAAGAGAACGCAACTATGACTCAGACAAGGATGAGTACGAGTTTAAGGATCAACACCTGGCCAGATCGTATTCTTTGCATCATACTTACGAACAAGTCACAGAATCAAAATAAACAAATAGTATTAACAATGTTAATCCTTCAAAATGTCGTTTATTAATAGTCACCAATCATTCAAATAGTTTAAAGTACTGCGTGCAGTACAACAACCGATCTTTCAGCGTTGGATTTTCTCGAATATTTTGGATCAACTTGATCGTTTCTTGATAACCTCGCATGCGACCATTCACATGAAACTCTTCTGGAGAAATCTTATGATGAGGTGTGTAATGCTTGTAGTATTCTACACCTGTAATTGGCATCCTACAAATAGGACACATGTCAGTAGCAAAAGATTTAGCTTTAAATATCAAATTTTGGAAGAAAGTATCTTCGTCCTCTGCTTTTACATGATCGTTGTCATCCTGTTGAACTTCACAATAGCTCAACACGCAATCCTCACAAACGCAAGTATGATAGCATGGCTTAAACCTATAGCAGGGTTGTTTCGATCGACAGACCACGCACACTTTTGAAATTAAATCTAACTCATTAATTTGAGACACTTCTTGATTCTTTTGAAAAGGTTGAAAAATTAAGCGCATTATAAGAAAGAATATGCATTAAAAAAGTTGTTAATTAATTGAATGAACAATCTTACCTGTGACACACGTCGCTTTTCTATTTCTGAATTTAAATCTTTTTGGAATAGTAATAATTGTTGTAAATTCATTGAGCTTAAAGGACCTTTCAGCATTGGAGAAGTAACAGAGGAATTTAGGGTATTGGTTGATGATGAGGAAGATGTTGGTAATGTATTCGATCGCTGTATTTCTTCCATTGCTGTATTAAATTCATCAAGAGTGAAAAATAGCTCTTTGCCATACGTAATCAAATTATGTGCGCTTGCTACATTGTAAAAGACAAAGAACATCCAAGTGTATCCCGAAAATGAAATTCTATTCGCGTTAATGACATAAATCAAAGTCCAGCTATTCGGAACAAGCAAAATCAAAACAATCATTTCGAATAATGACAGATATGAATTCAAGTATAACGCTAAACGTCCAAATAGTTGATAGAAGAGTAACTTTGAAAAATCAATGTATGATTCCCGATTAGAAATGTGTTGATGATCATGTTGTAATTTTAATAATATCGGATCATAAATAAATAATTTAATCAATAATATACAGAGAGATGTTATGATGGGATTTAATACAACGGTGTAAATTCGGTAATACTTTGCTCTTTCATAGGGATGTAAGCGACAAATCACGCTACTTAAAAGATGCCGCAAGAACATTTTTTCGGGCTATAATTATTCGCACCAAAATATCCATTCGTGATTCATCAACAAAGAACTTTTCGACTGCTGATGGACAATAGCATTCAATTAACCAACTCAATGTGTGTATTTTTACATTCATCATCATAAAATGGTTTACAGTATGTACAATCTCATCAACTTGTTCAAAGGAAGGTCATGTCAAAGGCAGCATCTTCTCCATTATTTTGCTCTTCATCGTTCATGCCTGAGAAGTCATCCATAGCAATACTTGTAGAAATTGACATGGTGTCTCCAACAATAGACATGTTGGTTGTCTTGTCGTGAATGTTGGTTTTCTTGGATTTGCTTAGTAATGAATTCTCGTGACGATTTCGTTTCCATGAAGGATTTCTGAAATTATTTGCTTTTTTCAAACCTTTCACTCTCTTTGAGTCATGAGTTGATGATTCATCATCGTCATCACTTGATGCAACATCATCTTCTTGTTGGTGCGATGGTTGTTCATGAATAATTTCAGTATGATTTGTTTCCGCAGTTTCATTCTTTCTCTTCTTTGATTCGTCTTGATTTTGAGAATTCAAATAGGTTCTAAATGCTTCATTCAATGCTAATTTGAAAATTCTCAATTTATCTTCTTCGTTGACATAAATCTTGATTAAATTCAAATATGGGAAATGTTTGAAATGGCAATATGATCCTATTGCGTTAATGAGAGCTTCTGCACTTCTCTCTGTTGGAAATCCAAATAGATCAGTACACATGGCATCAAACCCAATGCTTGTCAGTTGTTTTTTGTTTGATTCCTCTAGACATGTTTGTACAATTTCTTCCATAGTCGAACGTTCATTCTTCTTTCCTCCTTTCCACATTGGCCCAGCTATCAAAATTATCGTCATCATCATGAGAATATTTTAGTGCGATCACAAAGCATCATAATTTCCAAATTTGGTTTTTAGTAAATTTCACAGCAAAAGGATCATGTTTGTCATCGTCATCATTATGATCCATTATTCATCACGCACCCAATCATAATAATATTTTAAATTATTATTTCATCAAATTAACGATATGGACACGACTCCAACCTACCAGCAAATATAATATATCTTGCCTTTAAATTACCTCCACTCACAAATGCTACTTTATCCGTGGAATCAAGAGGACCATTCTGCATCACGAAATTCTTTGCCTCTTCTTGTACAGAACTACCTGCCTCAGCAAGTATATCCGTTCCAGATAATTCCAACTGGCCCGATACTTCAGCATAAACAATAGCATCGGTATTGATGGCGTGGAGGAGATTGCCGTCAATGAGTTGAATGGTCTGACCGGTTGCCGTTAATGAAATCTCTTCAACCACTCGTTCATTGAGGGCATTGTTGCTGGAAGATGAGGATGCGGACATGTGGAATTTTAGTTGGATGGTGGTGGTGGATGATGATTCAAATACCTAGAGTGTTTTGATTTTTTGATTATTGTTGGAAGTGACCAACGATCGCAATGAGGGAGAGTGAGCCAATGAACAATTAGAGCGATCTTGATGAGGAATCAACATTTCTTCCATCCAAGACTAGAATAAGTGTCAAACGAGTGTTCCACTTTTGTAAATACAACATGTTCTCAATTTCGTTCTTTTCTGAAGGATTGTTGAAGAGCTTTGCAAAAGGTTTGTCTCTTTGACAATTCAGGAAGTTTACAAAAATCTGTGCCGTGTCATCACCACGTAATTGAGAACCACATGATTGGAGAGAAGGTCATCACACACAACGACTTTGTCGATAGATCCACAACAACCTCTCTTCAGTGTTCCAATCATGGAGTTCATACACAAAATTTTCCTTCTTCAAACAAATGAAATAACATTAGCCTATTCCTCTCAAACCTCCAACACGCAGTTTCATCTTCATACCACTCTCTCTCTCTCCATATAACAACCTCAAATAATGAACCGAACAGATCATTGCTCTTCTAGCAGAAGTAACATCAATACCACTACTCACTTGACCATTTCTAAATCAACATCGATGGATCACTTTCTCCTCTTGCATCATAAGCCTCCTTCGTTGTTGTTGAATAAATCACAGATGCCTCTTCCGCAACGAGCTGCTGATCCTCTCGGAACATCTCTGCAACCCACAACGAATATATTAATTCCATTTACAAAAGATTTGCAACAGAAAGAAAATAACGAATTTTCAAATAATAATATTAAATGTAGTAACCCCTCCAATGCAACCTATCAAACACACGATGATGCCAATAACCGTGAGTTAATGGAAGAGCGTGATGATGATTGGTTCCAAATTTGTTGTGATGGCAAAACCTTTACAACAACGAGAGCTACTTTGTTAGCTGAAAAGGATTCCATGTTCAGCGTCATGTTTCAAAAGAATTCACCATTTCAAAAGTTTAATAGAGATTTGAATCATCCTATGCGACCTTATGTGGTTTTCATTGATCGAAATCCTCAATACTTTGAACCCATTTTGAACTATTTGAGAAGTGATGGTGAAATTTTGATCAATCCAAATGTAAATATTTGTGGAGTATTGCTTGAGGCCAAGTATTGGGGATTAAGCAGACTTGCTGAAGAATTAGAGAGAATGATCGAACAAATACAAGCAGAACAAGAAAAGATAAAACGAAAAGATGATTCTGGTTGTGAATTGACACGATCTGAAATTGTTAAGGCATTGTTGACTTGTCCCACTGGCAAAGGAGGATTTTTGCGATTCCAAGGATTGAATTTGACTGGAATTGATTTGAGTGGATTGGATTTGAGTGCAATTAATTTTTCGAGAACCATTCTAAGGAATGCCAATCTCTCAAATTGCACTCTCGATTATGCAGAAATGAGAGACACCGTTTTAGAAAATTGTGACTTTACCAATGCAAGAATGTTCAAGGTAGTCATCAAAAACGCCAATTGTAAAGATGTCAACTTTTCAGGTGCTTCATTTCGAGGAGCCTCAATCACATTTTGTGACCTATGTGGAGCAAACTTTAAATCAGCAGATTTAGAAATGGCTGATCTCTCTAATTCGAACCTCAAGAATGCAGATTTAAGTGGAGCGAGTATTAAGGGTGTTGCTCTCAAAAACTGTATCACCACCAATGTGAAACACACAAGTGCTATGGGTGGAGTCATCCATTGAAAATAATCACTCAAGATACTAACCTTGCTTAAAACTATTTTCCTCCCGACGTCTATTTGATTTGTGAATTTGCATTGGCTTTTAGATAGATTTCTATCACCAATTCGAAAACCTTTGTTGAGCACTTGATTCAGTTCTGTCAAAGTCTGACATCATTCTGTGAGAGAAAGACGGATTTCTTCTTCGCCTCTGCGAGGCCAACAACAATAAACAATTCGTCACAAAAAAACGTTTAAATTTTCTTTTTCTCTCTCAATTTTTAGCCTTTTTCAATATCCTACTATCATCACACAACAACAAGATGGATCAAGTATTTACCTATGAATCATTTGTTCATGCAACAGCTGGTAGTATTGGTGGACAGGGTTTGTATCTTTGAATATATGAACACTTTGAAAATCAAACATTTTGTTATCGTCATCATCATTCTCTCAAACGCAACAATATATAGCTGCCATGACTGCCTTCTATCCTTTCGGTATGTGGTTGTACTATTATTGATCATGTAAATTAAGAGTCAACTTTGTTTTAATCCTCTCTCTCCGATATGAATAATCTCCGTGATGATAATATCTCATATCATCATTGATGAATATCGTATTTTACTTTCGGAACGCATTCATGAATGGCATCGCGTGTTTATATCAACAATAGAAACCATTAGAACTCAAATCCAAGCCAACGATCATCTCAAATCAAAGACTACCCTCGAAGTGGTGAAAATCCTTGTTGAAGAAGATGGTTTTGGAAGTTTGTACAAGGGAATTCGTCCTGTACTCATCAGTTTATTGGCTAGTAACTTTATTTACTTTTACACAAACAACATGTTTAAAGTCATTTACAAGAAGCAAACAGGAAAGGGTAAGTGGAGAGATGTTATTATTTGAAATTCAAGTCATCATCAAATTCGTCGGATTGTGAAACAACGCATGAAATGGTTCTGCACTCGTAATACGATGTAATTGTTCTCATAGGTATTGGAGTATTACCAAATTTATTGATTTCATTTGCTGCGGGTGTTGTGAATGGTAAGTCTTGATGATGATGATGATGCATCACAAATCGTATTGAATTTTCACATCATTTCAATAATGAAAATGTAATGATGATGATTTGGAAATGTTGTAGTTTTGACAACTTGTCCATTGTGGGTCCTCACAACAAGATATAAGGCTCAAAGAAAGAATAATTCCACTGAATCTGAGGGAATGATCCGAGGCATGATCAAGATTGCCAATGAAGAAGGCATTTCTGCTTTGTGGAATGGTACTCTTGCTAGTATCATTCTTGTTACCAATCCAATGATCAATTTTACTGTTTTGTAAGTTTGTTTGGAATTGTGTTGACAAATAGTTTAACCCATTTTCAATTTTTTGAAAACCATTTCATGATTCTTGCATTCTATTGTCACAAATTAGTGATCAAACCAAAAAGTATTACCTAAGATGGATGAAACAAAAGAATTTGACACCAACACAATCCTTCATACTTGGATTGTTCGCCAAGTTTGTTGCCACCATTTTAACTTATCCTCTTCAAGTCGCTCAAACCAAATTGAGAACTTCTAAAAAGACCATGACTGAAGAAGAAACCAAGAAAACAGGTATTAAAAAGTATGAAAACACATTGGACTGTCTTATCAAAATGTTCCAAGAGGAAGGAATTTATGGATGGTACAGAGGTGTGGGAAATAAGCTTGTTCAAACACTTTTGATGTCTGCATTCCATCTCACTATCTATGATAAGATTGTCACAGAGGTTGAGAAAGTCATGGGTGGTAAGGTCAAGAGCCATCATTAAGATTCATCATGCAAATTTGTTTTCATCATTAAATCACGACACACTTTTCAACAACATGTCTGAGCTTCATTGAGCCTTATTTCTGTAAACTCAACGTTTTTCACCTTTTGGGTAATGGGGAATCATATCAATATGAGCTGTTCTGTTTGTTGAGCTGAGCAAGTTATGCTCAATATTGATTGGTTCACAAAAATCTCCTAATTATCCAAGATCACCATTCTCGGAATTTTTTGCTATTTGGCAATTCAAAAAAATGAAGTCATCGAATGGCCTCTTCTGTTCTCTCAACGTTTCCTCCTGCTTGATAAAGCCATCTTCCGCTTCTTCTGGGCTTTCGACAAGATTGCCCACAATAACCTCTGCACTCAAAATGTTCGGAATGAACTCGAAAATTTCTACGGCCTCAACAACGGCATTAAAATCAAGTTGTTCTAAAAGTGTATTAACGTTTTCGGAGTCAAGGAGAATGAATTCTGATAGAAAGGGATATAGTCGAGAGAATGTATTTTCATCTTCATTATCCGAATCAATGATTGATAATACGATAATACCTTCGAACCAAAAGGCTCACCCATGTAAAAACATCAGCCAAAATCAACTTTGTCTTGAGCAATTTAAAATACAATCTGAGCCCGTGAAACGAACATTCCGAAGACACACTGCCTTTGGAAATAATAAGATGGAAGACAAATCAACAGCAAAATGGGATAGCACGATGGAAACCATTGATGCTGGTGTCAAGATCGCAGAATCGTCTAAAGAAAATGCACCAAGTTTTGCTCCTGTTTCTTTGAATTCGGCAAGCATTTCACATAAATGGAATGTCGTTGAATTTGACGATCAAGGAAATGTGAGAATGTCACAAATTAAACGAAGTGAACTATATACGAAATATGGCTTACAAGGAAGAGATATAAGAACATTAGGTAGGTAGCTTAATTATTTTAAGCTAATTTCTTGTTAAAAATTGTAGTGAGCAACATGAACTTTCCGACCATTCTCGCTCGTGCCAATTGTATAATAGTTTCTATTAGCAATATAAGTGCAATAATTACTCACGAAAGGCTCTATCTACTGAAGAGCGATTATACAAATAATTTAGACCCAACCTTCATCAGATTTGTTCAACAATTTTTAATTTATTATGCCAAGTCTAAGGAAGTGAACAAGTATAGCTTTGATGAGACACCCTATGGTTTTTTCGAACAGTCATATGCTCTACCGTTTGAATTTAGAGTTTTAGAATGTATTTTGCATAAAGTGTGTGCCACAATTGAAAAAGACAGAAACGACGTACAGGAACGAGTAAGTCAAATTTTGGCTGCTCCTGACTACACAAGCGAAGAAGTACTCTATCAAATTTTGCAATGCAAGCAAAAATTGACACGATTCAAAACGTTTGTCACAGAATTACACGAAACGATCGAAAATATATTGGATGCTGATGATGACATGGCAAGAATGTATCTTACAGAAAAAATTGTGTTTCAAAAGCCAAGAGAGGTTTCTCAACATGAAGAAATTGAAATGTTGTTAGAAACATATCAAAACAGAGTAGAAAATGTAATTAATTCTATCGACGACATGAGAGAAGATCTTGATGATACACAGGAGTTTCTTGAAGTATGTTTGGATAGCATTCGTAACAGAATGATGGAAATGGAATTGAAATTAGCAATAGGTGCTTTTGCTCTCACATTTGGAACTCTACTCGTTGGTGCATTTGGTATGAACTTAATGTCTCATCTGGAAGATCATCCATTCGCATTTTACTATACGTCAGGTATGGTTGCTGTTGCAACAGTTAGTCTTTTTGTCATTACCTTCTTGCTTTGTAAAAGAAGAGGAATTTTCAAGAGCACCTATGTAACAGAAAAGAGAAAGGAACTTCGTCAAGTCATTACATCAAAGTTTGGCAATAATTGTGGTGACATGTAGCTCCATGACATCCATTGTTTATTGTCAATCCCTTCTTTGATAAGACTGACAACAAGTTGCTCATGTTGGTCGATTTATTTCTCACGTGTGCACAGAGTTAGTAGATCTAAGAAGCTTCCAAAACTTTTGGAGCAACATCAGATTATTGTGGAATAAAGCTTGTTTATTAAGCCACTAAATTACAGAAAGACACTATCTCTAAATTCCTTCTTCTTTTGGTTTCTTGGTTGAGTTTCTTTGTTTGAGTAATAATGTTCTCGATCTCGGAATTGATTTGTTTTCCAAATCTTTTCCCTGTTGGGGACGTAGACTTCCAAGGTCCCTAATTCACACTGATTATTGATTCGCGAACATATTGGAACATTTGAATGATCTTCATGCAAAACAACATTGGGCTCTTCTTCTTCAAACTCATCCTCCCAATTGTCTTCGTCCTGTCTTTTGCTTCGTTTTGGATGTGACTTGGATTTGCTTTCGAAATGATCAGCGGTGGGATTGGATTCTTTTTCTTGTTGTTGTTTCTCTTCCATGATCTTTTGTTCAATTTTTAATTTTCGTTGTTCCTTTTCGTATTGTCTTCGAATGTGTTTGTGCTTATTTTCACATTTTGTTTCAAATTGCTCGATTTTCTCTTTTCGATTTTGACCAACTCGAGATTTCACAGCAACTGATTTCGAAGCATAGGAAGGATCATATTCATGCTTTGTAAGTAATTCCTTCACTTGAGGTGATTCCAACATCTCCCATCTTTTGTGACGATCTAATGAGTATGGAACACTCACTCCGATCGAGTCATTTTGAAGGCAAGGATACTTGAAGTAGCAGTCTCGCCATTCATAAACTTCTCCTCCGCCTTTAACGAGCTTATTGATGTATGAATTGTATTTGAGAGTTTGATTGGTTTCAATTCCAAAGCGGCCTCCTTTTCTTTGTACCATCTTTGCTTGATGTTGTTGTTGTCGTTTTGTTTTTGATTGTCAAGAGAAAGAGTAAAATTCGACATTCATTTAAATTTATATTCAGAGGAGAGCTTGAAATTGAAGCTCAATTTCCAAAAGTTATAAATAAAGTTCATTTGTGTATGGTGTCGTGAACGAAGCAAGGCGATAATTCTCTTTTACTCTAAACACCTCTTTTGTAACCCTAACTAAACATTCTTGCTTCTTGCTCTCACATGGTTATCGGTATTTCTGTTCTTAATAGAGCAGTTACATTCTGATTTTCTTGAGACAGACGATGAAGGGAATACCTTCAATTTAAGAAAGTCCCTTCGATCCTTGTTCTTGAGAGCAATAAATGGCTCGTCTAATATGAAGTAAGTTCGGAAGAGGTGAAGGTAATTGGAGTTGACTTAGATGAGGATGAATGAGGTTTCATGTTGTAATATGAAGAGAAGTTGATGTTAAGAGAGGTTTTGCACAACTGATATGAGAGGTTAGATTGCAAAGTGGAATTAATTCAGTGGGTGGATGAATTTTACTTGCTTGATAAATTAGTATTTCGGTTCTGGAGTAAACTTGGCGAGAATTAAACAAATCCAACAAACCCAACCCAAAGACTTGTTTAAGCTTCAACCTGAAACCGAAATTGAACGAGAATTAATTTCTACCTGAAAGTGAAAATGGCCATACCGAAGACCATGATGAAACGATTGTTGTTTAACTTGGAAAAGAAAATTTCAAACACCTTCGAATTGGAGAAACAAGACCAACACTGGTCAGGAAATTCCTTTGAGGTAAAAATAATCCTTTCCAATGAACGTTGAAAATGGCTGTAGACAAGTGCACAATTTACACAACAATTTAAGAGGACTGCACTTGCAGAAATTGCCAATTCGCGCTGGGATTTTTTTGTCCGACTCAAAAACAAGGCATTTTTACTTGGACACTGCAGTTTTTGTCCTAAATTGATGTGGAATGGTTGGACTCGAAGCTAATAAGACTTAGTTGAGGTTTCAAGACCAAATTGGTCTCCGACTTTGCCGAACGTCGTTGCAAAATTTCTGTGTGAAAAAATTTTCAATTTTTAGCAACGAGATTTTTCGTACTGGTCCATCATTCGAGGGGTGATTGCTTAAAATTATTTCTTATTCCAAAAACTCAATCATCATCAATCATCATCGTCATCATCATGATTAGAAGAACCAGCAATAAATTGCTAACAAAATCCGTTAGTAACAAGTGTACGCAAAAGGCTGTTGTTTTCGCATCCTCCACCTGTAATAACAAAATTGGTAATAATGGCAGCTCCGTATTGAGTTTTGCTACACCATCATCATATAAGAAAGCCTTTTCAAGATCACTTTCTTCATCATCCTCCCAACAATCAACATCTCTTGCATCATTGGATACCTATTCAAACAGACATAATGAACAAGAACAACACGAAGATATTCAATCCATGTTGAAGGAGATTGGTTTTTCATCATTGGATGAAATGGTTGAGGCCATCATTCCAAAGAGTATTAGATATCAAGAGAAGGTAGTACTTCCATTCGATACAGAGCAAAATAAGACCATTTTCAATGGTGAGTCCGATGTTCTCTCTGAGTTGTTCAGCTATGCCAAACAAAATGTCATGAAGAAGAGTATGATTGGACAAGGCTATTACGATAACAAAATTCCAAATGTAATTTTGAGAAATGTATTCCAAAATCCAGGCTGGTATACTCCATACACTCCATATCAAGCTGAGATTTCTCAAGGAAGACTTGAATCCTTGCTTAACTATCAAACAGTTATTTCCGATTTGACTGGACTTCCAATTGCGAATGCTTCCTTGTTGGATGAAGGTACTGCTGCAGCAGAAGCTATGGCTGTTTGTTATAACGCTCACAAGAAGGAAATTGCTGCATTCTTTGTTGCATCGGATGTTCATCCTCAAACTCTTGCTGTTGTTCGTGCTCGTGCTGCTCCTTTGAATATTCAAGTTTTAGTTGGTGATCCAATGACTTTTGATTTCCAAGAAAATCGTGTTTGTGGTGCTCTCATCCAATATCCAAATACTGTGGGTACAATTAATAATTTTGAAAAGTGTGTGAAGGCAGTTCATGATACTGGTGCATTGGTTGTATTCGCAACTGATTTATTAGCATTGACTGTTTTGAAATCACCTGGAGAATTCGGAGCTGATTTGTGTATCGGTAGTTCACAAAGATTTGGTGTTCCACTTGGCTTTGGTGGTCCATCTGCTGGATTTTTGAGTGTGAAGGATGAATTCAAGAGAATTATTCCTGGAAGAATTATTGGTGTCAGTAAGGATGCTCAAGGAAAAACTGCTCTTCGTATGACTCTTCAAACAAGAGAACAACACATTAGACGTGACAAGGCTACTAGTAACATTTGTACTGCTCAAGCTCTCTTGGCAAACATGGCTGCTATGTATGCTGTCTATCACGGACCAGATGGTTTGAAGAAGATTGCTAATAGAGTTCATGAAATGACAGTAATTTTGAATAAGGGTATTAAGAGCATGGGATATACTGTTGGATCTGGATTGTTCTTTGACACTTTCACTGTTTCTGTCAACGATTCTGACAAATTCTTGCAATTTGCTGCTGATAAGGGATATAACTTTAGAAAGATTGACAATCAAACAGTTTCACTCTCTATTGATGAAACTATTAATGTTAACCACTTAAACGACGTATTGACTATCTTTGGTCAATATAACAACTCTAAGGTTGTTACCGTCCAGGAAATCATTTCAAAGGAATCTTCATCGGACAGAAATATTATTGCAAAGTCCGAATTCGCTCGTACTACTCCTTATTTGACTCATTCTACATTTAACAAGTATCACACTGAACATGCAATGATGAGATATATCAAGAAACTCGAAACTAAGGACTATTCTCTCTGTCACGGTATGATTCCATTGGGTTCTTGTACTATGAAATTGAATGCTGCAAGTGTAATGATTCCAGTTACATGGCCAGAGTTCTCCTCAATTCACCCACTTGTTCCTCTTGATCAAGCTAAGGGCTATCTCAAAATGATTAATGATTTGAGAGTTTGGTTGAGTCAACTTACTGGTTTTGATGACTGCTCATTGCAACCTAATGCTGGTTCACAAGGTGAATATGCTGGCTTGTTAGTCATTATGAAATACTTGGAGAGTATTGGCCAATCTCACAGACATGTATGTTTGATTCCAGCATCCGCTCACGGTACAAATCCAGCATCTGCTGTCATGTGCGGTATGAAAGTTGTCGTTGTTGAATGTGATAAGCATGGTAATGTTGATGTCAATGACTTGAAGGTGAAGCTTGCTGAAAACAAGGACAATGTTGCTGCATTGATGATTACTTATCCATCGACACATGGTGTCTACGAAGAGAGTATTCAAGAAATTTGTCGCTTGGTTCATGAAGCTGGTGCTCAAGTTTATTTGGATGGAGCCAACATGAATGCTCAAGTTGGTCTCACATCACCTGGAAAGATTGGTGCTGACGTATGTCACCTTAATCTTCACAAGACATTTGCTATTCCACACGGTGGTGGTGGTCCAGGTGTTGGTCCAATTTGTGTTCGTAAACACTTGGCTCCATTCCTTCCATCGCATCCATCCCTTAAGGGTACATCTTATGATTCCCCACAATCCGTTGGTGCTGTCTCTGCTTCTCCATTCGGTAGCAGCAGTGTTTTACCAATTGTATGGATGTACATTAGAATGATGGGTTCTGAGGGTTTGAGAACTGCTACCAGAGTAGCCATGTTGAATGCTAACTACTTGGCTAAGAAGTTGGCTCCATACTATAGAATCTATTACACAGGTGCAAATGGTTTAGTTGCTCACGAATTTATTCTTGATTGCAATCAATTTAAGAAGACAACTGGTGTTGAAGCCATTGATATTGCCAAGCGATTGATGGATTATGGTTTCCATGCTCCAACCATGTCCTTCCCAATTGGTAACACATTGATGGTTGAACCAACTGAGAGTGAAGACAAGGCTGAATTGGACAGATTTATTGAGGCCATGATTTCCATTCGACGTGAAATTCAAGATATTGAGGATGGAAAGGCTGATAAGGTCAACAACGTACTCAAGAATGCTCCTCACACAGCTGAAGTTGTTATCTCCAACGAATGGAATCGTCCATACTCTAGAGAACAAGCTGCTTTCCCAACTGCTTCTACAAGAGATAGAAAATACTTCCCAACTGTCAGTCGTCTCAATGAAGCATATGGTGATAAGCAAGTTTGTACTTGTTTGCCAATCGAAGAATACAAAAATAAGTAAGGGATTTATTAATAAATTCTCATTTTCGAAATAATATTAAGGTGGGATTTGAATAGTTTTTACAAGGGAATTAAGGAAATTGGCTTGGATGTATCGCATGTTAGTTTGAAATGACAAAGGGAAGCGTCTGTGGCAGGAGAAAGTGATTTGCCGAGCAAGCAAATGTCAACTCCAGTCAAGATTTGCTGTTGAGGATCCTTGCTCGAGGTGACGCATTTGGGCACTGTGAATGCATTTGAAACAGAGACAGCGTCCACCGAAAGTGTTTCATTGAAGATACTGCCTCCAACTGAAGCAATGGTCAACTCATTGGACCATTGTTTAAATAATTCAACAGACATGGAGAGAAATTGTGTTGGATTTGAAACTGCCGTATTATTTGCAAACAGGCATTTCCCATACTTGTTGTAGTGGAGTGTCCATTCATCTTGAGAAGATTCCAAATTTTCTAAATTTCTGTTTGGCCAAAACATTGCAAAGTTCTTTTCTAATTTTTGATAATCATCAGATTTAGAAGAAGGAAAATCGCTTCCCAAATATGCAGCTTGATTGGGTGAGTCACAACTTGCATCGCTTGAATCCAAAATTGTTTTAAATGATGTCAACACAAAATAATTGTTTTTCGCTAATGAATTTCCTCGTTGAACAAGTCCATTACAAACGCTATTCACATATTCATTCTTTTCATTATTTTGTTTACAAACAACAGGTGTCCATAACAATGAGAGAGACATCAATTTCGGAGATTGTCTTTCAATCGGCTTTTCAATCAATCGATATGCAAGTAATAATATAAATCCACAAGCAAATATAATTCCTAACATTATAATTCCATTATGTAACTTTCTATTTTCAATTCCTAATAGTGAATTTTTTGAATCAAAATTGGATGATAAACGTTGATGAGAGAGTAAATCCAATTCATCTTCAGAGTCCGAATCAAATAATCCATCTCGTTCCGATGATGCAAAATGTACATTCCGAGCATTCTCTAACTCTCTCGATGATGTTGCAAGAACAGGAACATCACCCAATTCCAACATTTCTTGTTCTGTCACTTGTTGCTGATCCGCGGAAGATAATTCTCCATTTTCTCGTTGTGGCATTTTTTTTTCAAATTTTTTTAATTTTTTTTTAATTTGGCATTAAAAATCCAAAGCGGCAATTCCACACAACAATTAGTTTGAAATGAACATTTAAGCTTGTTTTCACTTCTTTCAATGAAACAATTTTCGATTTATATTCTTTGAGAAGAAATCTGAAACTGTTCGTGAACGAAATGCTCAAGATGTGCTAAATCGCTCGATTTGTACAAAACAACAACCCCCTGTCACTCGTCACTCAAAAATCACATTCTGAAAAAAAAAGACGAGCTAGGTCCGTGTCCCGTTGAATTGAATCAACACCATCAACCACATCGCTGACCTCCAATCTTCCTCACCCTCATCAAGTACCAATAATATATTATTCGTTGTGATTCATAACAAACTTTTATCATCACACAATCACTGCGCAAAACACACACCTCATCATCCAAATAGTGAAATATTTCAATCGTCATCATCATCACGAGTGTCAATATCTGCGCGGAAGAAGACCCTAATCCTCTTCATCGACCTTTATTTTCAAAATCTCTCACCACTCACCACTCACAACAACTTCAACTCTCTCTCTCTCGATACTACACAAATAGATTGATCGTTCTCTTGTCATCCCTCCTCTTCCTCCTCTCTTTTCAAACAAATCACAATGAAATCAGATCCCAATCAAGTCTCCATCACAGTGGCTGCCTCAAGCACTTCCATGAACAATGACTCGACACCTGCCGGAACTTCGAATATTTTCAAATATAGAGCTCAAGAAAATAATGAATGGACTCCTGGTGCCATTGTTTCTTGCATCTTCTTTTATGGTGGATTTATCTTTCCTCCTTTGTGGATCATTGGATTCTTTTATTTTAGGTCACAAAATGATCGAGAATACTTTTGGGGATCGATGAATGTCTCTGCTTGTTCCATGTGTTCGTTTATAATTTATGTGGTGGCTTGGTTGACTTTTGTGTTTTTCATGTATGTCACTAATAACTCAATTACTGTGAGACCTTATTATACGACTTTTAAGGGAGGATATTTAGAACCTGGAGAATGGGTGGCTATTTTATATGCAGTGGTGATGGTGTCTATTTTGGGATATGAATTTGTGAAATATGTTGTGAAATTTATTCGTAGAAAATGGAAGAAAATTCGTCGTTAATGATCTCTCGTCATGAATCAATATTTTCAATGCTTTATTTTCAATGAATAATATCCACACTTTTGTATATTCTCATTCATATATTTAATCGTTCATGATTACAACAATTAATTACAATTAATTAATTACAATTATCATTGTAACAATTCCATCTCTCTAATAGAGAAAAAACCACAATGAAGAGATCTTATTAAATCATAACTTGTGCTTCCATGGAACTGTTAATACTTTCCACTTGCTTTTTCTTTACAACAACCTTTTTGGAAACCTTCACCATTTCACTCTCATCATTGGCCAATGATTTTCCTGCTGTCTCATAAGGTAAAAAGTGAGTAATTACAAATGCAAATAAACATGATCCAGAGTAAATGGCAATTGGAATGACTGAGTTGATACGAATGAGTACAGTGGCAATGTAGGGTGTGATCATGGCAGCTACACGAGCACTCGAAGAGGCAACACCTGTTCCTAAGGATCGAACATTGGTGGTGAATACCTAAAAATAGTAATATTATTGTTCGCACAACACCAAGAGAATTTGTAGTAGTATTCATAGAATCGAATAGAAACGTATACATTGTTGTATGTGTCACAATCAAGTTCATTGAGATTTTGAATCACATAGTCACAGTTGTTGTTGTTGACATTTATGAACTCGTCTTTAAACTTACCTCTGGAGTATAAACCCACAACACACATGAAGCTCCCATGATGGACATTCTTGCACCTACGTGTTTAAATTGAATGAAGGATGGAACAATGAATATATATGAATCATTCCACACACAAAAAACATGAATTGTCCATTCATGAATTTCACATTTTCAATAATGAATTTCACAATAAAATTGAGTTCAATAAATTCCTTCGAATCGATCGTTTCATTACTTACCAACTGCATACATGGTTGGAAGCCAACGGTATGCTTCAGGAATTGGAATCATTAAACATGCCAAACAGAGACCACACGCCAAAAACATGATGGCTGTTGTTTTCTTTCTTCCAAAACTGTTAATAATGGAATAGGATAATAACAATCCAGGTAATTCAGCAGCAGAAACAATAATGGTTGAAATGTATCCACTCTTAATGTCCTTACTATTGCCTCCGAAGTAGATGGGAGTAAATACTACCACGCCATAATAACCAAGTGCCTTTGTGAGGATTGATGTTCAATATAAAAATCATTAAATGAAATTATCCAAATCATAGAATCATTTTCAAATCAATTAAAAGATACATTCCATGTGTTAAATCATTCAATAATTAATGATAAAAAATCAAAAAAGGTATAAAATCAAAATATTACAATTCAATAAAAAATCATCAAAACAAATTCAACCACTTACTCCAATGAACCACAAAGTAAACAATAAAACAGAACTAAACCACATCTTTTTCGAAAACAAATCCAAGAATGAACCTGTCGATTTCTTTTTTCCACTCTCTGTCGTATCTTCCTTCTTTAAGGACGCAGCAAACATGGCCTTTCCATTCCACCAAGCCACTCGTTTGAAAATTCGTTCTGCTTTTTCAATGTTACCTTTAACGACACACAATCGAGGAGATTCTGGAAGAAATGGAACTGCAAGGAGCATGATGAAATTAGGAATACTGCTCACACCCTAAAAAGATGAAAAGTGACCATTCAATATTCATATCATTTTGTGAGTATTGGACTTACCACAAGATATCGCCATCCCCATTCTCCAAAAATGTCAGGATATCCAAGAAAGACTGTGTAAGATCATGTGTGAAGGCATTAAAACATTCAAAAATTCATAGCAACACGTACGTAATGCTAATAAGGAAGTTGCCATGGTTCCTACCGTCCAAAACACTTCAATGACCAACAAAAAGAAACCTCTTGATTTTGCAGGTAAAAATTCAGTGAATAATGAAAAAGGTGCATGACTTCCTCCAACCTTAAATGTCAATCAAAGATTTTTAAAAATTGTTAAAAATGATTGAAATTTCAAAATTTGTTAAAACACATTAGAGTTTCAAAAGTTGATCAAATACACTTTCACTCTTTTTATACTTACTCCAAAACCAACAAGTAATCTCGCAGCCACTAGTGTCCAAAAGTTTGGACAAAACGCACTCAACACTCCAAATATTGAACAAAATGTAAAAATTGAAATAATTCCCAATTTTCTTCCAAACTTGTCACAAATAAATCCCCAAAAAAGTGCACCAATTAACATTCCAGCAAACACAACTCCACCAATAGTAGCTTCTTCCACAGGAGAAAGATTCCAAGCAGTTGAAACTGCAGGCATGATAAAACTCAAAATCATAATTTCTGAAGCATCTGCCATCCATGCAATTCCACAAATCTTTTCATTATTTATATATAACATATATAATCATCATGATCATTATTCTTGTCATTGAATATTCCAACTTACAAAAAGTAATAAAATTTGAAATTTTCCAACTCTTTACAAAAACATGTATACATATACAATCATATACACAACGAGACATGTATATACAACCAACCAACCAACCAATCACATCACAACAATTCCTTACCCCATATATTCAATGGCTTCATCACAAGTAATCGTGGTGATGATTTTCCCATGCGTAGTCGTCGTCGAACCATTTGGAACACCATTTTCTTCATTTCCTTCTTGTTGAAATGGATCCACATGTTGTTGAATAGAACCATAATTCATTCTCTCTTCTATCGATGATGAGAAGGATAATTTCATTCCCTTCTTGTTATTCTTCTCATCATGTTCTTGATTGAACACTTTTCGATCCTCATCATTAGAAATATCGACATTCAAAATCCGAGCTTGATCCTCTTGAGTGATGCTATTCGCTAACAAACCAAGTCGTTCTTGATCTCTCGGAGTGGAGGGTGTTGAGGAAGTATTAAAATCCTCTTCTTTTTGATCGTCATGAGACATTTTTTTTAAAAAACAAAATCTGAAATGAACGAATTGCGTCATCCGTTGGTTTTTGTAATCAAGATTCTCCGAGAACATGAGATTCTCCGTTTGCAAGTTCTGAAGAAATCGTTCCATAAATCTTTCATGTGGAACAGGTTTACCAAAACTCCTCGAATGCGGTCTCAAGTTCAATTCATCCGCACGATCTCAAAGCTTTTATTGAAATAAATACTTCTTTTAAAGCCCTTTCTCTTTTGCGTTCACGAATCTAGGTTGACCATCATCAAGATTTGTCTGTTGAAGCTCTTTCCGTTGAGACTCTGAATATGATTCAGAGAGATTGATTGCAACAGATGGTTGAGCTGTCAGTGGTCATCCAAAAAGTACTTGCAAAAAAAATGCTCATCCTTAATTCAGGAGGCACTCGACGCGTCTACTCGACTTCGTGTTGCGATAAATGCCTGAGAGATTTCTCTCAAGTTGTTTCATCCACCCATCAATGTCACAACTGTCAACGAAAATTCTGTAGCGTTCATGCCAATTATCATTCAAAATATTTTCCTTATCATCATTTGACAGTATCCATTGAGAATGATGATACGAGTAGTTCTGATTCTTCATCCTCATTCGATCAGGAAGAATCTGTTGAATCTTCTTCAGAAGATTCCACTCCTCCATGTGGTCATTCTCGAAATGAGAATTCCAGAAATGACAATGAAGAACTCTTACTTGGATGTCCTATTAAGGAAATATCCATCGTTCCAAGAGGAGTGGGTCAACTTACTTCTACTTGGTCCTCACCTTCCAAATCTCTTTTGAAACAACACCAACATGAACGCATTCATTCACAATTTGAGGATTTAAAAGATGACCTTAAACGTTTGGAACAAGTTCACTTTCGAGGATTTTGTAACCTTACGGATGAATTTCAAGATATTGAAAAACATCGATTGGATTTGAAAATGGAATCTCAAAGAATCTTTTCATCACTTCGAAAAACATTGTACGAGAGAGAGGATGAAGTGTCACTGAATATTGATAAAATTTGTAATGAACAAAAAGAAATGGTTATGAAAATTAGTTCTCTAAAGAATCATTTGAGAATGGTCATGACAGAAATTGAAAGCATGAAATGTGAGGAAAGTAATTTTGAAAAGATGGAAAGAAAGTTGCAACATTTGAATGCAACGATTGATTCATTGAAATTGCAATGTCAATATCAAAGTGTGAATGGTATTCAAAATTATCGTTTGAGATATTTGCCAATTCTTGAAGAGATTGAAGAAGATATTCGCAGATTGTGTCATTTGCAAAAATTGAACTGACAGTTCGAATGTGTGTCAATGGTTCTCTAACTTGAAAAGGTTTCAATCATTTGAAGAAAGAGAGATCGACAAGGGAGTCCAGTCGTGCTTGTGTATGTGAAAACAAACTTTTGTCCAACATCCACTCCGTTAAATACGACTACAAGTTGTGACACATTTCTAGTATTCACTGAACCTTTGATTTCTTCGACAAATTTCACTTCAAATCGATAGCCATAAATTAAAGTAGATCCAAGTTCCAAGTCAATCAATTCCAAATCTTCTACCAATTCTAATTGTTTCTTTTCTCTAAATTGATTTTGAATAGAGGTTGCCACTTTTACAAGTGAAGAATCAGTCACAAGAAGTTGAATCATAAAATTATCACAAATAACGTCCTGATAACATTGTTGGATTGGACTAAACAAGAACACAATACCACTTTCACTTCCCACTTTAAATCCAAAAGGTATTTTCAATTCAATTCCATCAAATAATTCAATATCTGTCCATGGTAAATTTTCAGTCTTGACAAAACTCGATTGTTCCATAAATTTTTCATAAACTTCTCGATTTCTTGATGCACAGTTGCTGTAATAGCTCACAACAAAGGCACCACTGGATCCAATATCAATCACAGTGGTATATTGTGTGATCATAATACCAGAGGACTCATCAAGATAGGAACAAACAAAATCCAATGCAGGTAAATGTTTTCTAATCAAATGTGGAGTGTCAGATCCTGGGTCTAATAATGTGTAAAAAGATCGTTTCTTTCTCTTATCGATGGATGTGCCTGGTTTTGCTTCTTCGAATTGTGACTGAAATTTTAAATTGAAAATAAATTCTTGAATGGTCACAATTCCAAGAACACATTCCACTGTAAAATAATCTCTATTTAATTTCTCATTATAGAGATGAGAAGGTGAATAAAAATAGAGAAGTGAATCCTTGAGAGAAATTTCCCATGTTTCATAAATTCTAAATGTACCAAAGTATGGATAATCATCGAATGTACTCATCACAGCTCCGTAATCATCTGGTTTGGTACTTCTGTGAATAGTATATTTATAGGTTAAGAATGACATAATTTCCTTATCTTTCAATTCTTCAAATTGAGCATTTCTTGTCACACCATCTCCTTCGTCAAGAATTGGAATTTTCACATGAGCCACTTTGATCATTTTTGTGGACAAGTGTTGACATGCAATTTTGGATTCGTTGTGGTGAATGAAAATTACTGAACTTACACATCTGTGGAATGATACGTGAGTTATTGTTGTCAATATTCATATCACATGATTATGTAGCATTTGTCATGATTATTTCAAAATTAATATTCATAATGTTCACATGATGATGATAGCAGATGTATCATCACTCTTATAAAATCAGAGCTATTATTGTTTACTTACTTTATCTTGACCAAGCATATCGTAATCCCAAACTTCAACAATACAATGCGTTTCTTTTCGATCAAACTGTTTTTAAACAGGTTTTTAAAATCATCACATCATTCATTTCACAACTCACATACAGGAATGTCAAATATTTCATTAAATTTCGGATGACACGTTCTCCGAACAGGTTTTGTTTGTTTGAAAAAAGAATCTCCCAATTTCACTTTTAAATAGGGATCTTTTTATGAATTATAAAATTATTGATTTTCACAAGAATCAATCCGATGCATCTCGTACATACTCGTCTAACAAAATCAATCATAATTTCACAGAAATTCCAATTCATAAAATCAGCACATTTTTGTAATCATCTGGAGCCTTCTCTTACCTTTGTGCTTCCAATGTTGGAGGCTCCCAACACCACCAGTTTAAACATGTCATCCATTTTTTAAATGACAGCTGTCAACTGCATAGTTGGTTCTAATTGTGGAAATACCCTCAACAAGCAGCATTCCAAAAATTGATTGACTTGTGTCAGCCACAATACACGTGTTTTTCACGACACACATTGGGCCGCTCTCTCAACATGTGTTCTTCTTCTTGTGTTCAAACAACACGTGTTTTTGTGTTGAACTTGTGAATCCTTTCGCAAGAAGAGAACTTTAAAATACTTTTAGAAAAAAAAACGGCAACTGCATTGCGCTGCGTTACTATTCAATATTAACTATTTATTAAAACTCTAAAACTCTCTTCAGATAGAATACCATCATGGAATTATTAACCTTCATATTTTGGGTCATTGTGGTCCTGGTGATCATTGGCAAGTTAAAGAAACAAAGATCAACCAACAAGGATAGTAGCAATTCCGATGAATCCAGTAGTGGTGCATCATCAAGCCTTGCATTCGGAGATGATTACAACTCGATTGAGGAAGTACAGGAAGCATTGAGAAGAACCGGATTAGAGGGATGTAATTTGATTATTGGAATTGATTACACCAAAAGTAATGAGGAGCAAGGAAGATATACCTTTGGTAATAGAAATCTTCATTCTATTGATCCCATCGGGGATGTGATCAATCCCTATGAAAAAAGTGATTAGTATCATTGGACGAACTCTTGAAAAGTTTGATGATGATAAATTAATACCAGTCTATGGTTTTGGAGATGATCGTACGAGGGATGTGGCTGTTTTTCCCTTCATGCCCAATAATGAACATCGTCCTTGTTTTGGATTTGAAGAAGTCCTCAGGGAATATCGAAGAATTACTCCACATTTGAAATTAAGTGGACCAACGAATTTTGCTCCTCTCATAGAAAAAGCAATTGAAACTGTGATGGAAAGTGGAAGAGGTCAATATCATATTTTAATTATTATCGCAGATGGTTTGGTTGTGAATGAAAAAGAGACACGAGATGCCATTGTAAAGGCAAGTGAATACCCATTGTCCATTGTCATGGTTGGTGTGGGTGATGGTCCATTTGATACCATGCATGATTATGACGATAACTTACCTGAGAGAAAGTTTGATAATTTCCAATTCGTGCATTGGGACGAAATTGCCAAGCTGGCTCGTGAAAAGCGAAAATCAGTAGATGCCACTTTTGCGTTGCATGCTTTAATGGAAATTCCACAACAATATAATGCTATCAAGAAACTTGGTCTTATTGGAAAGAAGAGTCCAACCTATAATCCAAATTTTCAACCAAATGTGACACCGAATTTTGAGCCTTACTATCCAAAACAACATTCTTACTAACTATTTATTCTAAATGTATGAATATTGTAAAACATCTCACTTTTCTGAAAAAACCAAATTAAACTCACAACCTAATGACCACAACAGAAACATTGTCTTTGGTTTTCTTTTCAAGAGCCGCTTGGCACAAGCTTTGAGCGAATATTTCCTCTTTTTCATGTCTGTGGTCCATCACGAACTGTTGAACCTCTTGGTTTGTTATTTTGTCAAACAATCCATCACATGCCATGACGATGAGCACGTTCTTCAGCCCATTTTCAACCACGCTCCCTTTCTTGTATTCATTCAAATTGAACGATCTCACCTCTGGTGTTGCAAGAATGACGTTTTTCTCCAAGTGTGGTTTGTTGAGAGTGATTTTCACTTGAGGTTGTTTGTATTGAAAATCTCCAAACTTGAAATCGTGCATCAAGTTGTTCACAAATTTCGATAAGAATCTTTCTTTGGTTACTTACAGATCTTGAAGGAAGTCCTGGAACTACTTTGACACCTAACTCCAACATTCGTTCCTTCTCATAACCTGCTTTGAAATCTCTTGACATTTCAACCATTTCACATGAATACTCGTTGCATTCCTTCTCCGTTAAGTTAGAAATTGCAAACAGCAATGCTCGACAATCTCCCAAGTTTGCACACAACACCTTCTCATGATTTAAAATCAACACAATAATTCCAACAGCTCCACAAGAGTGAAAATCTTTTTCAGATATTAATTTTCTCTTTTTTAAAAGTTCAAAGTATTGATAAAGATCACAGTCCACTCTTTCACATGTTTGAATTAAGCATTTCGAAACATCATGATAATCACTTTCGTTTTCAACCAATTCTTTTTTACATTCCTCTTCGAAAACTTTTACAAAATTTAATGCAACAAAATCAGCGACTTGTCCTCCACTGCGTCACAACACGATTGCAGTTGTTTGAACATTTCAAAGTAAAAACACGTACCCGTGACCATCAAAAATTGCAAATAAACTTGCACTCATTCCAAAGTTGATAGTCAGCGAAGGACACAAAATATGAGCATCTTCCATCGTAGGACGAAGACCTTTCTCTTCATGAAAACCAAATCGAATTGCTGACATTTTTATTTGTCTTGATCCTGTTGGTACAAGTTCAGTGTTCTTCACCCAATTAAAAAAATGCCCAAAAACACTCCCACATCGTCATCATCACTGACTACGAAACATGTTAAAAATCCAAGAGTGTTTTTTGATATTGCGATCGGAGATGAAAATGTAGGAAGAATTGTCATGAAATTATATAAACATATTGTTCCGAAGACTGCCGAAAATTTTAGATGTCTTTGTACTGGAGAGAAGGGTATTGGAAAAGAAACTAAAAAGCCTCTTCATTTCAAAGGAACCATCTTCCATAGAGTGGTTCCCGGTTTTATTATTCAAGGTGGTGATTTCTCAGAATTTAATGGAACTGGAGGTGAATCAATTTATGGAGGTTATATGGAAGATGAAAATTTTATTTTAAAACATTCTAGGCCAGGTTTATTATCAGCAGCAAATGCAGGAAAAGATACGGTCGGTTCACAATTCTTCATAACTCTCTCCTCTGACTTGGATTATCTTGATGGAAAACATGTCGTATTTGGAAGAGTTATTGATGGAATGGATGTTGTAAAAAAGATTGAAAATGTCAAAATATCAGAGGATAATAATCGACCGCTTCAAGAGGTTGTGATTAAGAATTGTGGAGAATTAAAATTAAAGAAAAGAGAACCCAAGAAGAAAGAGGCTCCTAAAGAGCAAAGTGGTGTAAAATCATCACCAAAATATCAGCCGAGAGAATTTAGATATGAACCTAGTGACACTTACGAAAGAAGAGGCTTTTCTGATAATCGATATTCTTCCTACAGGAGCTCAAGAAATTACAGAGAGGACAGATACGTGAAGGGAAGAGGTAGTCGAAAATATAATGATTAAATAATACTCAGTTAGAGGTTTATATATGTACAGCATGGTCGTTCAATTGGTCAAAAAGAAATTCATGAATAGATTCTTGATCCATTTCTTCAAAGTTGAGACAAATACAGGTTGAATCTTTTGTGGAAGTGAGAGAACATAATTTTCCTCCACTTGACATATCCCATTCCACTGGAGCCACAAAATTATACAGTAAGTTAAGATTTTTGTCTCGCTCTATCCAATTTTCAATATTGTGTTGTATTTCTTGTTCCTCTTGTCTCAATGCTTCGAATTTTTGCATGGCTTCTTGAATCTCCGTTTCAACTTCGGAAAGCCTTCCTTCATAATTGCTGACAGAAAAGTTCAGATCATCCATCTCTCGTTTCAAAATTCTCATTTTCTCCTCATGTTCTTCCATTAATGTTTTCATATGGCTATAATTCTCTGCTGTATTCAAGGTTTGAGTGAGTGTATTGATGACTTCTTGTACCCGAGTATTCTGCGATTCCATCAACTTTCGGATATTCTCTTCAAGTTGAACTATATTTCTCATCTTTACGAAATCACTCTCCTTATGCAATATATCCATCACATTCATTGTATTGATCTGAAGCTCTTGAATGGGATTTTCAACTCCAGGATCCGTGCGAAGATGTTGTTGCATCATTTTTTTGATTGTTGTTAAATGAAAAGTTGCAACGGATTTTGGCGGCAAAAAATTGGATCCCTCCAATTAAGTTTCATACAAAACAAAAATGAACAATCATCATCAACAACAAGGCTTGTTGTCATTATCGTCGTCCTCTTCTTATTCATTCAATGCAAGTGGAAGCAATGGAACTCATCATTCTTTAGCGCCCTCTCAATATAGTTCAACTCCAAGCAACAACTCCGGAAATAATGCTGCATCACAGCCAGTTCTTTCATTGCTACGGAAATTGATTCAAATTAACATCCCCAAGAGTCGGAATCAATCTAACGATGATTATGAACGATATGTAAACAAACAATTGAGGTTTTTAATTTCCTTGTTGTCTAGCCGAATTTCACCAACACTAATACAAACACAAGATCAAATTTTGCTAACTGAAACAATTAAAAAGAGATGTAAGTGCATAGCAATAATTATTTGCTCATTAATGTTATTTCCAACGCACCACCACATCGTCAAATATTCAAAGTGATGAGAGAAAACAAATCGGACTTGGTATTTCAATTTTCACAGCTCTTTCACAGACTCAATACTAAAACTGTTATCCAACACAAATTCAATCTTGTATATTTATTGAACTCTTTGGGAGCTCATAACTCTGCTAACGATCATTCATCTTCATCAATACCTATGTCCCTTAATGCGTCGTTTCAGGACAATCTTTTCAAATTGAATAGTACACATAGCTCAGAAAAGCAAGTTCAACAAGACCTGCTAATTCACTCTAACATGGAATCAAAGCAAAAACAGAATAACAGCTTTCAGCAATACAAACAGGCAGCTTCAGAACAAGAAAATACACGTTTTGAGGTTGCTGAATCTACTCTAGTAAGAGACATTGTTTATACTTTCCAAGGAATTGACGGCAGATATATTAAATATGATTTAGCATCAGAGAGATTTATTGTGGATCCTAAAATTGGAATTCCAAAATCCACTAGACTGTTGATGAGCAAATTGTCAGAGCTTGGATGGCTGTACAAAAAAGTGAAAAGTTTTGTTGATGCCGGTACTTTAAACAAATCATCAAATGGTCTTGTGATGCAAAGTTTATGCTCGGCGATAGATAAAGAACTTGTGGACTATTACAAAACAATATCTTCGTTGGAAACACAGATGGAGAGCCAAGAAAACACAAGTACTCCAGTCACATTTAGAAGATTAGCCATTTGGGCTATTGAGCCAACTGAAATTTTGAAAAATTTAGCCATTCTTACAGACTCGTGTAAATTGAAACGAGGAGGTATTCTCATTTCTACCATTTACAAATATATTCGGCATGGGGATCCTCTGATACATCAACTTTTCTCTCGAATATTAGAATCCACATCCTCTCCGATATTTAAAATGATCAACAATTGGGTTATTGATGGCGAATTAGAAGATCCATATGGTGAATTTTTCGTTAAATCTAATCCTGAGGTGAATATTGACAAGTTATGGAGTAGAAAATACATCATTGAACCAGAAATGGTGCCTTTGTTCATTGAGCAAGAACTAGCATATAAGATCTTGAGAACGGGAAAGAGTATTAATTTCATTAGGCAATGTTGCAAGGATGCTGAATGGGTTATGGATTCCCACACCATATCTACCACTGAAGGCTTAGGATTCTATAACATTTCAAAACTCGAGAACGTTGTTGAAAATGTTGCCAAGGTTGCAAACAGGAGAGTAATGGAGCTAGTGTTCAACCAATACAAATTTATGATGCACTGTACAGCAATCAAGCAATATCTATTGCTTGGACAAGGAGATTTTATCCAACACTTGATAGAACTCTTAAAGTAAGTATTATGCAACTCAGTTGTTCTTTTAGCTCACCATTTCAAAATTTTGCTAGTGAGGACCTTAACAAACCTAGTCATGCTATTTTCAAACACAATCTTCTTGGTCTTTTGGAGAGCGCCATCAGAGGTTCCAATGCTCAATACGACGACCAAGATGTCTTAAATAGACTCGATGTACGTTTAATGCAACCTAAGGATTCCTCTCCTGCCGATAATGGGTGGGACATATTTTGTCTCGATTATAAGATCACTGTTCCTCTCGACACCATTTTTTCCAAAGAAGTTATCAATGTATATCTAAGGATATTCAAATTCTTATGGAACATTAAGAGAGTAGAGTTGTCACTTAACGAGAATTGGAAGAAAGTGGTTAATTTAATGCGATCAATACCAGCTCGAAAGCATGTGTTCATCATTACACAACTCAGGAACGCTCTCAATTTCTCAATACTTTTACGTCATGATATGAGTAGATTTTTGGGAAGCTTGCAATTTTATTTAATGTTTGACGTGTTGGAATCTGCATGGGATCAATTTCTTACCGATATCAAAAAGCTGCGCGAAAGCGATGGTGATTTAGACCAACTTCTTGCTGCACATTACAAATACCTTAGCAAAATTGTGGACCAATCATTCCTCAGCAAATCACAGCAAAATACTCGATTACAGGTTGAACAAACGTTAATTACTATGAATAAGTTTGTTGGATTGCAAAGTATTCTATGCTCTATTGCAAGCAATATTCTTTGTGAAGTTGAAAATTATATGATGGAAGAGGAGGATGATCCAACTCGTGACTTTCTCTCTGATGACAAGAAGGAACAATTGAATAGTTTGCAACAATGTCATTCACAGCTACACCTTGTAAAATCATCATTTGATACTCTTTCTGCGGCCATTAATCTCAAAACTGAAAATTAAAGAGGCCTTTAGTGTGCAAATTTAATCAGCCTTTTCTTTTGTACTTGTTCTGTGACAGAAGGATAACACATAACTTGCACATAAACATATGAAAGCAGCAATTTGAAGCATGAGGGAAACATCTGAAAAGAATTTGAATGTCATTAACCCAGGATCGTCAAAAACCAAACAAATGATTCCAGTGACGATCAGCTGAATGACAATTGCTAAGTATCGCTTGATGGTCAACACATATACAAGTTCTTTTCTATCGATTAATCCCGTTGTGAATCTGTGAGAAGAACCTGAAGAAAAGAGTAATCCTTCTACTTGCGAGAGCAACACAGGAATCAATATGGAACAACCAAAAACAACGTGATCTCTCGTTCCATATACAACTTTTTGATATCCAATGTAATTGATTGGAAGTGAATTCACACTAGTCAATGCTATGTATACCACAAGAATGAATGTATGATAAAGTATCGAGTAAATTGAAACTGAAGAATTTCGATCAATAGTCGATTGATACGAGCTCTGTAAGGTCCATAATTGATTTGCTTGATAATTCGATGTCAGCAAGTCACACCCTTTCTCAATCAAAAAAAACACCACCACTAATGGGTGAATATCCAGAGTAAGCAAAAATAGTAGAATCAAACTTTGGTTTTCATAAACTCTGGCATTAAGGAAAAGATCTGCCCAATTTTGTAAAGTACTCTCAAAAGAAAATATTGAAAAATACATTTTCAAAAATGAGAAAATTTCTGTAAATGTATGTTCTTCTTCTTCCTCTTCAGTATGATTTTCGTCATCATGAGTTGTGACAGTATTTGTGGCGGTGGTGCTTGTGATCGATCGATCATTATCGTTCTGTGCAATAGATGCTTTCAATTCCAAGTGACAATGAACATTGTCACCTTCAGTACTCGCAAAGAATAAACCTAAACATCCAATAAGCATGACAATGACGCTCATTTCCATCCAGTACACAGATATCTGATAGAAGGCAAAATAAATGGATGAAAATTGATAAAAACAAGTATAAATGGATAGGATGGATCCAATCCAAAATGCAATCGTTTCAACCCATGAAAACCCATGATCACCACTGTTGGGTATTTCATTGGCGCTGGTAGTTAAGTGTTCGTGTGTAGAGTCATTATGAGACTTGTTCATCAATAGTATTAAAAAAGTCATCACACAATGTTGCAACACTCTTCCAAATCCAAGAATCATTGGAATTAAACAGAAAAACGAAGTCAATCTCAAATCCACAAACAATGGAGAATATATTTCATAATCTGCATCATATTCAAATGTCTCTTTCATAATATGTGAAATTCGAATGTGTCTCACAATTTCAGTTAAATAATACACCAAAAATCCAATACCAATCACATGATAAAGAAAGAGTAAAATTGCAAATAAAATTCGAACCCAATAACTCATCCTAAAATGAACATCCCCACTTTTCATGTGTGAAATGAACAAAGATTGTAATTGTGAAAAGAGACATGTGCTGACTGTGTCCAATAGGAAATAAAAGAGAAAAGGTTTGATGGAATTGGTAAAAAATTGTGAAAGGAAAATGAGGATTGTACAATGACCAAAGGTCAAATGAATGGTGGAAAATAATCGAAAGAAAGTAATGATGGTAATTCTTGTTGAGAAATGAAAAGTCATTATACTATTCCGAATCCTATTGTTTGGATTGTTCGTGGAGTGATGATGATGATGGTGTGATGAAGAGGAGAACATCGGCCGATCATCACAACAAGACATTTTTTATTCAAAATCTTCCTTTTTAGAAACAAACAACTATAGTGCCCGACCAGGATTTCAAAAGAGAAAATCACTGTATTTTTCATATTCATGCATTTAATTAAAATCATCAAGAATATTGTTCTTTTTCAATTAGAAAAAATCAAAATTGTCATCAATGACTATTAGGATCTATGAACTCCTAAAAAAAACGTTTTAAACGCGCGCATCAAATTTACATTCCGAAATATTTGCCCAAGAAAAAGGCGCCAACAGCAACAAGTCCCATACACATCATGCTTGCGAGTGGACAGGACGATTTGTTGCAAGTCTTTTCGGAAGAAGAGGCTGATGAGGAACCAAATGCAAAGCAACATCCTCCGGAAGAAGAAGAGGCTGAACGAGTGTTGTTCTCAGTTTTGTTGTCTTGTGGGACAATACCATTTCTAGCCTCATCATCCACATAGTACTTGGCAAACAAATCGTTTTGAATCCATAACAATTTGTTGAAAGCTTGGATGGTCTTGATACGTTGTTCCTCACTTAATTGAGTGCATGAACCCAAGAGTTCAAAGATCACATCACTCACATATCCGAATAATGCATTGATATGAATATAGTCGACAATAATGTTCTTATTTCCAGCCTTTGCAGTGTGAATTTTACCAACCCAATCCAAGTAATTCAAAAATCCCTTAGATGAATAATCAGCAGTGACCAATTTGACCAAATACTTGCTCAACATGTCCTTACGGAATTTGATTTGTTCCGATTTGGTGTCACTCAATTCGTCGAGAGAGGTTTCCATCTTGCCTTCAAATTTATCATTTCGAACAAGGAAGACCTTCTTAGTAATATCGAAAGAGAAGAGTTTCACATAGACACGGTCGACAATGGTTGGCACGAGAGGAGCGAGCACGGATGCTGAATCATGGATGTACTTGATGTCTTCCTCACCAAAACCAACAAATTTGCAAACATAGCTGAATCTGTATTGGAGGTCAGTGAAGAGTTTGGTGTTTTCAATGTGTTCGATGGACATGATGTATATTAACGTGTTTGGAGTTGAACTGTTTAGAAGTGTGTTTAGTTTTTTTGTTGTTGTTGTGGAATTTTGACAGGCAACTGTCTTCGTTTAAATACTCTTCCGAGAGGATAGGATTATGATTGGGTGGTGCGTTCAAACGGCCCGAAACAAATGGAGTTTTATTTTTTGCTAAAATTGGATTGTAGATTCTTTGGGTAGAATCTTCAGTGTCTTCGTTGAAGTACAAACTTGGTATTTTATGAAATTTGCCCATGATGGTTTCACAAAATGCCATTTGGAGATTTTGTATGTTGTCGTCTTCAGTACGATTGAACATTGTTGAAGAGAGATCAAGTGACAGTGAGGTTGTTCAGTAAAACTTGAGAATCAAGATTCTTAACAAGTAACCTATTTCAAATTCGCTCATTTTGAAAATTGTGACAATAAGAGAGTAGTGTTTAAGAAACAACTGAACTTCCCAACAATATGAAGCGTTTTTTGCTTGATTTTTATTATACAGCTACTACATTCTTACAGCGACACTGATTGAGTTTTCTTTGAAACGAAACACTCTCAAGAAAAGAACTGTTCCTTGTTGAATTAAAGGAAATAACATATTCCAAAATTTAAACGAACGATCCAACAGTGCAATATAATTATCACATATTATTAAATGACAACTAAGGACGGGTTTTCCTCCCACCGTTCAATTTGAGAAGAATGAAATCACTCTATTTCGATCATCACTTTATTTTTCCCCTCGCAATTCCGTTATGACATTTATGTCGTGCTGTGATTTCTCTGGTTGTTTGCACGAGTCAACATCTCGTGAAGCATAAAATTTAAATGCACGAAAACGTTGAAATTCTCTCCCTTCCTATCTATCTCTTTCACACGCAGTGACTCCTATTTTGATCTAATTCCTCACAAATATGACATTTCTAAATTGTTCAAATCATTCGATGAGAGGGTAGACACTTTTTGTTATCTCGATCGTACACACACATACCAACAGTAGTTGTTTTCTCAAGGAGAAGTTTCCATATCACAACAAGTATCTTTTTAAACGGTCGACTTTAGAATATAGTTGAATCTCCTCCTCAGAGTGAGGTGCGCCTCACTCTCGCTCTTGGCTCCAATCCTCTTTTTTCAAACGCATTTGAAGAATTCAATTACCATTCATCATCACCCGGGGCGACCCTGGTTCATAATGCCTTTGAGTAAACACACACAAAAAAATGCCTCGAAACTCAGGCAACACAATGAACATTGAGTTACAGGACAACTACGGTGGCTATAGCGTTACGCTACAACAACTCGATGAGTTGCTTGAGAGTCGAGATGTCCTGGCTCTCAGAGAATTTGGTAATGGTGAGGGGTTGGCAAAAGCATTAAAAACCGATTTGAGAAATGGTATTCATCACGGAGAGGAAGCAGATAGACAGTCTCACTTTGGAAAGAACGAATACCCAAAGAAGCCTCTTGTTCCTCTTTGGAAGTTGTTCTTGGAGGCTTTGAAAGAACCTCTCCTCATCATTTTGATGGTATTGGCTGTTATTTCAATTGTTTTGGGAGTGGCCTTCCCTGAAAGAGAAGAGGATAGAAAATTCGGATGGATCGAAGGAGCTGCTATCATTGTAGCTGTGTTGATCGTTTCATCAGTAGCATCTATCAACGATTGGCAAAAGGAAAGAAAATTCAGAGAATTATCCAAAGAAAGTGCCGATATCAAAATTAAAGTCATCCGTGATGGTGAATCTCAGACTGTACAAATCGCCAGCATTGTAGTCGGAGATGTTGTTGAAATTGAACAAGGAGATCAAGTACCAGCGGACGGTGTCATCATTGAGTTCCACGATTTGAAAACAGACGAATCCGTAATGACTGGTGAAACTGACCTAATTAAAAAGAACGATGAGACTCCATTTCTTCTCTCGGGTACTGTAGTAGCTGAAGGATATGGTAGAATGCTCGTGACATGTGTAGGTGTGAACTCGGAATGGGGAAAGACTTTGGCAAAGATTACTGAAGATGACGATGATGATGACAAGACCCCTCTCGAAGCTAAATTAGACAAATTAGCAACACTCATCGGTAAATTCGGTGTTGGTTTTGCTGTTGCTACTTTCCTTGTCTTGTTGGCTGGATGGTTAATTAAGAAGATTTACGAAACAAACGTTGGAAAAGACACTTGGTCAGCAGCTGATATTTCAACCATGGTTGGTTTCATTATCATTTCTGTGACCATTGTCGTTGTTGCTGTTCCCGAAGGTTTACCTTTGGCTGTTACCATTTCATTGGCATATTCTGTCAAGAAGATGATGAAGGATAACAACCTTGTTAGACACTTGGCTGCTTGTGAAACTATGGGTGGTGCTACTAACATTTGTTCCGACAAGACTGGTACATTGACTTTGAACGAAATGAGAGTTGTAAAGGCAGTCATTGCTGGTGATGAATATCTTGATGGTTTACCAGACAATACCGATGGCATGAATGAAGAAGTTGTGCAAGTGCTTTCACATGGTATTTCTGTGAACTCAAAGGCATCATTGAACAAACCAAAAGCTGGTTCTTTGAAGGAATATGAAGTCAGTGGTAACAAGACTGAGGCTTCTCTCTTGATCATGTTGAAGGATTTGGGTATTGACTATGTTCCAATCAGAAAACACTACACTGAAAATGACAAAATTGAAAAACTCTATACTTTCTCCTCTGCTAAAAAGAGAATGGCTGTTATTGTTAGAACAGATACCGGAGCTCACAGATTGTATCTCAAGGGTGCTTCAGAAATTGTTTTGGGAGTGTGCTCTCAACAAATTTTGAAGAATGGTTCAGTCGTTCCATTGACTGAGCAACAAAAGAAAAAGTGGATGGAAGACATTGAAAGTATGGCTTCTCAAGGTTTGAGAACTTTGACCTTGGCCTATAAGGATTTGCAAGGTACTGAAGATTATGAAAATCAAGAAGCTGTTGAATTTGGCTCCACTTTAATCGCCATTGTTGGTATTAAGGATCCACTTCGTGTTGAAGTTATTGATGCCGTCAAGCAATGTAAAAAGTCTGGTATTTTCGTAAGAATGGTTACTGGTGACAATATTCTCACTGCTCAACATATTGCTCGTGAATGCGGAATTTTGTTTGGAGATGGTATTGCCATTGAAGGACCAAACTTTAGAAAGATGTCTGACGATGAAATCGATGAAATCTTACCAAGACTTCAAGTTATGGCTAGATCATCACCTTCCGATAAGCACAAGTTGGTTAGTAGATTGAGAGCTCTCGGCGAAGTTGTTGCCGTCACGGGAGACGGTACTAACGATGGTCCTGCTTTGAAAGAAGCTGACGTTGGTTTGAGTATGGGTATTGCTGGTACACAAATTGCAAAGGAAGCATCAGACATTATTATTATGGATGACAACTTTAGCTCCATTGTTAAGAGCGTTTTATGGGGTAGAACCATCTATGAAAACATTCGTAAATTCTTGGTCTTCCAGCTGACAGTTAACGTCTGTGCATTGCTCGTCACAGTTATCACTGCTTTGACTTCCTTCATCATTGCTCCTCCAGCTGGTTCTCACTCCAAGCATATGGATCCTCCATTGACTGCTGTTCAACTTTTGTGGGTCAACTTGATCATGGACACGTTCGCTGCTTTGGCACTCGCCACCGAACCTCCAATTCCAGAACTTTTGGACAGAAAGCCATACGGTAGACACGACAGCTTAATTACCAAGAACATGTGGGTTCATATTATTGGCCAGGGTCTTTATCAATTGGTTATTTTGTTAGGTCTCTACTATACTGGTTATCAATACTTGTGTGTTGGTGGAAAGTGTCTTGCTGAAGCCTTTGAAAGCTATTCTGCCGCTGAGGTCAACAATACTATTGTCTTTAACAGCTTTGTTTTTTGCCAACTTTTCAACGAACTTAATAGCAGAAAGATTAATAACGAGTGGAACATTTTCCAATCCATCCACAAATCATGGATGTTCATTCTCATTTTCTTCTTCACAGGAGGCATGCAGGCTATTATTGTTCAATTCTGTGGAAGATTTACTAATACTGTTCCATTGAACTGGTACCAATGGTTAATCTGTATTGCATTGGGTGTTGTTTGCATTCCATTCAGTTATCTGCTGAGAGTTGTTGGACGTCTTTTGACCAAATTTTTGAAATGGGAGAATTAATTGATCCCATCATCATTAATATTACACCAGTTGTAACATTCAAAAGCTAGATTAATTTATTTTTCGATTAAATTCAAAAATTCTCTATTTATTTCTTGCTCAACCTAATGGTTTCCACTTCTGTGATGTCTTTGTGTTTGAAGAATTTCTTGTCGTCCTCATCAGAGCTTTTTGTAAGAGCGTACTTTTTGGTGTAATTGGAAGGAATTGAGGCCTTTGTGAAATTAGGTTTTGAAAATCTGCTTTCTGCAGGCTCATCATCTATTTTTTCGTCGTCTGCTTGTTGTTGAGATGATTGACCAGATAATGATGATTGTTGTTGGTATGGAGTGGTATCTTGCTTTTGTTTCTTTCTGTAGTCGCTTTGACGATTGTAAAATGGATTTTCATGTTGCTTTCGTTTGTTTTGATTTCTATGTTGGTAGTCCTGGCAAAAATCTTCCATGCGCGAGAGGGCCTTTGCTGGGAGCATGGGCAGAATGCATTGAGATCCAAAAAGCTTTTGATTACTAATTAACGATCGAACAAATTCTCCCAGGGTCCTATTATTAATTGTTGTTAAAAGGCGAGAGTAAACTCCACTCGCTAGTGGTCAAATCATTCGTCAAACTTACAATTTCTTGGTAAATATATTCACAGTGTTTGATTCATCATTGATATATTCCTTAAAGTATTCCCACATTTCATCAGGATTAACAGCAAATCTAACATATAATAAAGCAAGTGCCTTAATTACTGTAGGTTCATCTTTTTGAAGCATTCCCTTCAATTGTTTGTACGATAATTTAAGAGTGTGTAATTTAAATAAAAGACAAAAGGCTACGCTTGGAGATCCATTGCTATCTGCATCTGTAAATGGATGTATGTATTTTACATTCTTAATCAATTCTAAAACTTCGTGATATGTTTTATACTCATACAGAGACTTGAAGTACGGTGATGTTAATATTTTCTTGTACACGTAAGGAGTTATATTCATGGTTGATGCATTACCCCAAACATTAATTTTGTTTGATTTCTTTGATTTTTCATGTTGTTGAGTGTCTTTAGTACCATCATCGGAATGCTGGTCTTGATCGAGATGTTGTTGTTTTTCATGATGATGATGATAACGACTCGAGTCTTCATACTTGTCATCCTCTTCAGTGGAATGATGATATCGATCATCATCATATTTATGTGGTTGTTCTACAGAACTTTTCTTTGAGTAGTTACGATATCGTTCATCATTCCGATGGTGTTGATCCTCTTCCGAACGATGAACGGATGATGAAGAAACATTTCGATAATGATCGACAGACATTTTTTTCTTTTTGAACGCGAACCAAAAATTCGAGTTTCTTTCAGTCTTCTTTACAAGACCTATCAGAATACCCACTCATAATGATTCATGATTGTGCACATTGAAAATAAAATTAAGGCCAAGTTTGTCTCTAATGAAAGACAATTCCTTCTTGCTGAAATCCTTGTTGTTATGAATCAGGGTTGGCAAATTGATTGAACAAACGCTTTTCATTTCAAAAAAAATAAAAATGGCCATCTTTGGTGTCTTGTTCCGAGCTGCTCTTGCTGTTGGTTCCATCGCTTTTGGTGCTCTCAAAGCTGCCTACAATCAAGCAGCAAAATCATCGGGTGGAACTGCCGGAGCAGGTGCTTTTGGACAGAAATTGAGTATTACTAAAACACAACCAATGACTTTAGTGGAAGCACAAAAGATATTAGGTCTTCCTAAATTAGCGGAAGGAGAAACAATTGATTATGGTCTTGTTCAAGAACGATTTGAAAAGATGTTTATGAACAACAGTGTGAAGAATGGAGGAAGTTTTTATCTCCAATCAAAAATAATACGAGCTAAGCAATGTATTGAATATGAATTGGTAAAAGAAAACAAACTGAACAGTGAAGAGCTAAGCAGCTATGAAGCAAGGACAAAGAGCGTGGTTGAACAACATACTACAGAAAATCAAAGTGTGTAACTAGTGGATATTATTATGATTATTTAATGAAATAATTCTCTCCCGAGACACCATCATCATTTCCGATTTGAAAACCTCTCTCCCTCTCTTCCATCCCGATTCTTCAATAAACACCTCCTCCACTTCTTCTTTTAGAACAAACTATCATGATGTGTTATTAAAAATTATATTATGTCGCCATCATCCTTTTGCCCATTTAAACATTAATAATTTCCGACGAATAGTGAAGCAATTATTTCAAAGATTTTTGATTCTTATGTCAAAAATTAAGATTCGACATAATAATTGGGTTTCGCAACATTGCTTCATCTCAATAATAACCAAGCATAGGTGTAGTAGTGAGTACTCTTTGTTGAATGATCGTGGTTTATTCGAACTGGAAGTAAAAAAACGAAAAAACGAAACGAATCGGCTTTGAATAAAATGAGCTCGGTCCATCAGCGTATTCTCAAGTGTATGAGTGAGATGCTCTTCTCGTTCCGAGCACTCTGTGAAGCTATCTCGAAAGGAACACGAACGATCACGGGAGATTTGGTAAAGAGTACCACACATATTTTACAGTATAAACAAGAGATTACTCAACAGTTAGAAATTTTGATGGAAAAGGATAAAGAATTAAAAACTTTGATCCGAGAATTAGTGGAGAATCAACGATTTCAACAAAAGATTAAACAAACACAACAAATATTGGAAGACAAGGAATACAAAATATCCAAGTTGAGTGAGACTTTGGAAAATGTTCACTACCGATTGGGAAGTGCTTTACATCAGTCATCTCCGATAGCAAAATCCATCAAGGAATCTAAAAATTTAAATTTGGATGATGTCTTTTCGTATGCATATTTCATTAGCAGGACAACGAGCGAAATTCCTGCTTTTAAAGATGCAGAATTACAATTACCTCCATTTCCACCACCAGAACGATGGCAGTTTTCACTGCTCTATCCAAACTCATTGAGAGCTTACAAGAATAAGTATTTGGAAGAAATTAGTGTTGCTGAGAAGGAATTGAAAGAACAAAAAGTGCCCAAGATTAATTTTGAAAAATTCCAATTTGAAAGAGACGTCTCCATGCCACCTGTTCCACAAACTAAGATTTCTTTGTTCGACGAAGATAGCGATGAAGAATCATCAGCAGAAGAGTAGAAGTTCAACCATAGAATATCCTAAATTGAGATTCATTGAATTACACTGTAATCCATAATTAATTATTTATTATCACTAACACAATTAAGCCATTTCGAATGAAAAGATTACCATCATAATATTCCAACGCATGCGTAATTTCTTGTTGTGGGTCATTTTGTGATTATCAATGGTTGTGTCTATGATGATGAGCATTCCTAACGCGTCACATTGATGCATTTGTACGATGATTTTTCACACTTCGACGAATATTAAGGCTCACTCTTACCTCTCTCCTTTAACAAAGCCATCATCACAAAACCAAATCAGGAAATTTTATAATCATCAAATAAAAAAAATGCATCCAGTCGTTAAAGAAGGAGACCACGATAAGGAATGTGTGGATTTGATGAATGCTCTGATGCAGTGTCATAAAAACAGACCTATCACGCAAATGCTCAATGGATGTTTAGAACAAAAGGCAGCACTCGATAAATGTCTCGATAAAGAATATGAGCGACGATATGACCAAAATCAAAAAGAGGCTGCACAGGTGTATCCCGCATTCCGTAATCTCATGAAGATGAAAGAAGAAAAGGAAAAACAGACTAGAGAAAATAGAAAATTAAGTGCGGAGGAGAAGGCAAAACTGTTGGAAAGAGAGGGAAATAAACTTTAAAAGAGGAAATTTATATACAAAGGTGTGCCATGATGAAGAAATTAATTAATTTGATCTTCGGAATTAACTCAACACTGTGGATATTACGTTGAAATATTAGTATCAAAGCTCTATTTCAAAAACAACTTTTAGTTGATTTGGAATTTGGATAACAATGATGATGCATTCATTATTGAATCAAAACATGTTCAGAATTTTCATTGCCAATTTTCTGTCTGAAAACCATGTTTTCAACTATGTTCTGTACCAATACTGTCGGTAGAATGGGATAGCAGCATTCTATTCCCCAAACAATTACTTCCATTTTCGCAGTGTCTGGAGTTGTTGAAAAGTGACATTCCTTTTACTCTTTAAAAAATGTCAACACGCAGACACCAACATTTGACATCGTCATCCAGCCTCTCTCCACTACCAACGACGATATTTAACTACCTTTCTCTCGGATGTGTACTCATCGTTCTTCTCACTCTCATTGATTTTCTTTTCCTCTCACAAGAACATTATCTCACCAATCGTCATTGGGATCGTTCTCTCTCTTCGGGTCGACATCATCATCACCATTCAGACTCGTATGATGATTCTCCATTCTTTTCATCCTTGTCATCGCCATCCTCCTTTTTCTTCCTTCATGCACTAAAAGTTTCATTCGATTTGACCTTTCTTGAGAACGATGAAGCTGCTCGTTCCTGTTACACAGAAGGATCTTCTTACACACGTGGATCGCCGTATCAACAAACTCCACCACAATGTGATGCCACTGATTCCACTAACTTGGTCACAGTTCCGAAAGAAGATTGTGTTGGAACATGTAAAGTTCTTGATGTGATCACCTCTTCACACATTACTGTCTGGAAAACAAATATTATTCCAGCAGTGAGTGCAATATTGGATGATTTAATTCAAGTGAAACCACAATTCAAGATGCCAAATGATACATTTTTGTTGGATGTTGCAAATAGTAATAACGTGCAGAGATGTCAATACACGACAGAGTATGGAATTCCAATTCCACAATTTTACAAAACACCTTTGAATACCTCATACAGTGATCAATTGAAAGGTGTGGATTTGGTAGTATTTGTGACCATGCGACCCTTAACCATGACTGTCAAGGGAAGTGGAATGATGTGTGTGACACAGAATTTCAATGGAGTGAAAAGACCGGTGATGGGTTTAATTAATATTTCTCCTGGAGTTTTTAAGTCACTATCAACGAGAAATCAAATCATGACAGTTCTTCACATGATGGTAGGTTGTTTTTTTATCCAAATGAATATGGAATCCATATATATGAAATTATTATTTAAATGAACTGTTGAATGAAATTCTTATTTCCAATTTTTCACACAATAATCCCAACAACCACACAGTATCACATTTTAGGATTTAATTTACAATCTTTTAAAGATGCAGGTCTTCAAATCACCTCCATGACTAATACTTACAATTCAGTTTCTAGAAACATTTTCTATCTAAATGCACCCAAAGCCATCGCTCAAATGAAATCTCATTTTGCATGTGAAACTTCACAAGATGCAAAAGTGAACGCTCTTCCTCTCGAAGATTATGACGATCTCATCATTTCATTCAAATACACACTCGACATGACCGATTACGAAAAAGGAAAAGCTCCCTTACTCGAATCAAGAGTTTTCTTTAATGAATTAATGTCAAGTACCTTTCAATCCATCGATCCTTCAGATGGTCCAATGCCTTCAAAAATATCACTTGCTGTTCTCGAGGATTTGGGATATTATAATGTGAATTATTCGTCCTTGAATTCATATGGAAAGAAATTGAATGCTCTTGTGGCGTTACCTCGTGAGAAGTATGTTTGGGGTCTGTCACAAGGTTGCTCCATTTTACAAGAACGATGTGAATTTTGGGATTCTTCAGCTCGTGGATATTTCTGTTCATCGAATACTGAAAGTGATGGAACCACAAAAATTCCCATGTGTACCTTTGATTTGAAAGCAAAAGGAACGTGTGACGCTGCTCCCTATGCAAATTCCATTCCTCCTTATTATGTGCATTTTAGTGGAACCAATAAGGGAGGATTATCGATCTTTAGGTTTGTAAAATATAACATTTCTTTGATCATAACATGATGAAATTATCCAAATTCAATATTCTATATGAATCTTTGAAACTCATTTTCATAATTGATGAACCATTATGGATCATCACATGATGTATTATAATTGATGAATCAATCAATCAATTATTTCACACATTTCAACATGATCTAGAGATTATTGTCCCATTGTGTTACAAGCATCAAGTGGAGATTGTACCAAATCGTATAACAAACCATCAGATGCCACTTTAAAACAAACTGGAGAAAGTTATGGAACTTATTCTGGATGTTTCTTTTCAAATCTCGTGAGTCAAGAATCAGGTTTGGATTACAGACAATTCTCACCTGAATCCAGATGTTATGAATATTCATGTGGACCTCTTGATAGTAATTCCACAACCGTGATTGACACCTATTTATTTGTGAAAATTGGAAACTATTGGTTGAAATGTCCAAAAGAAGGAGGAGTGTTGTTAAATAAGGCAAATCAATACGATGGACAAATTGAATGTCCCAAAGTAGATGTCTTGTGTGATCGAAATTCCACACGACCCAATTATTCAGCTTTTGTTTCTGATCAGGAACTAAACAAGAGACAAGATGTGGATATTTGGAAATGGGCAAGAGAGTTGAGTTGGTGGGTGTGGTTGATTATTGGTTTAGGTAAGTTTGTGTGTGAGTGAGAACTAAAAATTATTTTAAATATTTTTACGAATAATTGATCAATACTATTTCTCAAATTCTTTTTCATCCATAAACGTGTGAAAATTTTCAAAACCACTACACTGCTGACAAATATTTGATGCTTGTGAATGAAACGCACACATGTTTGAAACTACCATGATGATAGGTGTGGGAGCTGTTCTACTGTTAATGTGTTTCTTTGTGGTGTGTTTGTATTGTAGAAGAGTTTACAAAAAACGAGGAAAATGGAATACGACAAAAACCATTGATATTCGAGAAATTGATATTCAACATTAACCATCCTTTGAAAGATGATTTTGCACAATTTCAATCATTCAGAGGCAATTATTCATTTGGTCTGTTCTATTCCATCTTAGATCTGAACTTGGAACTTTTCTTGAACTTATTCCTTTTAACACTGAAGAGAGTGTGCAAACATGATGATTAAAAAAAATTCTCTAAACACCATCATGAACGATCAGCTGTTACAACACTCTTCAGATCAAACCAACACTTCTCTCTCGGTGGCACAGACTCACTTTGCAGCTCGTTTGATCGAATGTCAACTTGTCACTCAAGTCAACCAAAATTTTGTGTATTCTCCCTTTTCGATCTTTGTGGCTCTTCTCATGACCAACATGGGAGCTTCAGGAGAGACTTTGAAAGAACTTTCCAAAGCGTTGTGTCTTTCACCAACATGGTCTTTAAATTCTTCGAATTGAAAAATTTTGTCGAGTCATCCTTGTGGAATTTCATGCAAAAAAAAGAAAAATAATACAACTGAAAATCAGAACAAGACTCTCTCTGTGGTGAATCAAATCTTTCTAGGAGATTGCTATTCATTGAAAGATAATTTTGACAAGGCTTTAAAAGAGTATTTTTGGGCGCCCACAAAAATGTGTCGTTTCAGAGAACAGACAAAAGAGGAAACTGAGAGAATCAATGAATTTGTTTCCTCCAAGACGAATGGTTTGATTAAGAACTTGATTCCTCCAAATGTGATTACGCAATCAACTTGTATGGTGTTGGTGAATGCCATTTACTTTCTCGACAAGTGGTAGGTGCAATTTGACAAGTCTTTGACACGTGAAGGTTTTACATTTAAATATCCAACACAGAGAAAAACAGTCGATATGATGACTCGATACGATGCGGATGGTGTGGAGTATGGTGGAGAGAATTCTTCATACCATTGGGTTTCTTTGCCTTATATAAGAATGAAGAGTTTGAAATGACCATTGTCATGCCACGCTCTCATATCTTAGTATCGACAGAAACGGAAATGGAATTCGATCGGTGGTTTGTTCAGCAAATATTTAGCGCATCAAAGGATTGTTCTCTCAGTGAAATCTTCTCAACTTTTCCAACCACACTCTCGGAACTTGGAATTCCAAAATTCAAAATGGATTTTTCCGTCATGTTGAGTGAGACGTTGCGTCGACCGCCATTTAATATGAAGAAATGTTTAGCACCAGGAGCTGAATTTAGTGAAATGGTGCATGAGAGCTCTAATTTGTTCATTTCTGAGGTGATTCATAAGGCTTACATTGATGTGAACGAGGTAGGTGTCATTTCTTTGAGTGCCACAACAACTCTTAACCAAACATAATGAACAACAACTCTTTTATGATGACCCAATGTGTATACACAGGCCGGCACAGAAGCTGCTGCTGCCACTGCTGTTATCATGATGGATGAAAGTGATTGTGCAGATGATGAGATGGAACGATTGACATTCGTTGCGGATCGACCATTTATTTACATGCTTCGACACAAAAGCTCGGGTAGCATCTTGTTCATTGGAAAATTTAATGGATAAACTCTTAAAGACAAAAACAACTGCAACTTGATTTAATTACAAAAACACGAAAATACGTGCAATCCTAATAACTTCTACCGAACAAAGCCCAACAATTTGGCTTCTTGTGAGCTTCTTCAGGATAAAAGTTCTCAAGACCTTCCAATGATGGGAAGGAAGATTGGTCGAGAGGGACACACAATGATTTGGCAGCTCCTGTTAAACCTGTGTTGGCATCAGATTGACTTTGGACACTTTCCAACTTTGACTTTTCCTTAATATATTCCTCTGCTGCCTTGCTTTCATGCCAAGGAATAAGACACATATTTCCAGAGTTGAGTGCCTTGATGAACTCTGGCCATGTTCTTGTCACTACAATTCTTTCATTCATTTCCTTTCTGGCCTTGTTCAACATGGAGTCATGAATTTTATCAAGAACGGCCTTAATGGAATCACCAGAAAATTCACTGAGTGGCATGGTCCACTTTTCTCCTGTGTCTCTTCTACAGAACATAATTTGTTGCTTTTCCAAATCCTTTGGTCCAACTTCAATACGCAATGGAACACCACGGAGTTCCCAATAATTGTATTTCCAACCTGGAGTTCTCTCCAAACGATCATCCAACTTGACACGAATTCCAGCCTTTTCAAGCTCATTATAAATTTCCTTGGTCTTTTCTACCAAAGTGGCGTTATCCTTGTCCTTGAAGATGAGTGGAATAACGACAACTTGGCAGAAAGCAACTCTTGGTGGTAAAACCATACCCTTGTCATCTCCGTGAACCATAATCATGACACCGAGAGTACGAGTTGACAAGCCCCATGAATTTTGGTAAGCAAATTGTGTCTCCTTGTTTTCAGCTTCGAATTGAATCTTGAACATCTTTGAGAAATTTTGTCCCAAGTGATGGCTTGTACCTCCTTGTACTGCTCTTCCGTTTGTAGCAATGAAAGTTTCCACAGTAGTTGTGTAGTCGGCTCCAGCAAACTTTTCATTTTCAGTCTTGGTACCCTTGATGACTGGAACAGCCAACAATTCTTCGTAAACTCTTTTATATAACTCCAAAATAGTAAAAACTTCTTCATCAGCTTCTTCCTTTGATTTGAAAGCACTGTGACCTTCTTGCCAGTAGAATTCTCTGGATCTAATGAAAGGAACAGCATGTTTAAATTCCCATCTAACAACGTTTGTCCATTGGTTCAATTTTAATGGCAAATCTCTGTGAGATTGAATCCACTTGGCATACGATGGATACATGATGGTTTCACTTGTTGGTCTCAAAGCAATTGGTTCTTGAAGATCCGAATTACCGGACTTGGTGACCCAAGCAACTTCTGGAGAGAAGCCTTCAACGTGGTCCTTCTCAGTTTCCAAAGCTCTCTTGGTAACAAACAATGGAAACATGACATTTTGAACACCCAACTTTTTAATTTCTGCATCAAAGAACTTTTGAACAGACTCCCAAACAAACCAACAATTTGGTCTGAAAATATAACATCCACTCACATCATAGTAATCCAAGAATTCACTCTTGGTGATGACTTGGCTGTACCATTCGCTAAAGTTTTCTTGCTTCTTGACATCAATACCTTCGTTTTGTTTGAGACCAGAAGAAGAACCTTGTTGTTGTTGCTTTGCTGGTTTGGATTTCTTCTCCTTGTTATTGTTGGATGATGCTGGTTGATCGGACATGAGGATGATACTAGTTGATGATGACAATATTTTTTTTGATGGTGAAATTATCCCCTTCTCATTCTCGGAATTATAGATCGCTTAGAGCTCGAGCGCAACTATGAAGTTGCAGTTTGAGGTTCGTGTTGGTAAATGAACAAGATTTTTGAATGCATCTTGCGATGTGTATGATTACACATTTGATCAAAAGACATGCCTAATGATGAAAAGAGTGAACAAAACGTCTTTTTCTTGTACAAATAAAAATTGTAAAAGTCAACCAGTTCCCAAAATGTACAAATTTCGAACCACCTTCAAAAAGCCACAAATAAAAAATGAGAGTACTTAGATCAGTTAACAACTTCGCAAGAAAACTCTACACAAGGGGACACGACGCCCATGCTCATCATGAGGTAAGTTTCAGTGTATTTTCATCACGTTCAAGGAAAGATGATATTCATGATTTGATCTCGTGTTCTATTCGTTATTGTGGACCGTTTGCTCTCTCTTCTCGACACCAACGATCAGCTTGTGGCCTTAAATAACGGCCCTCCATCAAAGAAGGCTGCTCTCATCTTCCTTGGATCGCTCACTGTTGTTCCAACAGTTTTAACTTCATTGTGGTATATTACATACGTGGGAAATCCATTCACCCGAGTGGCTCAAAAGAAGGAATAAAAGAGTCATCTTTCTCTGCCTCTCCTTCATGATCATCCTTAGCGGGTTTTTCATCATTAGGCATGATAATAAATGTAATACTACTGCTGCTAGTATTAGGTTCTTTATTCATTATGTTCATCCTCATTGTCGTCATTCATAGTATTCGGATCGCTGGAGTGGGTGTATTTTGGCTTTTTGCTTTCGGTTTCTTCAAATGAGGCTTGATGAGCTTGCTTCATCACTTCCTTAAGAGCTAGTGTTGCTGCAATTTGAGCAATTTCCTGTTGCCTCTCTTGCTCTTGCCTAAAGTATTCGGTGGGTATTTGGGGACCAACAATATTGCTTGGCTGCTCTTTCCGTATGTTTGTTGTGGTTGAGGCTATGGCCTTTGCTGCTGAGGCTGTTCTTTGAAGACTCGATGTATAGCCGTCCCAAATGATTGGTTCGGAGGAGGAGCTTCCAGTGGTAGCCGATGATGGTGCTCCACCCGTAGCTGCGGGAGTGATATGTGTGTCACTTCCTTCCTCGTTCCATGAAGCAATAATTTTGGTCATCTCAGCACCTGGAGCAATATTGGTCTTTTCTCGTTTCAACTTTTCTCGTTCCTTCTGTTCAAAGTATTGAGGATTAATGGTAGAGACCTTCAAGTGCTTATGGGCTTTATCGGCAGGGATGAGCTCACCTGTCTTTCGATCTACAAGCATGAGAGGAGCTGTTGTACCTTTGGCAGCAGTGCCTTTTTGTGGTTGATAGGAGGCTCTTGCGAATTTGCTGAGGTCAATTTCTTCTTCTTCTTCCTCTTCTTCTTCGTGTTGTGTGACGATGGATGAAGGTGTGCGAGGAACACGCTGCGTCTGCTTCGAGTGTGCAATTCCTTCGTCCATAAAACCTGCTGGAAACATGGGAGTCTCTTCTTCAAGCTCCACCTCCTCTTCATGGTACTGTTGTTGTTCTTGATCATTCTCTGTCATGATCATTCTCTCATCAAGATGTGCTTCCTCTTCTTCCTCAGGATTGTACAAGTCCACATATTCATCCATAGTTTCATCCTCTGCTGCTTCTTCTTCCTCAATCTCAATTTCATTCACATCTTCATCAAAATCAATAGTTTCCACCACAATAAAATCGTTCCAGTCAATCATGTCAAACACAGATTTTTCGTCCTTTTCGAGTTGCTCTCTTCTCTGTTTTTCTTCTTGCATCATCTCCCACTCTGCTTTTTGGAAGAGCAAATCCAGTACAGCCAACTTGTTTTCCGGATTTGCAAACAAGTTTAAATACTTGTAAATGTGATCTTCGTCTTTGACTTTGATAACTTGATTGGTGTCTTGTGTGGATGGATTATTACTCATATTATTGGCATCCTTTTGATTTAATTTCTGAATTTCCATGGGTGTCAATCGGTCAGGAAATAATACTTTGGTATATATATCGACAAGCTTGCTGAAAAAGTGAAAATGTCGGTGATTAGGCTTTAAAAAATCGAATTGTGGATTCTTGCTTTCTGCACTTGCTATTTCGAATTGAAATTGTTTTCCGTTCATGGCCACATATTGTGCTGTTAATTTAATAACATCCAACTCAAAAGCCTTTACAGATGACGGTATTGTAGTATCATAGAAATATTCAAAGGGATCCTTTGTTGGCTTTTCTCGTGATCTATTCAAATGGAATGTTACAGAGGCTCCTTTCGAAATATTTCCAATATTGATGTCTCCCATCTTTTCGGATTTTATCAATCCTTCCTCCGCATCAGCTTCATCTTCTACATTGTCTTCATCCATAAATTCTTCCTCCAATTTCTTAAACTTTTTATCGAGTACATGTTTGTAATATTTGTGATAGGGATTCTCTGGGAGAAGGAAATTAAATGTCGATGCATTATCGGAGGAAAGTAATTTTTTCTCGAAATGCACACCATTCTTTGAGACGTGATCCGCTGTTACTTCAATCGTTCTTTTCAATGAAGGAGGTGGAATGATGATTCCGATTGATTTTTGTGTGGATTGATCATCTGCATGAGATGAAGTAGTATTTGAAGACAATAGTGCCGTTGATGATGGCGGCGCCGTTGTTTGCATCATTTTTTTTAATTTGAACCTCACCCATAAAAATTAAATATTGTTTATTGGCCCTTCGGTGCCTCAATACTTGTCATAAAACAACATTGGACTTCATTTTCGTATAGATACTACTTCTGAATGTCGAATGTTTTTAACAGGATATATCAAATATTAACAGATTACATGCTTGTGTTGAGCAACTGTTAACATGGGTTGAGTCCATGATTCAAACAGAAGGCAAAAATAAAGCAGTGTTTGGTCTGTTAATGCATATGGTTTTCGTTGGTTTGTAAGGTTGAGTCGTCAATTATTGTAAAAAGGTCATGAATAGGTATATATAGTGTTGATGGATATGATATGTTAATAATGATATGTTAATAATGATATCGATTGCCAGCATTGTCTTCAAAGTTCTAAGTCACAACAATTAATAATGTTGAAGGGCGGAGAGCAGTCTTGGATCCAGTATAAGGTGAGATGCTTCTTTCTTGTTCTTACATTCATTACACGTTTCTTATCGAATTGTTGATAGCACTGATCATCATAATACAAATATAGTATCTTGCCTTTTTGTCCATGATTAGTATGATCGTGAAGTTTGTTCTTTTGCTTTGTTTTTCTTTTTGGCTTGGCTTTGTCGGTGGATGATTGTTTTTTAGCTTGTGTGGTCCTTCTTGTTTTGCGAGGTTTGTTCTTTGGCTTGTATTCTTTTTCTTGTTTTGATGGAGTTGGTTGATTCAATGTTGATAATGTATTCTCATCTTTCTCAACTGGTGGATCGTTAGTTTTCTCAACTGATGGATTTTCTCTAAAGGTGATTGCGTCACATAGATGATGTTGTAAAGATTGTAACAAGTGATGCGAATGATCTAATGGCTTCCGTGCCTTTTCTTCGCAATTTCTGTTCTCTTCATTTCGTATATATTCATTAAGTTTGGAGTTTAATTGTTTGAGGGTAGCTGAAATGTAATTCGCTTGTTGTTCAATTCTTTCCAAACGTCTTTCCAGGCTGTGGAGCATGCAAGAGTCAATTCTGATGTTCATCTTGCGGTATTTTTTAAGGGCTCGTCACCCATAAAAATGTTCTCTTTGAATTCTGCCGCCACCTCGGCCTCATCCTTAACATCCTCGCGGAATAAGCAAGCAATACCTTCGTTGGGTTCATTGGCAAACTCTCAGGGTAACGTTATGACGACCGGTGCTTCCTTCTCGAACGATCATCATCATCATGTCATGAATGGAGAGGACAAGAAAAAGTTTATATCCCGATATCAACACACAAGACACAATATTAAGCAAACGAATAAGCAAAATAATTTAGAAGAGATGCAGAAAAAGAAAATGTCGCTGGAGGTTCTTCAAAGTGGATTCAAAAAGATGTCCTCCAATACTAAATCATCCATGTACAACCAAGTGATGGATGAAATCAATGATGAAGATCTGATGAATATTCATCCCGTTTCGACCACAGCTGTTTCATCTGGAAATTCAAATGCCATTCCACCTCCAACATGGCATTCTCATCGCCAGCCGCCTTATTCCTCCCGTTTGAATAACAATCCAATTTCCAGTAATAGAGAACGATCTAGAAGATTCCTCCAGAGCTTGGACATTTTCAACGAGCATGCTGAACAATTCTCTTCAATCAACACCATGGATGTGTTGGCTCCCATACAGGACAAGGTCGAAGAGTTTCAAGAACATGATGACGAAGAGATTCAATCGTCAATAACAGATCTCGATGAACAGGAGCTCGAAAATGAAATCGCAAGCTTAGATCAGCAATTATATGGTTTAAATACTCTCATCAATAACGACTCTTTCAAAAACGACGAACCTCAATTGGACAAGCCTTATTATAATCATGAAATTGAGTCACAACATACACCGAATCCGCAACCGCAACAATATCATAATTCTCCTCTTAAATTGCATGCCGAAAGCCACTTTCAAGAAAATCATCATCCTTCTCCTTACAAAGAGGAAAAGGAAAATCTTTCCAAATTAGATCGCTTGAAAGAGTTGATCGAGTATAAAAAGGAGCTAGATCGGCGAGAAGTGCTGATAGAAAGATTAATTCTTGGACTCAGGAGGGAGAATCAAATGCATAGATATAAATTAAAGGAGGTTGAGAAATTTTGTAATGAGTTTTCTTGGTCGCAGGGTAATTTGCTGGAAGATATTAAGAGGAATCTGTTCAGTGATTCTGGTATTACTTTGCAGAGTTATGATGGGGACCAAAAGCAGCACTCGTCACAGTAGGTAATAACTCCCTTTAAATTGAAACTCTTCAAATAGAGAGCGCTTGGATCGGACATGGTGGCACATACAAATTCAGGCCATTATATCAATTGCCTTGATTTCACATAGGCTCTAAAGTTATATGCTTGCTTGATAATGTGAGGAATAATTCGAAGTAAGCTATTCTCACCATCCTCATTCTCAATTGTATAAATATGATTAAGAAAATATTTGATTTCGCTGTACTCTAACTCCATCAACGTCTCACTGAAATACTGTAAAATTGCTAGGCATACATAAATATGAAGATCAAAATCATGAGTTGAAAAATAAGTGTCCCATAATCGTTTCACACATTCAATTGGAAGCTCTTTCGAGAGTAAATATTTGATCCATGGAAGACACCATTCATTTGGTTCTACTTCCTCATTCTCAAAATATTGATACAGATCAGGTTGAGTGCATTTGAAGAGCGTAATCAGTTTGGCAACTTTAAAAGACACGCTCTCTTTGAAATAGTCCTTTTGAAGAAATATTTCAAAACATCGATACATGTCATGAATGTTCTTCTCAGCATCATTTTTGCCTCCTTGATTTTCCTTTGAGGGGTTATATTTTAAATTAGCATCCATCATGTAAATTGATTCGAATGGCTTTAAAAGATATAACAATTCCTCAATGCTGTAATGTCTAATTTTTGATTGAGTGAGACTTTGTTGGGCGACCGAAAGAATGATATTCTGTTTTGAGTAAACCAATCCAAGTGGTGAAGAACTATTTTGTAATTGTTGTTGCTTCACCGATTGAAAATACATATGCTCTCGTTTCATTTGCTCGGCTTTGTCGGCAGATACAACTCCCAGAAGGTATTTCCAAACAGATGATCTCAAATCATCAGGAACTCCGTGTCGAGACAAATCACGCAATCTCTCTATATCTACATAGGTTTCAGCTTCAATCAATTCTAAAAATTCGTTTTGATTCTCATCAATGATTGTATTAATTATTGTTCCTGATGAAGATGTGCCTTGATTAATATTTGTTGTAGGACTCTGCAATCGATTGATCGGAATATTATTGGAAGATAGAGTTAAATGGGAAACATTGAGTGGAAACAATTTTGCTGACCCATTATTGCTTGCACTCGACAACGCCTGCTGGCCAGCAGCAGAATTGGAAGATGACGGAACCATTGGAGGAGGGCTCAAGGGAGGCATTTTTATTTTGGTGATGGATCCATTTTGATACTACCTCCATGGAGAAGAATGTGAATTTGTCTACAACCAGGATTGAAAATAGAACATCCAAATTTATTTAAATATTATTAATGACCTTTCGCTTGAAAGTAGTTCCGTTTAGATTAATGTTCAAATTTTACCAACCCGAACGAACTTTGATTAAAAGACAAGTAACTCATTGCAGGCAGCTCCAAAACCTTAATTGTTTTTCAACATAATCATTCCACATCAAGACATCCCAATCGTAACAATAGATAATAAACACTTGTTGTCGAGCATTGTAAGCAGAGCATCCGTCTGCCCATACATAAGCGCGATGCTTACTAGTATTTCCAAACAGCTCTTCTTTCATTTCGAAATTAACTCAATACTCAGCTTGTGTTCGTCCAGAAAGTGAAACAACAAATCCGAGTCGGAGATGTTGGGTATGTCAATGATCCTTGATTGTGCGATTGGAAGGTTACCTTCTTCGATCGTCACAGTCAATCTTCCAACATCCTGTTTTGAAATGCTCCAATTACTCTGAGTGTACAACATTAGATAATTTTGAAAATCAACATGATTTTTCTGTCGATTGACAAGTCAATTCCTGTTGAATAGTTTGCGCTTTGTGTCCCCAGTTAAAAAGATTCAAAAATGAAATTTCATTCATCATCCCTTTTTTCTTGAACTCCAACGAATAATTTAAAATTTTAAATCCGTAAATACATCGATCTCCTTCTGTACTCTCCAGTAAATTATGTAAATGCTTATTGACGCGATGTATCATACATATTGAACTCATGTCAAGGAACGTTGTCATCACCACATAGAAAGCCATAAAATCCTTGCATTTTTGAAAGTTCACGCAGTTCCAGAAATACTATTCAAAAACAAACTTCTAAAGGTTCATCATGTATGACACCATTTATTCTTCATCCTCTTCGGGTTCCTCTTCAACTGCTTGACCTCCTAAAAATTGATTCAAGTTTATAACTGCTCCACTCCAAGGCAATAAAGATTCCAAAAAGTAAAGGAATGGATTTCTTCTTGAGGAACTGCTGCCTGTAGGTGGGTTGTTGACATTTAAATCGGGCAAAATTTCTCCAAGCACTTCCTTTTCGTAAACAATCTTGTAGTTACTTGTGAATACTGCATGTTGATAGCACATTTCTCTAATATCATCAAAGTGCTTCTGTGCGGATCCTCCTTGATTTAACATCTCTTCAATGTTGAACTTGAGCCAATCCAATACTCCGTCATCTTTCCAAAATTCAGAGTTTCTTTTGGCGTAAGCAGAAAGTAATTTGGAGAATATTGGAGAGGTACATATCTTGTTGGTAAATATTGTGTTTCGAATTAAACTTTCAAATTCTCCAAATCTAGTCGTCTTAATTTCAGTCAACAACAACACTACAACCATTGGCCAAGTTTGGAGAGCTTGCTGCAAAACTTCATTGGCTGTCGAAAGTTGATTGTCATGCCATAAACTCAAAGCTCTGCTGTACATTAAATTTGGTAAATATTGTAATTCTTCTTGTTCTTTCATGATAAAGTTTTCGGTTAAATCTCTGTAAACATATTTGAATTTACGAATCCTGATGGCATAGTAATCAATAAATAGAAGAACGTGCGCTGGATCAGCAACATTGATGGAGCTGTTTGTGAGTGGGTCGCAGGAGAGTGAAAAAAGCACTCTACTCAAATCAAATGCGGTGTTGTGAGCGCCGCTTCTCGCTAAAGCATGAATTCTGCATAGAAGTGACAAATAAATAGCCTTCACAATATCTTGTGATGAATCCAGCCTACTGGTGCCTTTCATGAGACCATTAACAAATTGAGGATTATTCAACACATGCTGAATTGCAAACAACGCTCTTTCGTTGAGATCCTGAGCTTGATCGTTCTCACGTTGCATGGTTCTGAACACTTCGCTCATTTGAAGTAACGTATGAATGTGATATGGATGTACTTGCTGCAGAATATAAATAAAACTATTTGGATCATTACTCTGGAGGGCTCTCTCATATTGTTCTTGAACTTTGCCATAGAGACCTGTGGTGTTACCTGTGACAGTTTTTTGCTCTACCACTTCATAAACTTCGACATTGTTTGGCTTTGTGCTCTTCAATTGCACTGTCAAATAAAGAGATCTATACATGGGCCAATGAGGTTTAGATGTCACAAATAAATTTAGCATTACGTCATTCTTCTTCTTGCCAATCACAACAGATCTCTTTCCGACAAAATGAGGGTTATTTCTCAATACTTTAGGAAGTTGTTCTTCATAGTCAGCGCTGACAGCAGCTTGTGTTTGAGAGACGGCACCACTTCCGAAAATTTTCTTGAATTCATTTTCAGGATTGAGTGATTTGGGATCCGATACCTCAAATAAGCTGAAGGTATTTTTCAGAGATGACGATCCACCCGTTATTTTGTTTTCATTTTCTTCCAGGCCCAATTTTTGAATTTGTTGTTGCAAGAATTCTTCATCGGTTAGATTTTCGTCCTTCTTCTTGGTGCTCTTTTTCTTCTTCTTCTTCTTTTTGTTTTTAGGATTTGCAGTATTCACTGTGGATTCTTCGTTGTCATCGTTCAAATTTGTTGATTGTTGTTGCTGCTGATCAATCATTTCCTTTATATCATCACCATACATTTCATCAATATTCTCCTCATTTTCTTCCTCCTCTAGCAAGGCAAAAGCGCTAAATGTTGATGTTTGTTTTGTTGTTCTTTCATCCTCATCCAATTCCGATGGTGTTTGTTGCAATTTTGAAGAAAGAACCTTCTCCTCCTTTTCACGAAGAAGCTTTCTTGCTTGTTTCATTTTTTTGTAATATTATTATTTATTGGTTTAATCAAGAATCAATTTCACGAGTTGTTTTTGAAATTGAAGGTTTGCATGATACAAATTGTAAAAGTTGTGGGATTGGATCATGGTTAGTGACCGGCGAGAGAACTGTATCGTTCTCGTTGAGCTTGTCTTCTGTAATAACAAAAACTCATGAATCCTCCAATGCAAATGACAATAATTAAAAACATCAATAATGCAATCAATGATACCAAGACAATGATATTCTGTGTTTGATCCAAAATATTTGTACACAAGGGAGGAGATGGATAAATGGGTTTCGAAGGTTTTCCACAATATTCTTTGGCAGCTAAATATCTCAATGATTGTTCATCGTCATCAGGTGCCTCTGGAAAGCATGATGTGAACACTTCTCGACACACTGAATCACAAACATCATACGGTTTTTCATCTTTAAAACATCGCTTGTAATTGGAAGAACAGATAAAATTGAGAATGGAACGATTGCAAGCAGGAGAGGTGTCGTTGAGTGTGAATTTTTGATGAATTTCGACATAGAATCGTTCGAACTCATCGGAAATGTGTTGTTCCATGAGAGTATAATTGGGATATCGTGGATCGAGAGTTACATTAAATCCAATGAATCCACACTTGGTTGATGAATAGTCAGGAAGTGTGATGCACAAGGTGGAGTTTTGAGAATCGTTTTTAGTGGCAGAAATTGATTGTGGGATGAGAACGAGTTCAAGGTCTCCCGAAGAGTGTTGTTGTGGTGTAAATATTGTTGCTGAAGATGATGAAGACATGACAACTACAACCATCACAAATGCTATTATGGCTGTCATCCGAACGATCGGGATGTGAGTAGCTTTTCGAAAAGACTCTTTCAGTTCCGTCATTTTTAATGGACAAATTAAAATTAATTTGTATTTCGACAAAGCTTCTATGCTGCTTCCTCAAAGTCAGAACTCAGTGAGCTGAACGAGGAATCAGAGGATGAGGAACGTGAATGTGAGGATCGTTGAGAAGGAGGAGAAGATTCGAGATGAGTGGCTCTTGGGGTGGTAGCAGCAGTAACATTTTGGTGTGTTGTTGAAGGATTGTTGGATTTCACTGAGGGTTTTGGCGAAAATTCGTCATAAGGATCAGTGTAAGAGAATGAAAAATCGTGATGATCTTGAAGAGAGGAGGGATCTGCTGTTTCTTTCTCATCTCTTTCAGAGTACTTTGGTGATGGAGGATAAACTTCATTGTTAGGTTCATGGGGCGTTCCAAGGTGTGAATAAACAGTGTCGCTCATGTGTTGACATTTCTGCGTTTCGAGTGGAGGTTGTTCTGTTGCGAGAAGTACAGGCTCAATACTATCGTTGCATACTTCCTCGACTTTTTCAATTCGTGACAAATCAGCAATTTGGTGAGAATCAGTTGTGCTTTGATCAGCTAAGGAAGGATTAGAAATCGTACTAATTTCGGATAGTGAGGTCTGTTGATAGGCAGCATTGGTGTGGAATTCTGTGCTGTGTTTTATGGGCTCCTTTTCGCTCTCCTCTCCAGATCCGTCATAATGATTATATGGAGGATCTTCTGTTTTTAAATAAATATTAGATTCGAAATGGCGTGAATGATTAAGAACGACATATTCAATGGTGTCATCCGTTGCATCAGAGGCATAGTCATGATCGATGTTATTTTCTTTCTCTTCCTTGTTTGGATGTTCTGCGTTATCCACTAATTTTTCAGATTTGGTTGTACCCTCAGAAAGTGTGTCTGTTTTGTCGAGAGTAATCATTTGCTTTTGAGGAGATATTTGGTGTGATAATGACAATTTTCCACTCAACCCAAAGTAAGACACTACATGTTGCGGATTTTCAGTGAATATGTTGCGGATTTTCATTTGTTGCTGCAAACTCAAGTCAAACTCTCCCTCCGCAACGTTTAAGACTGTTATAAACTTGCCCTTCTTAATTAAGGTGAACAAGAAAAGTTTTGTTGCCTTCTCATTTTCTTCTTCCTTCAAAATAATATTTTCGAATTTTGTCAATTTCCTCTCTGCACTTAAAGCTTTGTCAGCCATTTTCAGTTTTTGTTTTGTGAGTGGATATGTTACAGTTGAGGCTAGAGATGGATTTTTCTTGTCTTGAACTTCAAGCATCTTGTCAATACTCTCATAGTACAAACTTGGAACGTTCGCAAGCAACGGATGGCCTTTATAAGGGAAAATATAAGGCGCAATTTCACTGTAGTCAACAAATTCCAAGTCATATCTCATCTTGAGTAAATAATTTGAATGTTCCATAAATCTGAATGGGTAGTCCAAGCTCAGATCTTTCCTCCATTTGTCGATCAGCTCTACAACTTTTGTTCCGATATGCTGAAGAGCTTTTTTGAAGAAAGAGGGCCTCTCTTTGAACAAACAGTAAAATTCCTGGATTATTCTCTTTGAGATTGTGAAAATCGTCAATAAGACAGCACATCTTCTCTAAAATTTGCTCTCTATGTCTGATTGCATCAGTGACTTCAATTGTTCTTCGTTTGTGCTTTTCAAGAAGATCAACAACGGTAGAAAGTTGATGAAGATTATTTGTGCTAAATTCTGTCCCGTAGGTGTTCATAAAATACTCTAAATCAATGATTGGTAATTTCATTATGTGAGCCAATCGTTCAAGTCTAGTTTTCAAAAATCAACATTTTGGTAAGTAATTTTAAGCTGGAACTAATCGACTTACCTCCTCTTTTGTTTTGTAAATTCATGATGGAGCTCTTCCTCGTTGAGTAAGATTGCTTTTTCATCTTTCAATGAAGCATGTTGATGATACAAGGTTGGATAGTCTTGATGATGGATACCATTTTCGGAATTTGTTGTTGTCCCTTTCTGAGTCATTGGCGTTGTTGGGCTTGATAACTTTCTCTTTAATAATTCACTCCTACTTCCCGAACTTGCAGTTGAGGGAGGCGCTTGCTGTTTGTTGTTGTTTGATAATGATGTCGGATTCGAAGAATTACTGTTACTCTTCTTGTAATGTCTCACGGGCTGCGAAAGGGGCCTCTTGGCTGCCGAGTGGTTATTATTTGAAGAACCAGCTGCTGAAGTGGTGCCCAACGATGATGACGACGAAAGAACTACTGCCTTTGATGAAGATGCCTCGTTCATAACTCCCCTCCGATTCAAAGATGAGGCTGTAGATGGTTTAGCGAGGGAGGACCGTGTGGCGCTCATTTTTCTTTCTGGCCTCCATATCAACTACAAGTTTCTCTTGTTCATGATTCTGGAGTGGCGTCTCGCTAAATGGGAGAGAGATCATGAAATGTTTGATTGAACCTTTATGAGAGATAGCTGCAGCTGGGTTTATTGAGAGGACATGTTAGTTGTTAAAATTTCGTAATTCCATTCTGGTCCACCTCAGCAATTAATAGGTTTTTATGAGAAGCTCTCGCGAGCAACATCAAGAAGGTGGCAACTTTCATTTTGATCCACCTCCATGACACCTTCATCGAGTACCTCATGAGCATTACAATTCGTGTCATCTCAGTTCCAGTTACATGGTTGGTCCTTCTGTTGAAGGTGAATGTCAAATGTCAAGAAAATCCAGAAGTACTTACCGTCTCCGCCATCGCCACCAAAATCGTCATCATCCAAATAATCTTCGTCATCGTCGAAATGTGCATAGGTATAGTCAGCATCTGCATCTTCCTCTTCTTCTTCTTCAGCTTCATCAAACAAATTTTCTGCAGTTTCGTCTTCGTCAATATCTTCTCCAAAATCATCTTTTTGTTGGAATAATTTTTCTAGTTTTTGAACAGTGTTTTCTTCAGAAGTTGCAACTTTCTTATAGAGTACTTGTAATCTTTTCTTTGAGGGTTTCACAACAAGTTCTGAAGGGAAAAAGTCTCCCTTTATACCTAGGGCGCTCAACAAAGGATCTTTCTTTTCGTCCATTGCTGAAGGTGTTTGTGAATCAATATAATATGGAGAGTTTCTAATTCTTAACCTAGATGCTCTTAATTGATCGATCATGTGGTGTAAAGAGTTGCTTATTGGCTTGCACTTTTGAATAGTGACATCTGTCGGATAAAGCGGAGGAGCTATTGACTTTTTTTGTGCTAATAATTGATATTGAGAGAGAACTGGTGGTTTCTTAGCAACAGGTGTTGCTGCTGTAGTTTTATCTCCTAAATATTCCAAATGTTTAAAGAAGCATTATCAAACAAGATAATAACAAAAAAAATAAATATTATAATAAAATTAAATCATCATCATCACCAATACAATGTTAGATGACACATCCAAATACGCATAGTTATTAACAATTTCCAGATACAAGTTGAACAATCACGATCAACAATCCCGAAATATGAATAAATTATTTTCATTTTGAATAGGATTGAACCGTAATGTTCTCAACACAAACCTGTTGTTGCTGTTCCGGTCGTAGTAGTCGTGCCACCCGTTACAGGTGTTGCTGACGCTCCTCGATTCGAACCACCACTCACATTGCCTGTATTCACACTCGGACTAGTGGATGAAGCTGGTGTGTTCTTTCTTCCTCTTGGTGGCATTTTTTGAACTTTAGTTTTCCCACAACAACAAATTGCACTTAGTTTCAATGAACATTTATCAAGTTGAAAACATGGTTTGTCAAATTAACTCTTCTTCATCACGATACCTGGTTCACCAACCAATGACGATGCTAGGTCGGTGTCCTTTTCGGTTCGGAAGATATCATTGACTGAGAAATAAAAAATGACAACAACCTCGTTCAAACACGCTCTCTCTCAGGCCTATGAATTCTTCTCTTTCTGCTTCTATGGATTGTATTTGCTCGTGTGTGAGTTGGAGCTTCTCACCAAATTCAAATCCATGATTCCGTTTGTGGGAGAAAAGGCTAAACCTCTCATTACCACACTCAATGAGATGATTAGTGGAAAGATTGAATTAGTGAAACCCACCTCCGATCAATATTATGTAGTCACTGGAGCCAACTCGGGAATTGGATTTGAAACAGCAAAAACATTGGCTTGTGAGTTTGGATTCAATGTTATTTTGGCATGCCGTTCCGAAGAGAGAGGTAATGAAGCAAGAGAAAAGATTCAACGAGAACTCGATAAGAAAAATTCAAAGGTTTCTCTCAAATTTATGAAATTAGATTTATGCTCATTGGATAGCGTGAAATCTTTTGCTGACAAATTAAATCAACAATTCAAGGTGAAATGTCTTATGAATAATGCTGGCGTGATGATTCCTCCTTATGAGCTCACAAAGGAGGGTCATGAACTTCAATTTGGATGCAATTATTTGGCACATGTTTTGTTGACCTTATTGTTGAAAAACAATTTAGTTGAGAATGGACCTGACAGTAGAATTGTTTTTGTTTCTTCTGAAGCTCATCATCCAGGAACAATTCATTTTGAGGACCCTGATTCTAAGAAGAGAAGATACAATCCATTCGATGGATATACTCAATCCAAGATGGCTCAAATAATGTTCACTTATCATTTTGATAAGTTACTGAAAAAGGAGGGATTGGCCGACCGTGTGAGTGTGAATTCTATTCATCCAGGAATTGTCGCAACAAATATTGGAACTCACTTGTGGTTCCCTTTCAATCATGTCTTTAATTTTGGAATTAAGCTCCTTGCTCTGACACCCATTGAAGGAGCAGTTAATCAAATTTACGTTGCATGTGCAAAGGAGTTGGAAAGAATCTCTGGCAAATATTTTGTTCATTGCAAGCCATCAAGGAGTAATGCAGAGAGTTATGATCCAGAGAAAATGACCAAGCTCTACGAAATGTCTCTTGAAATTCTCAAACCATGGTTGTAAATGAAAAAGCTTTCAAAAGGAACCATACATGGACGAAACGCTGTTCTATAAAATTAACTATAATTCACACAACGACCGTACTGTAAAGACTGGCGCCTTTGCAGAAATCCAACGTGCCTCACAAGTCATCGGAAGAGTTGACAAAGTTTTGAGACGGAAAAAAGAAAATAGACGCAGGTTTAAATTGAAGTATAAATATATTCAAATTCATATTTAAAATTGAACCTTATTTCGGAGTCTCACAAGAGTGATAATCAACAACAAGACTCTCCGCAATGCATTTCGTGGACGCTTGAGTCAATTCTCATTCTTTAATTGACAACAAAAAAATGGACAAGAAACATCTCGTCATGGATTCAATCTTTGATTTGAATCGAATCACAGCTGAAACTTGCTTCCCGGAGCTCTTGGAATTACACGAAACCAAGAATGAGAGTTTGTACTCCTTCCGACCCGATGTTGAAGCTTTAACCATGCCCGACCTCTACTATGTCATTAAAGATGCCATCCTCCCATCAACCTCTACAACCACAAGAAAACAACAAGAAAATAATGATGTAGGTGATAAGAATGGGCGTGGAAATTGCAATAAAACTGGTGAGGAGTACTCTCTCGCACCTATGGAGTTAATGAATGTCATTCGGGAGCAAGCACATAACACTCCAGTGTATGTGTTTTTACCTGATTATGAGAGTAAAAACAGTACCAAACGTTTGGAAAAATTTAAAGAGTATTATAGCGAGTTGCCGTCAAGCTGGTATGAAATGTGTTATGGCATGTGTGCCGATTTGGAGCATTGTATGGACCAAAATGAAAATTATTTAAAATATATAAGGAAATTAGAAAATGAATTCAATTTCAAGGAAGAGTTATTGGATCGAGCTGTGAATGGAGAGTCTGTTGTGTTGGCAGAAGGTTCTGATTTTGTTCTAAAAACTCTTGACACTCCTCAGGAAGCTGTAGAAATTGCAGAGACATATATTGAAGCATTTGATTCATTTCTCTTAGAAGAGGAAGAATCTGAGTACTATTTGGACTACCCTACGAAATCTGAATTCTATCATTGGTTGGTTGTGAAACAAAATGGAAAAGTAGTTTCTTGTGGTCAATTAATCAAAGGTAGACATTGTGCCTCCCTTTTTACAGTTGTGACACGTCCAGGAGCTCAAAAAAGAGGTTTTGCAACACTCATCGTGTCACTATTAATGAAGATTGCAAGAATGAGTGGATACAAATATTGTGTATTGCATGCCACTCGTTTAGGGAAACCAATTTATGAGAAATTAGGTTTTGAATATCTTTTTGACATGCAAATTCTTGAGGTGACAGAAGAGGCCAATAATTTTGTGTACAAGACCAAGGGTGTTTTGGGGTTGAATGATTTGGATTTTAAACACAATCATCCTTATCAATATTATGCAAGGACTAGTTTGTTGGCATCTGGAGCTTTGGCGTTGACAGCAGTTGGAGGCTACTCGTTATACAAGTGTGTATCGTCTTGGTTTTCATTGAATTAAGGTTTTGATCTTTTCGTCCAATTCCTTTTTCTTGTTGTGAGTCGCTTGTTGGGTGATTTAGGTCTCCTTCAATGGAACAACTTACATGAATCACTTGAATTCTTACTCGTGGTTGAATTTTTAAATATGCTGGAATTATAAGAGTTTAATTGATCTTGGAAAATGAAGAATTGGACGATCGAACAAGATATCTTTAATGTTTTTAGAAAGGAGGTTGGCGCTTGTTCGAATTTGGTTTGATTAGTTTTTGAAGATAAACATATTTTTACATCAAGCAAAAAATGATCATCAGACTCAACAAGACTCTTCTCAATCGCCAATCGCAACAGAATGAACCAAAGGTAAGAAGAGATCAATTTGAATTCGCGTTCTATTCTTTAACAATAACTTTCCATTCTGATTAATGATGAATTTTTTCAATGTATAAAAACATGGTTTATAATTTGCTAATGTTGGATCATCATGATCATCTTTTTAACCCGATGCCTTTTCTTCAAAAATTATCACATATTAGGATGGATATATCAAAGGCGTTAGCCAGAAAATTGTGGAGGCAAAGTCTGAGGATGTATCAAAAGTCATCAAGCAAATTATTGGTGAGCAAGAATCCCGTGAAGCGTTGGCTGTAGCATGTAACAAGGTAAGTTAGAAGACTTTCGGGATTTGTTATTGTTGATAAATCGAGTCTGATCATCATCATCAGGTTGATCTATCACAATGGATTGATGTGTTGAACAAGTTTGATGAAATTCTTGAGAAAATAATTGCAAAAAGTACCATATTATTGTTTGGAGACAAGAGCAAAAAGCATCACAAGCAAACACCAACAAAGGACATCAAAACCTCTCAAAAGACTCCGAACGTGGATTTGATTATTTCTATTTTAGAATTTACCAACATCATTCTTTCCCAGTGTAAAGTTGGCATTATTTCATACCATTCTTTGGATGTAAGTATTTTGGTATTCAACAATGTATAACTATCAAGTTTTCAATAGAGGATATCTTCTCTTCTCAACTCTGAGAATTTAGATATTATACACTTGTCTCTTAAAATTGTCCATACACACTTCAAGAAACGTACTGCTCTTAGTGATAGAGAATTTCTTTCAATGGAACTAGCAAGGAAGCTCACCATTTTTACCAAAGGTTATGGAGAAAACACAATTCAATATTGTTATGAGGAAAACCTGCCAAATGATGTGATGCAAGCGGGTACAACTCTGAACTTCAGCATTTTTCAGGAATATTTGGATCAAGGCAAACAACATCAACCACAACCGACCGATTTCGTTGAACAGATAACAATACCGGATGTGAAAAAAGCCGCTCCTGACGCGTTGAGTCTGTTCAATGATCTCGTTAAAAAGGAGGGTTCCAACGCTGGTAAATTATTACCACCAAGAAAGTTTGAATTGTGGACAAATATTCGTTTAGCTTATGCATTCTACAATTTAGAAACAAGAAAAAAGGCGCTTATTTGCCGTTTGATGGCTCTTGCAGTCACTGTTGACATTTCTGACAAGAATATGGATATCGTAAAAGAACTAACATCATGCTTTGAAAAGGATGAATCTGGAGTTTTGAAGCTACCAAAAGAAATTGCCATTGCCTCCTATGATCTTTTTTCCGCTTTTTTAATTCTGCACAAATCGAAATATCAAGCATTGACCATTCAGTCCTTAATTACCCATGGAACATCCACATATAATGGCCTTATTCAAAGATTGTTGGGCAAAATCACAAAGAAGTTTCTTCATGACTCAGATCAACACCATGAAGATCTTCTTGACGACAGAAATTATTTAACCGCTGCTCTTGATTTACTTGTTACTTTAGCGAGATTGCCCATTGGAACCCAAGCTCTTCACGAAACAGGTTTGACGTCTGATATCATTAACTTGCTTCAATCCAAGTCTGACTTTGTAGTTATGAAAGCCATATGTATGGTAGAGCTTTTTACCGATCCTAAACAAAGGTTCTCGTCATTACCAACTATACTGACTGATACACTCAACGTATTCTCTGACCTAATGGCGATTGCTATCCCAAAAATAAGCGAAATAGAACAAGCATATCCTGAACGAAAGCCAATTGATGTTTCTAATTTTGCAATTTATGAACTCTTAAACGTTTATCAAGTTCCAACACTTTCGGCATGCTTACGAATTTTCGAAATACTTTGCTCTCATCATAACGATTTGAACATTTCTGAACTATTTGAGACAAAACACATTAGTGAACTGAATCAAATTTTGGAGAATCACTTATGGTTTGGTCCTTCTGTATTGTATAACGTAATATCCTTACTTACTAGACTTGCCAGTAGAGAGCCAACTCAAATTCCAGCAATTAGAAATAGCGGAGCATTTGAAAAGACTTTACTCTTGATAAAGAATGGAGTTGCCCCATATTCAAAGGTTCTGATTTCCGTTCTTCCGTTCCTTTCAGAACTAAGTTTAAATACTGAATGCCTTGAAATTATTGAGAAAGAGCAAATTATTCCTCAATTCCTTCAGGTATTTTCCAAAGAAAAGTATGGAACAATTCTTTCAAAAGAATATTCAGGCACCATTGGCAAAGGTCTTCTGGATTTTATCAAGTCATACACCTCTACACGCGAAAGTAACATCAATGCTGTTGTTTCTGTGTCTAAAGCTTTGCTTTCCAACATTGAAGACGAAAAAGTGGGTGACGTTGAACAATTGACAGAGACCGGAATGAATTTAATTAGTTTAGGAATCAACTTTTTGGCATTTGTAGCCCAAGTCCTAACCGACAAAGAAAACTCAACTCAATTCTTAGAAAAAGGAGGTCTACCTGTTCTTACAAACCTCTTAGATCGAACACTAATTCCTAATCCAGAAAAAGTTATTGATTTTTCCAGAATATCAACTCCCTTCCAAGTGATAGCAAAAACCAAAAACTCTCAAGTTCTCGATACATTTACAGATCTTCTCATTCAAAAGTTGCAAATACTCAAAGATGATGTGAAATTGGACGAGTTTTCTCATTTGAGGGCAGTGTTTTGCATTTCCAAGATTTTACCTATAATGATCAACGTCTTTAAAGATCCAGACGAACTGTTCCTGAACACTTGGAATACCAAGGGTAAAGATATACTTGTTCCATTGGCAAAGATTGAAGCAAAACTAAGAAACTACTTTGTTTCACAAAGAAATCAAAGAATTTCTGATCGACTTTCCGTTCAAAAGAAATTATCAGGAAAATACGACGACAAACCAGCAGAATCAAGTAGCACTGAAACAAAACCTCCTGCAGTTGAAGAAACAGCAGAAGACGCAAAAGCTCGCACACATAGAACTTTTATTTCCTCAACCGTATCCAGCTACTTAAAGCTCGTTACTTCTTTGCACGAAACAATGCAAACAGCCATTTTCGACATTATGAAAAGTCCCTCTGTTATTGCTGTCACCGAAGCTAAAAAGCTTGCGTCAATCTTAACCACCAATTTTGGAGTGGCATTAGAAGAATTCGGCTCATTTAACAGTACATGGCAAGACAGAATTGCATTATTACAAAGCATATTTGAAAACATCTCATCCATCATGATCAAGGAACGATATAGAAATTTGAACAGTCTCATTCTTAGCTCATTAATTGAAACCAAAACACTCAATGTGATGTTGGATCATTACTCCAACATGGTGCAGATTGTTCTCGATCAAAAAATTTCGTATGATCAAGCACCATCTATGAATGATATTGTCAAAACTATTGAGTACACCTTAAGCGACGAGTTTGTTTCTCAAAATTTTTTGACCAGTACAACAAAGTTTTTGTTGAGAATCACCTCGCTTTCATACATTTCAACATCTCCTGTCACAAGAGGAGTTAGCACAGCCACCACATTTGACATATCTGAGCTTCTCAAAAAGACTCAACAGACTGTTGCCACTTGTATCTTAAAGATTTGGAAGCATTCTAACATTGACAAATCTCCTAGTGCGTTCCTCAAGGGTATGATCAACGTTATTGGCCAAATCATTAAGGGGGTAGAATCCTCCAAAACTCCCACTGCCACCAAAGAAAAAACTGAGACTGTGACAGAAAATGAGTCTTTGGTACAACAACTCATGGAAATGGGATTTCCAGAAAAACAATGCCGTGTTGCCCTTAGAAAAGCTAACAATGAGTTAATGGTAGCCATGGAATGGATATTCAACAATCCCCAAGATGCATCTGAACAAGAAGAGGAGTTAGAAGAAGAGGATGAAATCAGTAAGGCCATCAAATTATCTATGCTCGAATCTGGTATGGAAGATGAAGAGCAAGCCAAGGATTCGGTTATTGTGTTAGAGGAGGAGGCCAGCAACTGGCTGCTTTCAAAGTTATTTATTCCTGACATTGGTTTTGCCTGTGTTGATGTTCTAAGCCTTTGCATCCAAAAGAATGAATCTCTCAAGGACTCTTTGGTCAACCTTTTAATGGAAAAACTGAACCAAGATATTACCGAACAAAAGTCAAAGCCTAGTACTCTTGGTGTTATGAGAGCAGTTTTAGAGTATAGTGAAGAGTTCAAGAACTTGATATTGTCGAAAAAGAATGAGTTTATGGGATTGTTGCTCAAAATTGGAGAAGGACAACTCAAACTTGATCCAAAAGAACCTCAAGTTAAGGAAACTTTGATATCCTTGTTTACGCTCTTCGTTGCAATAACCCAACAGAAAAAGCTCAACGATATTTTCTCAACCAAGAAAGAAAAAATCACAACAGAAAGTCTAGTTCAACAATTGCAAGTTTTTAGTCTTGTAGAGGAGGAATACAACAAGTTGTTAGACATTTGTTTATCGGTTTTGGAGAAAGAAGATTATCATTCAGTGACACTTTTAGGGCCTGTTATGAATGTTCTTTCAAACTTATCAAGTAAGAGTAGAGATGTTGCAACAAAATTGCTAAAACTAAATATTGTAGAGAAAATTTGCTCAATCAAAGTTTCGGACGTTGGAGGCTCCAAAGTTTTTAAGATTGCTGATTATACTGTTGACATACTGGAAAATATTATTTGCAACGATGAAGGTAACCTCAGAATGGCATTCAAGTATAAGCTCAAATCAAAATTCAATATGCTTTCGACTTTGAGAAGTGTAACAGTCCAAGCATTTTTGACAGAGGTATCTTCCTTGATAGAGAAAAATCCTGCCGTATTTTTCGAGGTTGTAAAAGAAAATTTCAAAATTCGTTCAGGTTCTAGAAACATTGAGCTCAAAGAGCCACCAAAGGAAAAAGAAACTCAGGACGCCCAACCAGCAAGTGCTACCAATGAAGAAGAAAAGAAGGAAGAACTTCAAACTACACCAGTAGCTTCATCGTCAAAAACAAGTGCACTAATTCGAGATGAGAGCACTCCTAATGCTGTCATGACACTTTTACTGAACCAATTGATAAAATCAGAAGACGACAGCAAATCTTCCACTACTGCCACTCCTACCAATCCTACCCCTGTTCCTGCTTTGACTAGAGGAGAATTAGTTTCTATATTAACTCAAATAATGGCCTCGTATGACTGTTTTGATACGGTTCTACAATTTGAACATGAAAAGCTTTACTCGTCCATGAGCGGAGAAAACAAATTCCTGTATTTTGCTTTCACTACTTTGCTTCCATCCACCATTCAAGCCAATAATTTAATAACTGAAATTTGTGCTAAGAAACCACACGTTGTGTTCCTTGAGATGGTTAATGTATTGACCTCAATTTCAGAAACAGATTTCCTTGTATTGAAAGGCATTTGTGACTTTTTAACTAGACTTGTCAAAACACAAACATCACAGCTCGCCAACATTGCCCTTCTACTCGAGAAATATGACATTCTCAACGTGTTGTCTCAGTGTTCCAACAAATTATCATTGGACCACCCATCAGCCTCTTCTACTGTAAATTATTTGTTAAGTACGATCGACATTTGTCTTAAGGCAACTGGAGCTTCAAAGAGAAAAGATGTAGAGACCACCGAAATCAACTCTCTAGAATTGACACAAGTGCGTACTTTGGCTGAAGAAAGAGCAGGTAGTACATATTTAATCTCTGGAGACTCTTTCAGGTCAAGAATGAGACGATATGATGACGATGTTGATGAAGACTCTGATCGTCTTGATCAGATGATGTAGTCCAAATTAAAAAAGTTGTTTCCCTTTTGCTACTATTCATGTCATTATAATGCAGATTGACGACACACTCGAACACAACCTTTCACACTCAATCATTGAAGACGATTCTTAGCGATTGGAGTTTGGTGCTTATTAGGGATCTAAGCATGTCATAAACTAGTGTTCTCAAACAGAATTGGTGAACATGTACCTCATCTTGCTTGAAGAACGAAATAATCTCTTATCAAAGCAGTCTTTATTACTATGAGATTTCATAGTGCTTTGTTGAAGGTATCATACTATTGTGCCGTTTAAACGTAGATAGTGAACTAGTTTCGTCTTCCTCAGCTTTGGGATTGGTATGGGATGTCAGAGAATTCTTTTCCTCTGGCGGCATGTTATGTATAAAAACTCCACCAATCGGTAGAATGGGATTGGGTGAATGTTCGTTTAAAACTGCCTCGTTTAACCACTTTTGTACACTTAGATATTTGTCTCCTTGCTCGGAAAAAGAAATTTTGAAATCGCCATTGGGTGATGGCGATGCTACATTATTTGAGTTTGTTGTTGGATTAGCAGTTTTCTTTTGAGCTTTGCTGTCATCTGCAGGTTTGGAATTACCTTGAATATTTGGATTGCTTGGATCCGTGATGTTGTCTTTTGTTGAAGTTCTAATTACTTTGTTTTCTCCTGTCTGCTTATCATCTTCATGTTTTGTGAGATCCGTCCGAGTTTTCTCCATGGGCTGTTTGTCAGTAGGATGTTGTGTCGTTTTCGTTGAAGAAACATAGAGCTTTTTCGTTTTTCCATCGTCTTGAGAGGAGGCTGGCTCCAGCGTGGTTGTCCGAATGTTTGAAGCACAAATGCCCATCTTGAATGAATGTTATACTGATTGTTATTATTATTATTAATAAATAAATTGGAAGGAGGGATGAGGAGGTTTGGAGGGATTTAATCGAGGATGAAGGAGAAAACAATGGCGTTATTTCCATGCAAACTTTTGTTTCAGACCTGAATCAACAACACAACAGATCTGTTGGAATGTAATCGTTCTGACGATGATGATGGTGAAGCAATTCTTGATGAAGATGTTTGAAAAAGAACTCTAGTCGGAGCGAAAGAATAAATTTCGAAAACTGTAGTTTTATGCGATTTTTTTGAGGGAAGGATCAGCAACATCTACAGCAAAAGGCACAAAAAAAAAAGAAGAGATATATTTCTCTCTTGTCCATCATTCGATACTACTGACACGAACGAATTTTATTTCATTTGAAAGATCTATGCGTTGGTTTGGGATATCTATGGTTGAGTTTAAAGAATCCTCATGACCTTGGACAGGATGGTCCGTAGAAGGCTCGCGAAAAAGCTCCATGTGAGAGAAACGAAAAAAAATAAGCCACACCATTCAAGAGAGAACGCCTTTTCTGTTTTCAATCAATTGTTGGGCATCTCATGATATCTTCTCATAACTTCCGAAATAGCAAAATTTTAAGACAATTATCTTGTAGGTTTTTCTCGTCAAATATATTAGCAAGAATTATATTCTTGTTGAATGATGACCTGGTGGAAATTGTGGTAAACTATTGAATTGTAAAATAATACATTATAATTGTTAATGATTACCAACTCACATGATGATAGCATCAACACCATCGTGGATGACAGAGTCGAGCAATACTGTGGATATTGATGTGTCGGAACGATCATCAAATTCTGCTAATTCATATATTTTCAATTTTCTTGATAATATTTTACTTCCGATCACTGGCGTCGTTGGTGTGCTGACCATGTAAGTGATTTTTGAAAATTAATAACATTATTCTCATTAGTTGCTTTTCTCTTTAGTATTATATTATTTACAAATTATGGAGATGATCTGCTTGATAAATGTTTTATGGATAGATTTGACAAATCACAAGTCCATTTTGCTATTACAATCAAAAAGTATTTTCTTTTTCCAGCCTATACTGCCTTAACCCTCCTAGGAATTATTGCAATGCTTCTCTTTTCATATGCTAGACAATATTCACCTATATTTATTTGTAAAAATTGGAAACAAACGTTACGAATGGTTGTTCAAATAAGCTCATGGTATTTTTGCTCTCATGCCTTAGTGATATTCTTGAAAATTTGGATTTCTGATCACAGTTGCAACATTCATCCCAATTCTGTCTCTGGACATTATAACTTTGTACTTTATTCATTAATAACGACGTATTGTAGTTGTGCAATGGTTGGATGGAGAGACAAAAAGTTTTGGATTTTTTACTCACTCTCTTTAGTTTTTGGAGTTTCAGTCATGCTTGACACGTTGATTTTTGGATATCATTCATTGAGGTAGGTGCAATTCTGGCTCATGAGTAGCCACTTTTACGAATAATTATTTCATGATGAATTAAGACAATGTATTTACGGCTCTACAATAGCACTTCTTTCTTCATATATCATCTGTAAACTGATCCTTTCAAAGAAGCACACGTTTCTCGTTGCTATATGCTATTTGTGCTTGAGCTTATTCGCACGTTTGGCTTGGCAAACTATATTTTTTGAAACCGCCGCCACACTTTCCCACAGCAAGCATCCGGAGAAGAGAAGTATTGCACATGTTTATTTGCCTCCTGTGGTGCTGATTACCGTTCAATTCTTACTTGAGAAGAGCATATCTGCCGAATAGTCAGGTTGAACTCTTAATATTTTTTAAAATACAGTAAACATTATAAACAGATTTCTCTTAGTACTAATGAATATCTCAACATTTTCTTCATTAATTTGGGACAAGTTTGTGTGAGATACATTCAGAGATAACAAAAACAACATCAAAAATGGGACAACGAAAGACCAAGAACACCTCCACTTGTTGTGACACAACACCTTCATACAAGGAAGAGAAAGGACCATTCCGAAGAATAGCAGTCGTTGGATCACAACGAAACGGAAAAACAACACTGGTCAGGTCCTTTCAGGAATTGTCCTTGTCCAAAGAAGAATTCAAGAAGGTGTTGCAAGAGAGTTTGGCATGTGTCTTGACATTAGTGATGGAAGGACTCTCTTCAGATGACCTTTCAAAGATATTGAATCATGATGATGTGATCCAATCAACACCACTCAAGCAAATATTAATGAACAAATCAACAATAACCTCTCATTGCAGCGAGCATTTGATATCAATAGCTCAACTAGAGGATTTAAGAACTCTTGTAATGTGGTTTTGGAAGAGTTCTCATGTACAAGAAATGGTGTTTGAATGGAATCCAGAAAGAGTTCCACCTGAAAACATTGCACTTTTAATTCAAAAGATGACTCGAAATGAAATACAATTTAATCCCAGCCATTATGTCTCAGATTCCACATCAGGCATCTATGAATACAAGTTCATGCGAAATGATCTACAATATTCGACATTCGATCTTGGGGGTGATAGATATACAAGACGGAGGTGGCTTCATTGCTTTGAAAATATTGATTGTTTTATTGTGGTTGCATCGCTGACAGATTTTGCTGAAAGTTATGATGATAGAATAACAAAAATTGAGGACAGTCTTGCGTATTATGACATGCTTATTGACAGCAAATGGACTTGTGACAACAGAATTGTGTTGGTCCTTACAAAAGCAGATATTTTCGTGCAGAGATTACGAAATGCAAGAATTAAATATAATGGAGCAATGGATTCCATCATACGAAAAGAATTGGAGTGTGTGGACAATGACTGTCAACAAAGAATGATTCTCAATTCTATTATTTCAGAATATTACAAAAATTTTAACACCAAGTAAGAAATGGAAATTTGAATATCATATTGTGAATTTATTGTCTCCAGAGGATACAGCACACTTGAAGAAACGAATATGCAGTGATGTGCAACCTGAGGATCCATATATTTCTTACTTTTTGAGGACAGTGAATGTGCTTCATTTAAATTTGAAAAACCATTGTATTGGGAACTATCCTCAGCTTTGTGATGTAACAATTTTAACACAACTAGCCAACATATATGATTGTAATAATTAAATAAATGATTAAGCGTGTCAATAAATATGAAGTTCAAATATTAGTTAAAATCAACATCGTGCACCGATAATTTCGTTTTGTTTTCAAAATCGTACACAATAAATTGTTTCCAAGCCTCTTCACCAAAACATGATTTCATAAATTTCACAAATTCCTCTTGACTCATCGCTGTGCTTGCTGAGTTATGCAGTGGATGAAAAAGCAACATGGTACTTGATGCATTTGAATTTTTCCTTAACAAGGCAGCATCAATAATAATTGTCAGTGTTTTCATATTTTCCACCACACTTGGTGAGTCATCACTTCCTTTCCTCAATATATCTGGTCTTTGTTTCTGTACACTTGGATGTAACACATGAAAACACAATGGTGTAACATGACCTGGCTGAATATCCAAAAAACTCGTCAAGTCCTCAGGATCAGCAAATCTCAAATTTCCAGATCCCAATCCAAGCTGTTTAGACATGCTATTCATATCTACCATTGTATCTGCCAAAGCAACTCCGTAAAACTTTTGCTGTTTCTTTTTTTTATGATGAAGAAAGAAATTCTTGCATAACTTGTAGTTCACTTGTTCAGTATCGGAATATCTTCCATTGAGAGCTCTCTTCCAATCATCGACGGTATCGGAAGGACCATGATATTCTGTTTCAGCTTTCATTTGTAGTTCATTTCGGAGGAAATTTAAGAGAATTTGTTCTTTTTCTTGGAGGGAGAAGGAGGACTGTTCCATTTTTTTTACATAATCTTAAAAATTATATAATTATTTAAATGTTATATTCAACAAGGAATTATTTACAAAATAATTTAAATTTATAGTATTGCAAGTTATCCAAGTCAACAACAACAAGACTTCTAAAACGCATAATTTTTATTTAAGGACGAACACTTGTAGTCCAACGCGCACGCACTTATTCCGCAAGAGTTCATTTGTGACATCCTTCAATTTCGAATTCTTTAATCAAAAAAAATGATTCAAATCATTCCACAATTCATTCTCTACTCCCGAATTCTTCCATCATTCATCTATTTACTGGAATCCACTCTCGGAATTATTGGTCCCTATTTATATTTCAGATTTGTAAAGAAAGAAAAACTCTCTCGATTTTTTTACATTTTTGTTGGTTTACATTCGATCTTTGTCAATGTGTACTTTAATATAATTGCAGCATTTCCAATCTTACCATTTGTTGTGCATTTGTATTTGAATGCATGTTTGTATATTCATATTTATGTTCAAACTTTTTGGAGAGAGTTGAAACCCAAGTGGTATTTGTATGGAATTTGTTTACCTGGATTTTGGTAGGTCTACTTTATAACTTTAAATAATTCAAAATGAATAATATGACAATTATTATTTAATATTAACAATGGATTACAAAATAATTCAAAACATGAATTTCCAATATTAACACACTATTCATTCAACATTAAAATTATGACCATTCATTTGGAACATTGCCATGATTATTTGCAATTATTATTATTCATGGTTGAACATTTCAATAATTTTATTAATTTTTTTAACATTCACACAAGGTATATGGGATGGGCCACACTTGGCTCTTTTCTCGCTGGACCCTACATGTTGTTCACAGGATCACTCTTTCTCGTTGGAGTTCCAGAATACATTCTCTACATTTTTAGAATAGATTATCTCATCATGAATGTGCTCGTTTTTGTCCTAAGTCTCTATGCATTCTATTTGAGCTATTGTAATCCTCCCTTTTGTAAAGAACATGTTCATTTAGATCTCACATCTCACAGAGAAGATTGTGGAAATGATCAAGTGAAAGAATTACCTTCGAATACTGTGGTGCATCAAGATCAGTCAAAAATTTTGAGAGTTTTTCAATTCACAGATGTTCACTTGGGTCCATTCATGTCCAAGCAGAGATTGTATTCATTGTGTGAAAAGGTGGCCAAAGATTCTAGAATTGATTTGGTGATCATTACAGGAGATATGGAAACGTATGACACTGAATTGGAAATGACTGGATTGAAAGAAGCACTTTCTCCCTTAAAAGAAATTTCACACAAAGTGGTTGCATGTCTTGGAAAGTAAGTGTTGCATTCAACTGAAATGTTTAACATTCCAATGAATGTATGAAATCAATGATGGTTCATTATCTATTTGGTGATGCAATGTGTGTAAAATATAGTCATGATTATGAAGTCTATGATAAGGTTTTAGAAGCTTACTCTGAAAATAACATTTCTCTCTTGGAAGATCAAGAAATTACAATACCAATTTCTAGATGGTCTGAACTAACGGGTCGAAAGGAAGAAATTCAAGTCATTGGATCTACATTTTCTTACAATCACGAAAAACATGAACAAATTATTACACAACTCAGCTCAAAATTTCCAAGAAAATCCATCACCACACCTCGAATATTTCTTATTCATAATCCATCCATGCTCTCATGCATGCCTCTCAATGATAGTTGTGACATTATATTCAGTGGACATTTACGTACGTTGTGAAATTTTTTATATATGAAACAATGTTTTTCACACAACATGTGAAATATTCTGACATCATCATTTATATTTTCCAATATTAATCATAATATATATTTTAATAATAATATATTAATAATAATAATAATATTTATTAATAATCATAATATATATATGCAACAACAATAATAATACCAAAATACACGTATTCATGAATGAATCTAAAACTATCCTAAACTCAGATGGTGGACAAATTGGATTGGGACGATGGACATTTGTGAAAATTTTCTACCACCTCCTTAAAAAATTGAAACGAGAGAAACGGATCTTTAAGGTCTTTCCTCCAGATCAAGGTCTTTATGGTCGTGGCAAGTTGAGAATCTATTCTCATCGAGGAACAGGTCTTTATGGTTATCCTTTAAGACTTGGTATTCCTTCTGAACAATCTTTGATCCACTTGTACTTTTAAATGTGGTGACATTTATGATGAGTAATCAAGGAGAGTGGATGAATTTCTCGTCCGATTGGTTGCATTTCATATATCTTGAGGTGAGCGTTCTTCTCTTCACAGTGAGGGATTGGACGACTTGTAAGAACTTGCAGAGTAGGTCTTACAAGAAATCAATATCACTAATCCAAAAAAGAAATGATTAAGTGCAACCCAAAGGTGAAGATTGATCGAAATTTACCATTGGGTGAAATATCAAGAATGCAGAAGTCGAGGTTTTGAGAGGACAAATTCATGAACAAGTGTTCAACTACTGCTACTACTACGGATGGATATATATTTATTTTGAATACTATTAGGATGATTATTTACATAGACAGTTCAACGACCAGCAATGTCCAAATTTGGGATGACACACTACTCCATTCACAAGTACAGACAAGAATCCTCAAACCAGCTATATTCTGTCTGTCCACAACAACTTTCACTCGAAAACGATATGATGTATGAAACGAGATTATTGTATGAAAAACATCTCACGCGACACAACACATGTGTCCAAATTGAGTGATGGAAAACACACATCCTATCGTTGTTGAGAAGATGATTGAGTGTGAGCCAGTGAACCATTCGAAATGACATCACCACCACACATTAGTGATGTTGTTGAGTGAGGATTGTTTTGCATGGTCTTGTTTGATTCGAACTTGGTTTGAATCTCTCTTTCACATCTGCCTTTTGGAGCTCCTTTTTGAGCTTTTTGAAATTTTCTCTCTCAATCTTTGTCATGAGCTTTTCATGTTTGCGTTCTTCTTTCCAATGTTTCATTTCTGTCTTTGATGTGCATTTGGTTTCGTTTGGCAAGAGAGTTGCTTCTTTTGGAACGACACAAACCAGATCAGAAGCAACAGAAAGTTGTTTTCTCTGCTTGATTTCAATCTTTAAATTCTTAAACTCTTGCTTTTTCAATTTTAACACATTTTTGATATCAGCAATTTCATCCTTCAATCTTTTCAAATCATTAACTTGTTGAGATTTTTGATTTGCAGCTAATTCGTTTCCAAGAGAGGTAGGAACGAGTGGTGTCATTTCCTTTTCAGTGGATGACGGCAAGGGAGTGTCATTCTTCTCTTCTTTTGTTTCAATGACTTGTTCAACCTTTTGAGATGATGTGACATTCTCCATCGAAGGAACCATGTGGTCAACTAAAACCACCACCACTTTGAATTCGATCAAATCTGTGCAATTGGTGGGCATTTCGAGTTTTGGAATCCATTCCTTCCATTTCTTTTCATTGTGAATGGATCTAAATTTGTCGCCAACTCTTACTTTGATATTCATCTTTTCAAAGCTTGAATGATTCAATTTCTTTTGAACGAGTTGTTGGAATGCATTCAAAGAGAGATTGTTCAATGTTTCGCAATGATTCTGAATATCTTCCATCTTTTGGACTCTTTGAGTCTTATTGATTGGTTTCAATTTGATAAACAATTTAAGATTGACCATTTTGTGGTGTGTAATAATGATTGGTGTTCGAGTTTTTCTTTTTGTTGTGTTCTAATATCGCCTTCAAAGATCGTACAACTCTTTCAAGAAAAGCACTAGTTGTTAGGTTGATTAATACATTTCACCATTCAAATGAATTCGTGCAAACTCAAATGCTTCTTTAAATTCCACTTCTCTCTTTGCACTATTAGGAGTATTTAAATGAATTCCTAACAGAATAGGAATCAATGTGTTGTTTTTCTCAAGAGCCAATGAATGCCACACTTTCACATTTTCAAATGAATTTCTATTTTCAATGGAAAAGCAAAAAAAAATCAAATTTTGAACGTTCGAACGTTTGTCGACAA